TAGATAGCAGCAGCATTGCGATTACTCTGTATTTGATAAGATTGAATAGAGAAGATAGCAAGCTAAATATCTGCTTTATTTGAAGCTGGTAGAGTAGCGCTACGCTGAGCTATTGTACGTTAAGATGAGAGAGGTGCGCAAAGTTGGTGGGGTGCGGCGCTCGCTTGTACGCGGCGCTCGCTTGTAAACCATGTTACAAACTTCGCAGTAACGTGTTTTATAAGCGAGTCGTCCTTACAAGCGAGTCGTCTACCCTACCAACTTTAATCACCTTTGAAAATCAAATTAGTTATGCCTTAACGCTAATAAGCTCTATTGCGCTCATCTGAAGCTAATATGCAGCTTACTATATTATCTCTTAATAGCTACTAGATTAAGACTAAGAGAGCTGCTGCTCGCGCGTTTAACGTCCCTCGAATGACGCTACGCGACTGACGCGCTGGCAGGCCTGCACGACGCGATTGCTAGCCTAACTTAAAGAAGCTTACCTAACTAGAGGAGGAGGTAATTATTAGACATATACTTAACCTTAATTAGCGAGGATTTGGGCCTACGTATACAGCTGCGCTGTAAGGCAGACTTCACGCGCAGAAGAGCGAACTGGTTGAGTAGAAGCTTGTATTCGGAGTAGAGAAAATAGCAGACGCAGAGCCTAGAAGAGGCAGAGCGTACGCGTACTTATATAGCCTAGAGAGAGAAGCGAAGCGAAGGCGTACTAGACCGTAGAAGGTCTAGTAGTTTGCGCCTTCGTAGTAAGACGTAGCCTTTTACTCCTTAGCTCTAAACCTCGTAGTAAGTAGTAGCTGAGGAGAGGCTATGTCCTTACATGCGCGCGATATAGCTAATAAGCTGCTTGCTGCGCGTGGCGCAGGTCGCGTTGGCGTCTACTGGCCGCGCAACTTTGTTAAGCGTACAGACAGTCTTATAACGCGTTTTAATCGATCGTACGATAGGCAGAGAGCTCTATGCGAGGATCCTGTGCTAATTAGCTGCTAGTTTAAGCTAGTAGAGGAGACAAAGGCTAAGTACGGCAACTGTGATAAGGACGTCTACAACTTCGACGAGGCTGGCTTTATGATGGGCAAGATCTAGACTTAGCTAGTTATTACAGGGTTAGAGAGGAGAGGCAGGCTAAAGACTATCTAGCCTGGCAACCGCGAGTGGGTGACGGTAGTTGCTGCAATCAACGCTGCTGGCTGGACAATCCCACCGTTCCTTATCTTTGCTGGCAAGTATTACCTGTTAGCCTGGTATGAGGAGGCAGAGATCCTACGCGACTGGGCGATCGTAGTTAGCGACAACGGCTGGACGACGAACGAGATAGGATTTGAGTGGCTAAAGCATTTTATTAGGCATACAGATGGCAAGTTGGTTGGGGCACGCCGCCTGCTTATCCTTGACGGCCACGAGAGCTACTAGTCTCTTGAGTTTCAAGAGCTCTGCAAGGAGAGCAATATCTACACGCTCTGCATGCTAGCTTACTTATCTTACCTACTGCAGCCTCTTGACGTAGGCTGCTTCTCGCCTATGAAGCGCGCGTACAGCCGTGAGATTGAGGCTCTGATGCGCTACAATATTAACTATATCACTAAGCTCGAATTCCTGCCAGCCTTTAAGGCAGCCTTTGATCGATCGTTTACCTCAGCTAATATCTGCTTAGCTTTTCGAGGCGCAGGCCTGGCCCCTCTCTAGCTAGACGCTGTTCTATTAAAGCTCAACGTGCAGCTGCGTACACCTACTCTACTAGCTGCTCTCGCAGAGCCTCCCTGAGAGGCTCGTACACTAAGCAACGTACGTGAGCTTGAGGCTTAATCTGTAAGGGGCTACGCTCAGGGAGCTATCGCACAGGTATACTGGAGTTGTATTCGATAGAGAGCTAAGCTCTAGGCTACGTAGCTATCTATATATACTTAGGTGTAGAGCTGGAAGAACTATTGGCCGATAACGTCCGAGCGCCTATCGGGCCGAAGAAGGAGAAAACCGAGGTCATAGACGAGGATAAGAGAGCAAAGGGCTCTAGCCCGTCACATAATCAACGTTAATACGTGATCGCGTGCGGCAGCATAAGAGCTTATTACTAGCCTTGATTATTGAGGCGATTAACCAGCTTAAAAAGGGGGCTAAGGTGATAATGCTCTTAGCCGAGCTTATGCGCGATTAGATTACCTGCCTTAAGAGAGCCAACGAGGCAGCAACTAAGCGTAGGCAGCGTAAAAAGAAGCGGATACAGAAGCGTAGGACCTAATAAAGAGAGAGGGAGAGGATATACTAGCTTAAAAGGAGGCTGACTAGCAGATTAAGCGTAAACAGCGTTAAGGTAGTGAGCGATTAGGCCTTAGCCGCCAGGCTATTGCGCGCTGCAGGAGGTGCAGAGAGACTAGGCACAACTCACGAACGTGTAAAAAGGATGCTGTAGATACTATTTAATCTACTATATTAATCGCTTTATTCTACCTTATTCCGTTGTTGCGTTGCGTAGTTTTAAAGGTGATCAAGGTTGGTGGGGTGGACGACTCGCTTGTAAGGACGACTCGCTTATAAAACACGTTTTCTAGAGCAACTAACATGGTTGGCAAGCGAGTGGCCCACGCAAGCGAGCGGCCCACCCCAAAACACACCAAAAAGCGGACTTTTAGCAACTTGATTTCTCAACAACCACCGAATAGAATTCTCTTAAAATCTTAATTAAAAGCTGCATATATATATAAACATTCAAAGCCTACAGTAACAGGACTATAAGTAAAGTAATCGTAAGTTTATTAAGCAAAAACAGAAATACCTCGCTTTTTTAGCCCCTGAATTCTATTTCTCTACATTTAGACTAGCTAGAGCCTTACAATTCTAGAGTCTATAAGAATATATATATACGGCGCTAGAGTAAAAATATTAGAGGAATCTATTAGGTAGTTGTTGAGAAATCAAGTTGCTAAAAGTCTGCTTTTTGGTGTGTTTTGGGTGGGCCGCTCGCTTGCGTGGCCGCTCGCTTGCCAACCATGTTAATGCATGTATAATTTGCGTTAAGAGTGAGCGCAGAAAAGTGATGATCTTCGCTTTCGAACCCTCGTTAGACACAACCCTAGATATGTACTTCTGCGATGTAGATTGTAACCTAATCGCTGTCACAGTCTTACCACCTTTGTCGTAGTAGCACATATATGCTAAATCGTTAAGAAATGTCTTCCTTAGATCTAGAAGTAGTAGATGTGTAATGTGATCCTGTAGGGACATCACGGCTTGTGTAAGGGGCTACGCTCAGGGAGCTATCGCACAGGTATACTGGAGTTGTATTCGATAGAGAAGAGAACTACAGGTAGCTAGGGTTCTGAAGGTCGTTCAGGGGGCGGCGGCTCGGGATAACCTTCCGCCGGGCTCGCTTGCACAGAATCCGGGTGCTCAGGGGGGGCACCCGGAATCTGTGGACAGTGCGCCTCGCGCACGTAACCGAGATATCATCGAGGACTCACCAACTGGGCTCCAGCCCATCACAAGAGCCAATAGGCCACGCGGCCCTGAGACAACCAGCCAAGCTGTAACACGCTGCACAGCGAATTGCAAAACCGGTCTTGCTCCCTCAAGAACTTTAAGAATCAACTCAAGTCCCTGTCGCACTGGGATGGTCCCTGCTTACATATAACCGATTACTATTGCACTAGCACGCTGCATCTCAAAACGACTAGCGTACAAATATTAAAGGTATGGCTTAACTACTTCGCTAACTCTAGTGTAGGATTCAGGCACATGAAGCTAACTCACTAGGTGTCTAAGAGATATTTAAAACAGACCTTTTACTATGAAACTACTGCAAGGGAATAAGGCTACAATCCTTATATGACACTCCTCACGATCGTTATGATATGGTGCGTACAAATAGAGAGAGCCCAATCAATGCCACGCCTGGCTTTAAGCGAGCACTCATAACGTGTTCTATCTGTAAGTGGCTCACCACACCAAACCTGACGCAGCGTTTTGCGCGATAGCTCAACAATTACATAGAATCATATAGTATTATTAAAGGCTTGTAAGCAAACTCTAGATACGACCTAGTACAGTTCTAGGCGAGCTTCTTAGGGCTCGCTGAACTCTGGCTGGGCTCCAAGGCTCCACTAGCCGAGGTTAGGCTGGTAAATGGGTCTCCACATCGGGATCTTAGAATCTGCAATATTTCTATGAACTCTAATCCGATGTAGACAATCGATGCCTTATTGTATAGCCTAAATCTAGATCTATATTTTGTATATAGAAAGTATCTAGCTAGCTAAAGTAGCTAGCTAGAAATCTTAGATCGGAGCTAAATGTGGAGACCCAACTCTTGGCAACGTGGGTTAGCTAATAACTTTTTATTTATAAGACTTAAAGAAAGACTTTCTATACAGAAGATATAGGTCTAGATTGAAGCTATATAATAAGTTATTCATCGTCCAAGTGTGGTTTGAACCTATAGAGATATCGCGGATTTGAGTTCCCGATGAGGAGACCCATTTGCCAGCCTAGTACTGCTCGAGGAAAGAGCAGCGAGCCATGACTACTATTCACCTTTCAATTGCAGATCTGCCAAAAAGGATATGTCTTTGCAGATACACGCAGATCTACATTCTTCTTTATTTGCAGATCGTGCAGTGTCCGCACTGATCCCGGCGTGTCATTAGATTGCTCGGTGTCAGGACTAGAATGCCCGAGGCTAGCCTAGCTTGCCAAGGCACAGAGTATATAAGTCAGTCGTGAGAATCGCTACAGCGGTAGCGATTCGTCTTAGTACAAATGCACCCCTTTGTGCCTGCTACGTACTACCCTACGCTACATAACCTGAGGCCTCCTTACAATCCTAACACTAGGGGAACAAGGCGTACAAGGCGTACGAAAAGCTTCGTATTGCAAATCTAACGGTTGGACCGTGCTGCGAAATTGGTATCGAGCAATACGCTCGTGCGCGGAGACCTAATTTTGGATTGCCTATTAACTGCAATGAGCACTGCCCTGACTGAATTACTACCGTTTTCATGATGTACATGCCACGGTCTTTACTTTTGAATCTGGCAAGCTGCCTCTCTTTGGCAACGTTCGTTGCTTCATTCTCCACCGATGACCAAGGATTCTCACCTGCTAAACGCAATACGACGATCGAACAGAGCTTGTTTTACGACATCAACGGTGCCGAAGTAGAGAAAAGGATTGCAAAACTGAAAGCTAAGGGATATCGGCCGACGTCTCTAAGTATCTATGGCTCGCACACCGATGCGAAATATGCCGGCATCTGGACGAAGCAGGGCGGCAATGCATACGAGACTATACTGGGCGCCAATGAAACCGCCTACAACGCCTGGGTAGATTATTGGAGAGCCAGTGGATATGTTTCTACACACGTTTCCGCCTCCGGATCTGCCTCCATTGCGCTGTTTGCCGGAGTGATGCAGGAAATGCCTTCGATCCGAACCTGGGTCCAGCAGTGTGGCCTTAACAACCCTTACGCTTATGCAAATGCGACAATGGATATACCAATGATCATCAAAGGCGTAAGCATGTATGGACTCCCAAACGAGCGCCAGTACTGCATCCTGGGGCATGAAGACACGGTGAACCACCAACAAACCATCTGGTACCAGACAGACTCGTTTGTCAACCACTACAAAACGCTTGAAGCTGCTGAGACTTCAAAGAGATACTGGAGACCGGTTTATATCGACGTTTCTGAAGACCTAGTCCTAACACCGATTTTCGACGACACGAGTGTTGGGCAGTGGAACGCCCTTACGGATCTCATCACATCGCAATTGGGTCCGGAGATAGCCGCACGAAAGGCAAAGAACATGTACCCCATCCATATCTCAGGCGCGGGCACTGCAGGAGTAAGATATGCTGTGATCTTCGCCGAACAAACAACGCCTATTGATCGCGAATGGCACACCACAGGCACAGTCACCGGCTTCGACGACAACGCCGGGGTCAGCAATGCTCTGGATAAAGTCATGCAAAAGTTCATGAGAAGGAACAGCGTTAGGCAAGCTCAAGTCGCCGCTTCAGTCAATGGGACAGTCATCGCTTCGCGCGCGTACACATGGGCTGAGAGCGACCGCGCCGTTACCCAGCCATCGGATAAATTCCTTCTTGGAAGTGTCTCAAAGGCTTTCACGTATGCAGCAACAAACCGTCTTATCTCCATGGGTCTGCTGAACTTGACTACTCCCGTCTACCCGTTCCTCGGATACAACGCGCCCGCCGACGAACGCTCGTTGAACATCACTGTCCAACACCTCTTGGACCACACTGCCGGGTTCGATCGCTCGATGTCTCCAGATATAGGTTTCATATTCACAACCGTCGCACAGTCTCTCAATCAAGCCACACCTGCCACGCTGCGGCAGGTCATCGAGTACGTAGTTGCGCGGCCGCTGGACTACACCCCAGGGGACAGGAGTGTGTACTCAAACTATGGGACCATGCTTTTGAGCTATATTATCACAAGCATGACAGGCGAGACATATTCCTCGTATATTGAGAAGAATGTACTTGCAGGGCTGGACGTTGAACTCTGGAGCACAGCTGCAGAGTCGCACAAGTCAGATCCCATTGTGCAAGAGACAAAGTTTACGGGTATCTCTGCGCTAGTACCGCTTTCAGATTACAGAGTCTCGAGTGCGAACGGTGGAGACGGGTCGATCAAAGAAGAGGCAATTGGTGCTTTTGGTCTAAAGGCCTCTGCTGCCACAGTTTCTCAGTTTATCGGAAGCAACAATGTGTATGGTCTTGGCGGTCGCGTACCTTGGAACTATCGGGATGGTACCGTGGCTGGTGCACGCGCCATCGCGTACAGTTTGTCTGAACTTGACTGGGCCTTAACATTAAACACTAGAGAATACGTTGACGGGGCGGCGTGGGAGAACTTAGTGTTCACTGATATTCAGGATGTCTGGGGTCGCTTCGCTCTTACTAAGTGAGAGGCATTAATTTCTAGTGTTACTCCTCTTCTACTATCTGTACCTAATAGAAAGTGTTCAATAATTAAATAGAAAGATAGTAAATATTGCCTACTGAAGTCCGTCATACCTACTTACTAATAAAAGGAGTAAAGATCTATAATTATACGTGAGGTTATAAGTACCTAGAAGACGCGCCTTATTATAGTATTAATATTCTTAGATCTAGCGAAGGGTGTTAGGAAAACAGGGTGTCGCGGCTTAGCTAGCGGAACATGAACAAATAACAACGTTTCCTTTCGATTTAGTTGTTTTCTTGATCTTAATAACACACTTAGTTTCGCGCATTGCCTCTCCGACCTTAAGTTGTATTCTACACCACTTGCGCGTCTTTCTCTATGCTACACTTTGCTATTCAAACGTTTGCAGGGATAACTGGCGAAGCTTTGTACATCTTATCAGCTATCTCAATCACGACCAAAGGACTAGCAAACTACTTACGCAAACCAGAAGACCGCGATGTTGGGAGAAGGTTTTCTACCCATGAGAACTCAATATCTATTCTTCCAGTCTTGTTCTCTACACACCAGGTTTCTGGAGAAAATGCGTAACGTGAGCGAACCCAGGAGCCATTATCCGAGGAAGGTTAATCGGTTCACGCTCATCGGACGCTAGTCACATGGATGCGTCTGGACACTAACTTTCTCGAACACGCCACGACTAATTTGCGTATCCTCAACATACTGATCAGTATGTGGCGTCCTGTATCCAAGCTTTTGAGGCAAAGGTATAGTAGTTGCAGGAAGCGTGCTGCTTGTCTTGAACTCGCACAGCCCGAGTGAAGCCCATACAGATAAGCTTTTTCGAATGAGAGGTATCGCTGAAAGAACTGAGTCCAAGGCATACATTCTCATTGAGACAACCTGGATATCATCCGCAAAAGAAGTCTGCTTTTAAGTAGAATTCCTCGAGACATTAATGGTCATTGAGGTGTCGAGATCCCTCACTAACTGACTCGTGGTGAGCTAATGAGAATTGCGGCAGCACCGCGGGAATGGCCATGCCACATTTCGATCCAGATAGCTCTGCATTGAAGTGGTCGCCGGTTGCGTCAAAGTTGACGACTTTCACTAGCCGGCACACCCGCCTGTAACGCCCCTCCCTGGTCAAGATGTATTCCAGATGCCCTCACGAATGGGTCCTTCCCACTGTGACCTGACGAGTCAGTCTCCTCAATTTTGGAAAAAGCGCCAGGGCGATCAGATCTAGTGCTCAAGTGCGTCTTTCTGCTCTGAGTCCATGGACCCAAAGAGAGGGTGTTGTTACCAGGAGTTCCTCTATTGCCAAAAAGGTCTTTGTGCTCCACTATGCTGACGAGTCGGTTAAGGACAGAGAATTCGATTTTGAGTTTGATGCTGTACACAGCTGTCTTGTACGTCGTTTGAATCTCGTAGTTACCGGAGAACTGGACGGCGAGGAGGGTGATGTCGAGGATCAGGACTACGATGTTGACGAAGACAAGGTGTCTGAGTAGCTTCTGCAGGGGCCCGCGGCCGTTGCTGCTAGTGTCGTGGCCCAGCAGCCGTACTGTTTCGTAGATATAGATGATAGATATTATAGTCTCTTGGACGCAGATTACCACGATTTGAACCTTGTCATATATCAAGAATCCCGGTAGGAAACGGGCCGAGTGCTGAGAGTTTGCCCCCATCGCTAAAACGAAAAGGGGGATCCCGAGAACGACAGCGTTGAAGATGATCATGTATAGTACCCAACGTGTCTGAGATCGATCCCGGATGACGAGATGCAGACGCGAATAGAGAACGAGTGATTGTCCCATCACCATACTTGCCCAGCCTATACCCACTATTGCGCTCGATAGCAGGTCTAATGTAGTGACCTGGAAGAACTTGAGGACGAATCCAACGGCATGGGGTGCGATGCCCCAAGTTGCCACGACAAAACTCCAGAAGTATAGCCCATTACGTTTTTTGAAGACGCCAAATACCAGAAAAGTAAGTTCGATGACGTTGTAAAGTGCGATGGATAAGAACGCGGCCATGGTCATTAGGATTGGGAGAGGTGCATTCACCCCACCAACCACGCCCACATCCTCCTCATTTGCCATGGCTGGATGCGAAGACCGCGTTATGATTGCGCATGTGATTGTTAGAGCGCAAGGTAGAGAAAGAATTCGCACTGAGAACTAATTGATTGAAAAAACTCGCGTTTAGCAGACTGATATCTGCTACTGAAGGCGATCGAAGGGAGAGGATGAAGGCGAGTGCCGTGTTTCCAAATCGCCTGCATCATCCGCAGCATATTTAGACAACTTTGCTCGCGACACCTGATTTGCTTCAGATGAGCTTTTAAAATTTGTGGCGGATCCTGAGGTGTCTCCCAAAGTGACGATCTCGTCCACCACGGGAGGGCGAAAATGTTCCCCGGCTTGGTTTAAGTTTGTGATAGGCACAGAAAATCGTGCAAGCGCAATGAGCGCACTACTATTGGTTCTATGCAGATATCATGCCTGGGTCCCGGGATTTGTGGCGCCAATACCTGCATGGGTTCACCAGAGGCTTCCAAGGTTCACTTCTTAGCTGTGAGCCGCATGGGTCGCAACCTCGTTTACTAGCACAAACAATGACTCGCATGAACCACTCCTCTTGACAGCTATTTGGATCCTGGTAACGTTGTCACGCTGTTAGCTGACATTGTTCACCGATGGAACGTTAGGCCTGTGCAAATAAAGTTCAACTAGGAATGAGCTGAAGCTCAATCAGTAGGATTGATCGATTGATTCCTACTCGGCTTCAGCCGCATGAGTCCATGCCCGCTGTCATGGGAATGGACGGGCGGGTCGTATGCCAGATCAAGCCTTCCGAAGCCCACACTGATCAGTCCTGGCCTTACTGTCACCGAAGGATCGGAAATGTCCGTCCGAGGTTTCCAGCGCACGGCCAAGTCCCTAACGCTCTGATGGGTGTGATCCTTCACCAGTTTCGAGTTATTCTTGCATAGAGATGCGATTTCGAGTCATTGGGGCATTAGCTGAGTCATATCTCTGTCCGCTTTCGAGTCACCGAAAAAGCAACATCCTAGGGGTTACGCGTATGGACAAGGTTTTCTGGGGTACCGTACCCCAGAGCATCGGCAATAGGGAGCGAATAGCTGGTGTTATTTGTCCCCCGCGCTAGTGCTAGCAGGAGTCATCCCAGTCTAGCGCATACCGTGTCATTGTCCGCCCTTGCACGATCCCCCTCAATACTAGGTACCCTCCACGTCAACCCAACATAACTCTACCGATGAGAGCCTGATTGAAGATGCAGTGAAAGAAACAGAACCGCTGAAGCCGACAGAGCACCTTGGTCACTACGTGATGGCTAACGTCATTTACCACCAAGCTGCGCACCCCACTAAGGTTGCGCATCTGTGCTTGCAAATAGTTTTAACATTGAGTTCGGCCAGTTAGTTTTCGGACACCCAACTTCTCCGCCACCCTACCACAACTGCCACCCACTTTTGAAGCTTTACAGCTCAATCACAACGCTATCAATCGATTACTGTGAAGTTGCAATGCAAAACGCTATCCGGAATCTTGATCTTAGTCTCTTTACGAGCCAGCGACAAGCCTGTTGGGCGTGTGGCGCACCGCGGTCAACGCTGCAGAGCCGGCTCGCTGATCGTGATCCACACGCGATAGTCCACAACAACAAGTGCGATTAAATCTGGAACAAGAGGAGTTTCTTGTTGACTGAATCCTTAACGAAGACCTACGCGATTAACCACCTGGCCACAGTTGTCTACGAGAGATAGCGATGCGTATCCTCCACATGAGCGGCGATGACGCTCCCCTCGGGCATAATTGGGCAGCCAACTTCTTACACCGCAACTCACGCGTGCACTCCGTCGCCGAGTAATCGAATGAAGCTTCGAACGCGGAGTTAGCCGATCCAGAGTTGATTCGCATGTTCATCGGCGTCGTTGAACAGAGAAGACGCCACCTGTGTACCTTTATGGAGCTTTTACTCTTCTGCCATGAGCGACGCCAGCTTAGCTGAGAAGGACGCGAGATTGAAACGCTGGGCGTTCTTCATTCAATTAACTCTTACTCCGGTAATACCACAGAATTGACCAGGTTTCGTCTAGCTTAGTGGGCTTGCCTCTGAGCCGCTTCTAATAGTTGGTACGAGCTTCTTGAATTGCTCACAATCCTCATGGTTCCGAAATCTGTCAAATGTTGATAGGGAACTCCGCGCTGGCCCTTTCGACCATGTGCGTCAGCTCTTCCAAGACCGGTCAAATACCAATGGGAACGGGAGTGCATGTCGTTGTGGTATGATCGAGCATTGATAGCTCGACTGAATACAAACATTAGCGCGACCTTACCTTCACAATCACCTGAACCCTTCAGTACATGTATGTATCAAGAGCTATGTATTGACTCTAACTAACGTCACTACTATAACCTAGTACTTCTACAATTACATTTATAGTAGTACTTAGAGACCATAACGCGACCAAACCCCACCCGATAATCTTGTCCATTCTCCACTTGCGCATCGGTACGGCAACAAGAAGCCCAGCGAGTGTTACAAGCAGAGTCGCTCCTGATATCACCAAGGTTGTGCTCACAGCGATATGGTAGGGTCTGAAATGAACCGACTGATCTGGGTGTTTTTCATGGCGGTGCTCGCCCTTGGTGATGATCATGTAGCATCCGCTCAACCCTACGCCGAGTAGGATGTTCAGCATCGGGCCGCCAAAGCAGGCCGAGAGGGCCATGATAGGGAATCCGAGCCGTGCAACGGTAATGTCGGCGACGAGATCACCAAGTGAATTGCCAACCGCGAAGATGGTCAGACCGAGAATGGCGTCGGACATGTTGAGGATAACACCCAGGGTGCGCAGAACACCAACGACTTCGTTGGCAATGGTGCTGATCCAAGCAATGGCGACGGCAAACCCGAGAAAGCAGAGTGCTGAGCGCCAATTTGGCGCGCGGTTTGGCGTGGTGGTGAAGAGGATAAAGGCAAGGACGCTGAGCGAGACGACCAGAGCGTAGAGCGTGTGACGAAGCAAAACACGTGGGTTGTCGGGTTCAATGTTTGCCCAGAGGACAAGGACGAGGAAGAAGGGGCTGTAAACACTTGCACGATCACCAGCCAGCGGTTCCATTGTCTTGGCTCGATAGGTGTAGGAATCGTGGGAAGTTGCTCGGGTGATTGCGCCACAGTGTCGGAATCCGTAATGTACACCTGCGGTGGCGGTTGGCTGGTGGTCGTGCTGAACGATCCACCATTGGGTTGTCGAGAAGGAAGACTTGTGGACAGTTTCGACTTTGATAAGCCCATGTCAGCAGGTGTTTCTAGTGGTAAAACGAGTGACACGCTGCGAGTATGCGAGTCCATGCTTCCACTATGCGGCGTAGCCGCAGGTGGTAGACCGAAATCTAAAGAAAGCTCCGCCTGACCTCCATCGTTCTCATCCTTTTGCGGCTCGACAACTGGGAGCGTAATGGTAAGCAAGAAGACAGGTAGACTTGCAACAAGTCCCAAAAGTTTGTCGAAAATATTCTTGTCCGACCAATTGGTCAATGTCGGGAACAGAGTGGAAACCAGAACGTATGGAGTCGGTAGAAGGCTTGAGGGCCACCATTTTGGCATTCTGGCTGCTTCGACATGACCGAAAGGATCTCGTGGGAAGTAGGTAGACTCGGGTGACGCGCTCGGCGAAGGCAGACGTAGACTCTGGGGTCTAGAAACGGATTGCGCCGACCAAGGATAATCGGTATAAGGCGGAAATGGTATCGGCGGAGAAGTGGCATCCGGTACAGTCAGCTTCAAACTAGGTGGTTGAGGACGAGCATCGGGTTCTGTTACTGGACTCGAGCGGGGGCTTGGTGATGATGTGACTGCACGGAGGGGAGCCTGGTCCTCGGAGCCTGGGGGCGCCAGCCTGTTAGGTGAGGGAAGCCTGTCTCTCGGTGCGGCAGGACTTGGTGCTCTGGAAGAGCGGGAAGCTGGCGGAGACAACGAGATGGTCGGCGACGGAGGCGCTTCCAGCAGTCTGTTGGGTTTGTTGGGAGTGGCGGATGCAAAGGTAATGTCAGGTACGCCATGTCCCTGCAGCGTGCTTGACTGTAGTCGGACATTGTCAATGTCGTTTGTGGAAACAGCTCGCGCTCGATTGCCTAGGCTCTGCTGGATGTCGAGATTTGGTCGGGTCACATGCAGCGAGGCGTTGGAAGCAGTTGGGTTCACATGGAATGGAGGTCGATTCGCGGGACCTGCTGTTTGTGAGATGTAGTTTTGCTGTTGGGCAGTCGTATAGGTAGGGTCGTCAGAATATCGTCGCAAGCTGATTGGCATGGACTGGATGTTGCGCGACTTTTGCAGGGAGGAGAGTACCGCTCTAAACTCCAAGGCTCCCACCAAACTCGGACGGATGGGTGTGTGAGTATTGCGCCTCGACATGCTTGGGCGATTGACGCGCATATTGTTGGTCAACTCGCCCATCCAGCGTTCGCGCTCTTCCTCATTGTCATCGTCATCTATGATATTGTCGCCGCCTGCGCGTTCAAGCATGGAAAAGTCGTCAATGGATACGCCGTAGCCTGGGGTCCTGCTACCAGCGCTAATTTCATCGTCATGGTATTCTGGAAATTCCTCCTCTTCGCCGCCGGGCGTGACATAGTGGCTCCTGATGGCGGCCGCCCTCGCCCGTCGCGCCTTTCTCAAGTTGAGCCACCAGTGCCAGCCCACAACGAAGGCGACGTAGAAGAGATAAAAGGCTACCATGGTGACAGACTCCCACAGATGCAGTTTCCCGTCAACGATGAAGCCCATGCTGAAGGCCGCTGCAATGAGAAAGAAACCAACATCGCGAACAAAACTCTTGCGCGCGACTTGAAAGGGGCGAATTAGAGCCATGGAGCCCGAGACCACAGCCGTGATGAAACATGCAGCACCGATGAGCTCGCCTACGGCCAGACTTGCAGCGTGGGTGCGGAAGGCGGCAAATGTGGAGAAGACGTCGGGGCTGCCATTGCCAAAGGCGAGCAGTGTGACGCCGGCCAAGCTCTCGCTCATGCCCAGCATGCGCGCAATGGTATTGAGGTTAACGCAGAAGAAGTCGCTCGCGGCGATGCCAATGGTGCTGAAGAGGAGCGCGAGCCAGAGTGTCATGAGGACGAAGGCAACGGGTTTCGCATGCGGGAGACGGCAGTAGTAAAGGGTCAGGTAGGATATGACGCCGGCTTCTTCATCGGGGCAGTTTGCGCGCACAAAGGCGCATTGGTCTGTGGCGCGGTGAACAAGGCGGCACTCTTCGTCCTTGATGGACAAGTCCCTCTTGTGTACCGCGCCACCAAGGGCGCTGCCGTGGGTAACTTGCGACCTGGCCCATGCTAGCAGTGATATGAGGGAGATGGCGAGGATGGTGAGGGCGAAGGGTCGTGCCGAGTAACGTGAGCGGCGCAATCGTTGGGCATGTTTAAGTATGGTGGAGTCGTCCATGGTCACGACATGTTCTCAGGTGAGTCGGAGGGACCGCGCGATGGGGGATGAGGGCGTGTTTTAGGTGATGGGAAGCGTGAAGGCGGCGACGTGCGATAGCGTAACAAGATAGCGGAAGACGGCGCGCGAAGCGTTTGGACTGAGTCGGCTGGGGCGCGACAGCAATGCGTGCGTGTGTGGCGGTGTTGGCGATGTTGCGAAATAACGAACGTCATCGGAGCATGGTAGCGATAGTTGGAGATAGAGGCCGGATCTTGCAAGTTGGAGCAGAGGGCAGCGCGGAGCCTTCCAAGTACCGGGATTGTGAATGACGGTATTCGATGAGATAGCACCAGTGTGGCGCATGTGTGGCTGTGCGAGTGGGTGGCGCTGTGCTAATAGGTGGGTTTAGGGTGCGGTATGCGGTATGGGTTCAGTCGGAATACGTATGTACCTTTGACAGCTAGAGGCTTTCTAGGCTGTTAGCCGTTTCTGCAGGACAGTAGTCTCCGACACCAAAAGTGAGACACTTGTTAGCTACAAAGCCGGACTTAGTAGAGTCGTAGTGCGCTAACCCCCGCGCGGATTCGCCCAAACAAACAACAACGCTCCATCACGAACACACACACACAATCAGCCAACCCACCATGGCGCGCACTACCAAGTACAATACCGCCGCCTCGCCGCAGAAGACACCCATCAAGTAGGCCAAACAAGTCAGTTGACGCGCATCGCAAGGCTAACCATTTCCACCCAGGGTGCCGCTCAACGATGACCGACAAGAGAAGGCCATCCGCCGCCATGCGCAACAAGAAGCCCAGCGCAACTCGATGCGCGCCTCGACTGCTACTGCCACACCCGGAAGACGACGCATATCGCATGCCGCCGGCCACGATAGCCCCCACACCCCGTCGCAAGACCAAGACGACATGCCAGACATCACCGGCACCGCCGTCACGCCAGGAAACCGCGTCATGCCCTTGCTGGCCAACTTCGAGGAGTGGATGAAGATGGCGACGGACAACGTAGGCATACACGGCTGCACGCACTAGGTCGAGGCTGATGTGACGGGCAGAAAATCAACGCAAACAACTCATGGAACTTCGCCCTCATCGATTACTTCCACGAAATGTCTCTGCTCAAGGAAGGCGATGGCGTCAACTTCCAAAAGGCGAGCTGCACATTGGACGGCTGCGTCAAGATCTACACCAGCAGGGTCGATAGCGTAGCAACCGACACGGGCAAGCTCCTCAGCGGACTTGCAGAGAATGCGGGCAAGAAGCGGAGAGGAGACGGCGATGATGCTGACGGAGCCGATGATGACGACGCCGAGGGCGACGACGCCGAGGACGGAGAGGGTGGCCAGAAGAAGCGCAAGAAGAGGGCTGCCCGGTCTGCCGAAGCCACGCTCGCATCCTCGTTTGGACAACTACAGAACAAGAAGATGGAGCTCGAGTTTTCGGTAGATCCCCTCTTCAAGAAAGCCTCCGCCGACTTTGATGAGGGCGGAGCAAAAGGTCTCCTTCTTAATCACCTGGCCATAGACGCAAGGGGCAGAATCGTCTTTGACAGCAGCGACGATGCGAACGATGCAACCTCCGAAGACACTCGTGCTACACCAGCGCCCGAAGACGCCCATGTACAGCAAGACCAGTCCCAGCCACCCGACGCTATTGATGTTGATATATCTGGCCTGGCTGCCAAGTACTTCCCTGATCTGTCCCAGCTCGACCGGCAAGACGTGTGTCCCTCGATGAAGACGTTCGATCTTGGCGATGTAAATGGCTCTATGGATCTTCCCTTTCTAAAGGCCCCTGATGACTCTGCCAATGAAGATGGTGCCAAGGGCGAAGAAGAGGACGATGCGGGTAACCGATCAGGCCTCTTTCTTGATGACGACAACCCCATGGGCTTCGATGATGACGACGACATGAACATGGGCGGATTCGATCTACCTCCGGAAACGGGTTTTGGCGAAGGTGGAGAGGTCTGGGCTCGTGAGGCTATCCAGAATCCACAGGCTCGCGTTCACACCATGGGCCTCGAAGGTGATGAGAATACAGACAGTGCTGATGCTGCCCTTGGTGCTGATGCTCAGTATGGCGTCTCTATGATGCACGGTCGTGATCAAGAACAAGAAAACATTCTAAGCTATTTCGACCAAGCTCTTAAGAAGAGCTGGGCAGGGCCTGAGCATTGGCGTATCTCACGAGTCAAGCATTCTGCAAAGGCAGCACCAGCCACGAAACGGAAAGAGAGGGAGCCTTTCGAGATTGACTTCGCCGCACCCATGTCGCAGACACTAGCAGACATGCTCTACACGCCTGCAACATCCAACTCAACCATATCTCTACCAAAAGCGCAGTGGAAGTCAAAGTCGCGCAATCTTCTCCCAGATGACAAGCACTTCAACTCGAAACAACTACTGCGACTTTTCTTGAAACCAAAAGCCCGTATGGGCTCACGGAAGGGAGGACGCCGTGTACAGGCACAACCCGGAGACCCCGCACGCGTCGACGAAGCATACTGGGCTGATCAAGGTCGAGAAGGCGAGGGTGATGATGTACAGGGCAACTACGACGCCGACTTTTTCCAAGACGATGGACTGCCTATGCCTGGTGGGCCTATTGATGATGAGGACGTTTTTGCGGATGCTCGTGACCACTTTTCGCCGCCGCCCGACGCACCCGAAGCTACACTACCTCTAGACGGCATGCCACCTAGCTCGCAGACGGATGCGTTTGGTGCACAGTTAGTAACACAAAGCCGACGGTTCCGGCCCGAATACGTTCAGTATGCAAGGGTTGCGAAGAAGGTAGATGTTAAGAGATTAAAGGACGAGCTTTGGAAAGGTATTGGATTTGAAGGCGTAAGTTATATATTCAATCCTCGTCATTCGGTCTACAAGCTTACAAACAATTAGATTTCCGCACCTCCGCAACCTAATGTCTCCGACGATCCAGCAAATAAAGCTGTTGATGGTTCGCTAACTTTTACCGACGTTGTCAACAGCTTGCAGGCTGTGTATCCGAAACAAACAATGGCCGACATCTCAACAAGTTACTGCTTCATCTGCTTGCTGCATCTCGCTAACGAACAAGGTCTGGTCATCGAGAACCAGGAGGATTTCGAAAACTTGACCATACGGAAAGACTTCACAGCGGAGTTGGATGTAGGAGGAGCATGAGGTTTCGTCTTGTTGGATCAGTCCACAATCAGAGCTCAGACTACCAATGAAACCAATATAATATTACTACTGTCGCGATTCTAGTTTCGTGGGCTGCATGGTTCGTGGCAAACGAGTACCTAGAAGCATCGCTGAGTGGATACTTTCCCAGCGGATAACTCTAGTCGAGGACAGGAACGAAAAGTACTATGATCCTAAAGCTAGAGACGATCATGCTTCTAACAACGGCGTTAATAAGGGCAAAGGGTTAGACGCTACCGACTTGGAAGAACATGAACGGGCCACGTACGTTTCTAATGCCTCTAGAGACCCACGTGTCATTGTGAAGAGATTTTTCGCATATCGCGACGCCTGTCCTAAAGCTCATATAACCGCCCGTTATCTTTTCTTTTTACCTCGTCATTGATCACTTTAAATATCCGGGTTGATAGAGTACTTTGGATTCGACCTGCGAGATTTAGATTATGGCGACAATGGCCGTCTTTGGTCCCTTGGGAAAAATTCATCGCTGACGATTCCAACATAACCGCCCATTGAAAGAATAGACGGCGTTCGCGAATGCATGAGCGCCAACCTTCGCCATCTTCCTTTCTCCGTCCACTGTTCGGATGCCGACAAGCCGAACCTCTGGGTGGAGATCGTTTATCAGCTCCTCTCAATCTGCAGCAATGTCACAATGATTATCATGATTGAGGCGTGGATGGCGGAAAATCAACGGTTTTCGGAAGAATTCCCTGATGTCTCAGAGCAGGAGACTAAAGGCAAGAATGGTGTTGCGTGGAGGAAGATCTAACTGCGACAAAGGGATCTAGCACCAGATCGATTTACAATGGTGGCAAAGACAGATTTCCATGGGACCGAGGTGCTGTAAGAAGACGTTGAACGATCGAAAAAGAAAGAAGCGATTTTAAATCGTGGGAAAAGCCTGCGCAGAAAGGTCTCCGAAATGGAGAGTAATGAACAATAAAGAACGGATGGAAGGTAATTGAAGATGACTCTTGCGATCGATAAACGCTTGCTCTTCTTATTCTACAACGTCATCAGTTCCCTTTCCTCTTTACTGCCAGAGCAATGTGATCTTCTTCCACCATGGTCCTTTCACCGTTCTTGCCGGCACCTCTTCAGCGAGCACCTGATCCAAACCCGTCTTCATATCCACCTCCTCAGGAGCGTAAGCCCAGGTATCGCTCCAGGCCCAGATTCGGTGTCCTCCATAGAACAAGAAGAACATGGGAATACCAACGTATGCAGTGAAGAAGGAGCTAACATCCCATTTCTCGGGCCAAAAGACATCAAACCCATTGATCAAACAGAGAAAGGTGAAGCTGATGATGACGCACCAAGCACCCCACTTGTTTACTGGTGAGCGATATGGCAGATCGGTAATATTTTGCGCTTCGCAGGCTTTCCGGAAACGCAAAAAGATGATGCCGCAGCAGATCCAGGAGATGAAGCCAGACGTGTTTGTCAGGTTGACGAACCAATTAAAGACGACGGCGCTCTCGCTGCCTACATTCAGGTAGGCCAGAGCGCAGAATAGCGAAGAGGCTGTAACAGCCCAGTACGGCACACCAGACTTGGTGCATGATTTGAAAATGGAAGGCGCATTGCCAGAAAGTGCGAGCGCGTATAGGGAGCGCGACGAGAGGAACAGGAAGGAGTTTCCTGATGACCAGGCACTGATGATGATACCGGCGTTGATGATGCTGTCGAGTACGGGAATTCCTGCGTTCTTAATTCCTGCGACAAAGGGAGACGATCCGGCACCAGAACCACCAGAGGTAATGATGGAGTCGTTCGAGGGGCAGATGACACCGATGGCAAGTACGCTGCCGACGTAGAAGATCACAAGACGGTAGATGTATCGGCGTGCCGCAGTAGGCAGGTTCCGACGTGGTGACTGCATTTCGCCACCTGTTGCTACAAGAAGCTCCGGGGCAAACGTGAATGGAAACTAGGATAGAGGTTAGTGAAACTGACTCGAGGCTACAAGAGCAGCATGCTTACAGCAGAAAGCACCATAGTAGATAGCAGTGCCACCAGACGCCCAGCATTACCCTCTTCTAGATACGTATTTGCCGCGCCAGGGTTCTTCCAGTACCTGAAGCCGAGACGATCGTGCTGTGGTCCACCGCCCCAGAACAAGATGAAGGATAGGATAAGCAGTCCTACAATCATGACGACCTTTGTTCCAGCGAACCAGAACTCCGTTTCGCCGTAGAACTTGACTGGAAAGCAGTTCAGCCCCACGATGACGATGATCATGATCGTAATCCACACTGCGATGTTCACGGGTGGGTTCCAATACTCAATAACTAATCCAGCTGCCGTGATCTCGTAGGGTACAAGAATGCCGAGAGAGTAAAAGTATAGCCAGCCTAGTCCAAAGCCCATCGAGCGGGAGACATAGCGGTATCCGAAGAGGTTCATAGAAGACCCGGGAGTTGGAAGATAGGCGGCGACTTCGATGATACCTGCAACGGTACAGAAGATCAAGAAGGACATGGCGATATATGTGGATAGGATAAAGGCTGGGCCGCCGCGAGCGAGGGTTTGGCCTGAACCAACAAAGAGACCAGTTCCTATCGTGCCGCCCAAAGCAATCATTTGGGCATGTCTGCTTTGCATTAATCTTCCAAACTAAATAACACGGAACAAGATCGACTCACCGTGACTTCAGACCTCGCTGTGTGGTCTCATAACGCTCATCGAATATCTCTCCTGCAATAATGGCCGGATCAACAGCAGAGCTCTTCCTACGACTCGCTGTATGCGAATGTCGCACATGGCCAATGCCATAGTCTACATGCTGTTCTCCGATAGTTGACTCCTCAGTCTTCTTCTCAGACATATTAGCGTTTCCAACTACTGCGTTGAGGATCAGTTTTCGACGTTACAGAGTATTAACAGTACGCCAGGGGATCCAATGCGTGGAGACGCAGGGTTTATGAACACATTTGGTGTACATGCAGTGTAGATTGAGACCATCCATGTGGTAGGCTCAAGCGACCCTTGTCAGCATGCCATGGCCGATAGTCGTGCAACCTAAGGAAGGCTTGTCCCGCTAACGTTCCTAGTATCCACACGACCGCACCAAAGTCAGGCAAGATAGGATCCAGTCGCAATGCCGATATGGTCTTCTCCAGCCGCTCACATCAGGTTGTGAACGGAGGTTCGGCGGAATGAGTCGAGACCGGCGAGGGTTGAAGATAGGCGCCGATAAGCACAATGGCAAGCGATTGCAAAAGCTGATAAGCTTATTGACATACGCTATAGAGGAGAGCTAGACCACTTGGATAGATTTTCGGAGTTATTCGTCTATCTGCGGTAGTGTTGCGTGCGGCATCGTTGTGGCCTGACGTGTGCGGATATGCTGTGTAGTTCTAGGAAGCGCGGCAACTACGATGCTGGCAACGGAGTGTGCTTGGTGCAATTCTCCGTAGATGCACGAGGCCGGGGTTTGAGATACCGGGAGTGGTGATGCACGAAGAATATCCACTAAGACGGCGCGTTGTTATCGCAATTCTCCGAACAACGCAATCTGAACTCAGTCGGGATTAGCCCCCGGCCTAACTAGAGCAGGTGGCGGCGGCGATGTCTTCTGCATGGACTTGCTTTCTCTCGTCAATTTCTCGCAACGGTCATAGTTGATGGCTGAGAGTCTGATTGCTATTCAGAACAAACTCTAAAATCCGTCGTCACCTTTGTCGTGATTCGACTTCAAGATCACCGCTGCCAAGGTACTACTCATGACCAAATTCTAGTGTACATAATCACATGCGTGAATAGACCAGGCTTCGACATTCACCATCTTAGACGACTTCAAAGACAGCATATCGCCCTACCTCAAAGATCTTCATACCACATTCACAGTGGTATTTCCCTCTTCCCGTCAATCAACAGAACCTGCCTCTTTAGTCCACTAAACCACTCTATTTTAATTGCAGTCCGCCAGGTGAGACCGCACCCGTGTCCGAGGCATACATAGTCGTAGGACGTGGAGCTATTCGGAGGTATACTGAGGACTTGGGCGTGACCAGACACTGTAGGTTGAGTGCTTAGGTTATGGATGGTAATAGTTTGCGATGTGATGTCAAGCTTGATGTTGTTATGCCAGGTCGAGGAACATACACGACACGACATGAATCCGAGTGGATGCAGCGCGGGCGAACGGAGATAATAAATTGCGTTCCTGTGGCCGCAGATGCATTTCCAGGATCCGATGTGATCTGGTGCACCTTGTTCAGCTTCGAGAATCTGGGCCTTTGTCTTATCAAGCTTAGAAGGAAGGTGTAGTAGTGCGCGGATTCGGCCAACAAGTGACAGCTCTGAGGACATAGTAACGGGCTGGAATAGGCTGGAAGATGAACAGGGGGTGTAGCAGGTTACATGGTCTTATAGTGGTCGAGATTGCAAGGCGACGAGACAGATGGGTATGTTTGAGACCTCTGTGATCAAGGCAGCCCGAGTGACCACATCGTATTCTTGTAAGACCATGACTCACCTGATAGTGCGCCCGGGTGTCTCTGAACTACTATGCATATCTCACTGTGCTGCTTGAACCCCACTGACAGCCTCATGGCTTCACCATGTCAACTCTTTCTGCGGCCTCTGAACCATGCCTGGAGGTACACAGCCCCACGAGCACACGCTAACTTTCAACGGAAGGAATTCGCCTCCTCGACTCCAGAACTCTACCCACTCCGCGCGTGCCACAACATACTCTTTATGACAGGTATGACACTTGCGGAACATACCATATCCATCAGCAGCATTCTCTTGTGCTCGCGAGAGGATAGCTTCCACGACGGGAAGAAATCTTCGAGGTACGCACGGATGTTGCCGATACTCGCAGATTTGAGCTCCCTATGCAAGCTAGCTGTGACCAAGGAGGGCACTTTGCTTGTAGACGGAGGGGCGAACCAAGGTGAAGAAGGAACACCGTATGTGCCCTGATTCGTTTCGATGATGATGGGATATGTCTCTTCGTTGGAGCAAGGAAGCCGTGGAGATGCCTTGAGGAGGCTGCCATTTTGCTCATAGTACGATACTAGTGTCCTGGCGATGTACCGTGGTGCGTGGGATAGAACTTGACTATCATTCGTAGCCTCCAAGGGCAAGCAAGGGTGATGCGGATAGAATCCAACGTCTTGTTCAACACTGCATTCCCGGGCATTATCTCCACCATCAAAGGAGTTTGCCCAGGACTCGAAATACCGGATGCGCCAGACTGCTTGGTCGCGGTCTTTACACGTCGCCAGAGTCTGGTACAGGTGCGCAAGTTGGTTGCTTGCGTCTTCTCGTACCTCATCGAGTGGCAGCGAGTCCATGTGATGAAGGGACCCTTGCTCTTGCTTCTGGTAGTCGGTCGTGTAGAATCTACGAGAAGGCATTGGCTGAAGCAGATCTTTGCCCATGAGAGTGAGGCGGCTCATGTTCCCATGTGGAGAAAGAAGCGTGATGACGTCGAAGGGGAGGTACTTGAGCTTGTTGAGAGATACGTCTAGCGTTTCAAGTTTTCTTAAGCAGCTGATTTGTTGCGGAAGCTCTTCAATCTCGTTTTGACGCAGATACAGACCAGTGAGATGCTCGAGGTCGAACAGAGACGGAACGAGTCGACGGAGCTTGTTCTTACTGAGGTGGATTTGAAGTTTAGGGAGGAGAGATCGGTACTGTCCTGCCGTGGGAAGCTCAGTGTCGTGGACCGGAGGATCACTAATGACGGTTTTGAGGTTGCCAATGTGCCTGATGTCACTGTCCTCGAGGTTCTGGCCATCGAAATCGTACGACTCTTGGTTCCTCGCGATACCATGGTCCATCTGCTCGTTGAAGGCACGTTCTGCTGTCGGGTGGCTATTGGTGTCGATAACTATCTCTTCCTCATTGGTAACATTTGTGTTGATGGCGCGTTTGGTCGGCATCTTGCTCCTCAGGTTGTAGGGCGACACGTACGGGGGTGGAGGTAGTTCTCCGGAACTGTTACTCGCATCACTGAGCATGTAGATGCCAGAGTCGAAGTTGCGCTCAAATTTTGTCTTCTTCACCTCGGGGCTGGTGTGGGCCGATTCGCGGCTGTCCCACCATGCGCCCTTGCGCTTGTTCTTGTAAATACGCGGAGACTCGTAGTTGGTCACGTCGACGGATTCGCGAGAGTCGTCGCTGGAGAAGACAGGGGGAGGTGAGCTCGATTTCGTGGTGAAGGCGGTATGTTGCCGCTCGAAGAAGGGGTTGGGCGGGAAGTCCATGGTGCACGCGAGCGGTGGTGAGGAGGGGGCGCTTCATCGTAGTCCATGGCGAAGTTGGCTTTTTCGAAGAACAATTGAGCAGAGGAAACAGACGGTCGATTCTTTGGTGTGTCGAGATGCTAGTAGCGCAAAAGAGAGATGATGGCTGGGAGACGCGTTCTGGCCAGCCACAACGCGTTGTAGAAGTGTGAGTTGGGGCGAACCAGGGTCCCGCCTCCCGTCATCGACGGCGCACAGACAGCGTTCCCCACGTGCATTGTGCATAAAGCCTAACCAGTGCATTGTGTCAACTACCCAAGGATGCAAACATTCAAGGCAGTGCGCATATCAGTTCTATAGCTCCGCCATGCGTCTGATGGCCAAGTTGGATACAAGTCGTCCCTCCATACCAATGTCTGCCCCTTCTAGTGGCTCGCCTTTGGACATGGCCAACTCTGTCATGACTCTACCCATCTCCTTCGCTGGCGTCATCATAGCCTTGTAGAACAGATTCATTGGTGGTATCAGCATCTTCTTGTACATTGCCTGCGGCGGTATGAACGGGTGGATCGCCATGTGTTTTGTCCAATCCACGCCGCCGGGTCGTACGTTATACACCCTGAACATGGGGTTCAATCTACCCAAGTCGACAAGCTCCGACTCGACCTGCCCTTTGACTCGTGCGTATAGACTTGTGAAGGTGCCTGGCGACTGCGTAGCGCCCTCGCCGGAGACATGGAGAAACGTAAAGGGCGAATCTGGGTGGATTGTAGAAAAGGCACGCGCGGCAGCCATGGCGTAATCGTGGGTTATTTTGAGATATTCCCTAAGAAAAAGTGTTAGCATGAGGCTACATAACCTTTTCTATGAAATGACTTACTCCTTGCTGACGTCGTTCTGCGATACGCCCAAAGCCCAGACACAACCTTGTGCATCCTTCAGTTCGTCCAAGAGAGCTTTGTCGTAGACTTTGAAGTCTGTATGGATGATGACTTTCGCCTTGACATGTCCTTCGGCCATCTTGACAGGTCGTCTGCTAAGGATTGATATGCGACTAATGCTCTCTTGCGCGAGCATGTTGTGGAGCACAGATGCGCCTACCAGCCCCGTCGCGCCTGTAAGTATGAGATGCATGGTAGCTGCGGTTCTTCGTTGATTCCGCTGTTTTGCCGCTACATCTGGGACCAAGTTCGACCTGTCCCACAGCTTCGAAATCATCTACTGTGTTTATCTGCGTGCTTAAATGTAAGCGCTACCATCATGATCAGTTGTGATTAACGGGCGTAATATCCTCCAATGGCAACGGTGGAAGCTCCGTGCAGCAGTTGGCAGCCATGGAGATAATAGCGAATTCGATTGGGTAGCTCTGCGGTGTTCGATGCAGCCCCGACAATTGTCCGTCCCTGCCCGTGACACGGAAGGCTAACGCGCTTGACTAAGCTCGAGGTTTCCAAGCTTCACAAAGAGACCGTCGAGTGACATAGCACACAGAACTCCTTCCCTTGGAACCTCCAAAACACGCCTCCCTATTGACATGGGAATTATATCATTTACAATTGCGTTTCAAGGTACGCGCAATGACAGGCTCACAGGCTTCCGCGGCCCCTGGCGATCAGCCGTGGCGAGCCTACGGGATTTCGCTTTGCCCGGCGGCGAGAAAAGTGACCAGGTCCAAAGCAGGATGACTGTCTGCCCACAGCCTGTGCCGCGATAGCTAAGTATCCTCGCGCTCTCTCCACTCACTTTCTTCTCCGTTGCTTCATTCCTTTGAGTCGCTCTTTTGCTGCTTTTTTTTTCGTTCGTCTGAACCTCGTGCAGCCATGGCAGCCGCAGCCATGGCTACCGCGGACCCTCGCATTGTTTCCCTGGTCCTGCACCATTTATCCAACATGAAGTACAAGGATCGCAGACAGCAGGGACCCGATCAACCTGTTGAACTTCTCGAATTTCGGCCCACACTGGTACCTTCGATTCTGGTCAATAAACTTTGGGCAGACCAAGGCACAGCTATCCTGTGGAGACGCTATCCGCACCTTCCCGCTCTGCAGAAAATGATCTTCAACCGAAGGCAATGGTACGCGAACAAAGTCGAAAGGCTGTTCGTCTTGGGTCCCACAGACGATAGTGGAGATCTTGCATATCTAGAGGGCTTATGCTGGCCGGACCTCAAGATACTGGAGCTGGAGGTGGACTGGAAGAGACATGCGAAAGCAATCAACGCCATGCTACACCCAGGCCTTGGGCAACTGGAATTCCTTGGATCCCAAACTGGTGACTCACGTTACGTCGCTGGCACTGTTCTTCCCGCCTTGTTCGCACCATGTACCAACCTTGCTAGCATTACCTTTGGTTCAGATGCTCTTTGTCCTGAAGACCCTGTGTCTTATCGAGAATTGATTGATCTACTCGACGCTGTGCCCAGCATTACGAATGTTCGATTGATGAATGCTAGCTTTTCCAACAAGGATATGCTTTTCAGACTCTTAAGTCGCCGGCCAGGCCTGAAAGCTCTTCACATCGACCTCGATCCGGACTTGCAATTATTGCCGTACTTCTCGGGCCCCAACGCGCTTGTTTCCCCATTTTCCTCTTTGAGGCAACTCCAACTCATGTGCTATCCCGAGCTGGCCGTCACACTCCTACCGCACCTGCCGCTTGTAGAACAAATACAACTAGACATAGCTAGAATACCAGAGCGACCACCGCAGGACTGGGACATGAATATCCTTGATCATATCCTGGCTCAGTTGGCACAGTGCAGTGGGCTCCGGTCATTACGAGTCAACATCGGTGCACTCGCGCTCAACTTTCCATCGGCCGCATCGCACCCGCTCCTTCATGGTACGGCTTTAGTGGAACTTGCCAAAGGCTGTCCCAAGTTGGAAAATATCAACCTTCTCGCCTCGGAACCTAGTGCAATAGATGGGTCTATGATCTCGAGTCTTCACTTCGAGGCATTTTGTAGGAAATTGCCGCAGCTTTTGAGTCTCAATATCAAGCTCCATCCACAAAGCGCAATCGATCTGGAGGCTACCGCGCTAGCGAGTCTCGGAAAGAACTGCCCTCTGCTTGAAACTTTGCGCCTGAAAGTTTCACTACATCTCCCAGATCTACAGATACTACGTAATCATTCGCCTCCAGAAGCCGTCGAGACGCCGCTCAACGATCGCTCTCAAACCCTCGACACACTCTGTACTCCGGCCATTACTCTCAACGGCCATGAACGGGGCGCTTCCGTGGAACTAGAAGATCTAACCGGTACTGGAACTTCTGACGGCCCGCTCTTCCCATTCCTGACGCATGTTGCCTTCGCACGTCCTCAATCTATCCTCTCGATTGTTAGTGACACATACACCGTTTCATCTAACTCGCAATGTAGCTCCGTGGTCGATCCACTCGTTGAAGAAGAGCTTGTCCGGTCATGGGCACAACCGCTAGGAGCACATTTCCCTCGTTTAGAGATACTAGAAGCATGGAGTGACTGGACGGGACAGGATAACGAGTCACTGAGTTATTTTCTACCGCACGAGGAGCTACTGGCGAGTGTTTGGGACTTTTTGAGTGGAGTCGAGCAAGACCTTTGGGAAGACCCAGAAGATGCAGAAGAAGAAGAAGAAGTGAACAACGAACCGGATTGGGCTGAATATCGTAAGGAGCGATTCAGTATGGACAGCTACATCAGTGGAGATTGGGAGCTCGCCAGCCTCGTGAATGAATTCCCGGCAGAAGAGGATTTTAACAAGAGCGCATATTCAGACACATACAACGAAGAGCCAGAAGGCATGGTCACACCGGGAAGAAACATAGACGATGGTCAAGAATCATATTTTGGTCGTGCAAATACGAAGTACATTACTGCTTCTGGGTCGTCAGCAGTTGTTGTCGTACCGCATGCGGCAACACATTGAACGGCAGAGGCTCCGCACACAATACCAACCATCTTTCATACGCATACCAGCCATTTTTCATACGCATACCAACCATGGCAGTACTTTAACTATATTTTTTTACATATACGACTACACGACAAACGTATGATTTGATTCTCAAGACATGATTTCACGCAAGATAGAGATAAGGTATTTAGGCCAGCACACGCGGCGTGTACTACGTTCGATATCAATCCCCTTTGTCTCAAAGCCTGTACCATGTATCCTCTTCCCAAGAGCATTGCACATTGTATATAGAGTAGCTATTCGTTTCTACAGATCATAAGTCTGCCCTTGACGGTCCAGTAATACAAGGCACTTACACCTCATTGCTTTTCGACTTCTGGAATTTCGATGAAGTCCTGCCCTAGTCATCCGATTGTCAACTCCCTGTCGTCTTCAAACGCGCATTCAGATCACTAAAAGCCGCCCATCGATCAACAACTGCGACTCACCACCACCCTTGTCCGGACACGTGAAGTGCGTCTCCAATTGATCCGGGCCCGAGCGTGTAGCTGTAGCAGGTACGCCCACGGTCCAGTTAAAACCATCACACCTCCGCGCTCGACCTTCTTCACATAACGCAACGCTTCTTACCTTTTTGATAGCTCCTAATAAGCTGTATCAAATCTCCACAATATATGCCATGATATCTAGGTTGAGAAAATATTGCACGTCATCAATATATTCATTGCAGTGAATCGGGATCAAGCGACTAGATCAGGTACATACACTGCGCTTTGCTGTCCCTACTATTCCAGAATATAGAATCTGGTCTTCGCCTACCTCGCAATAATTTAGCACATACCAACGACCCATCTATGCTCTTGAATGCTGTGGCTGTGATCACCCCGCCCGCTGTTTGGTGCCGGAAAGCAAAGCATTTAAATACCAAGTCCTCTACTGACCTTGACTCCAGCACACTCCCAACATATACGACCTCCAATAACAGTTTTGCACATAAGACTATCAACACGATACAGCTGCAACGATGAAGCTCTTCAACGTGATCACTACCTTCTTCGGTCTTGCCGCAGCTCTCCCCACTGCCATCAAGCTTGCTCCTTCCACGGAATCCCACTCCATTCAAGGCATAGATAAGCGCGCCAAGGCGTGTATACCCAAATGTCAGGGCGCCGCGGATGATCTCCGGGACTGTAATTATAGACCCTCTTGTCAGGGTGGCACATACTGGTGGCGCGAGTTAAACAACGCATATGTGGGATCGTTCTTCTTGGACCTGCTATCTTGTTAACTAACACAAATACCAGAACAACTGCTGCCGTGGCGCGAAGCTGATACACTCCGAGAACGTTGTTATCAAGGCTGTCGACCTCGACTCTGATACCGCGGGCGACCCAGCCGGCAACCCCGCTGATTACGTCGACCCGGCCGGAGGCAAGGTGGAAGGAGTTTAGTATCAGGAAGGGGTAGAAGATGAGCTCATGGAAGTTTGGATGGCGCTAGCCGAAGAGGGCGTGGAGACGGCGTGCATACGAGGATACACGGCGATGGATAGGAGGCTATGACTTTGTAATGACTCTTGTTAAATTCCTACTAGCTGATTCATTCGAACTATCGCTTTCTGAAGTGCATAAGCTTGGACTGTGATGCCTTGGTAGCTCTAGGGAATTGACCACGAAAGCTCCAAGAAAAGCCGTTTAATGATTCGAACGCACTCTAACTGTCGCGTGGTATGTCTCCTATGTGAGAAAACAATTAACATAAATGCATTTGGAAGACTCTTGGGTCTACGCATGGAATTGAAGTGCGAGGAAGACACGTAGCATCTGACCCTGACTTCAAGAGTTAAATTGTGACGTACAAAAGTAAGAAACGAATATTTAGCAAGTAGGGACAAAAGAAAGATCGAGATAGCGACGTATCAACCATGAATGCTTCAAGGTCTCATATATTCCGGTCCGACGGGAGACCTTTCTTCAGAATACTTCCACTACCTTCTCATCTTCCTAAGATTCGTAGCCAAAGCTCACACAGGACACTACATATCATATGACAACAGTCAGCACACATGCAGCTCATACTAATACCCGCACTCTTCGCGCCCAGCACGACAGCCGCTGTTCCAGCAGCAAGACAGTGTGCCTTAGTAGAGGATACCTGTCATACTACCTGCGACTCCGTCCGTAACAACCTCAATGTCTGTCTGTGCAACACCCAGGACAGACCTGAAGACTCTTGTCGCAATGCGCAGGTCGCATACGTATGCTTCCCTGCTTATAAGCGTCACCACAAGTTATCTCTCTAGCAGAATCGTGCTGATGTTGTATGCAGACCGACTGCGCAGTCAGAAAGTGCGTGCTTCCGGAGCAGCGCCGCGCCGAGGACGTTGGGGATGTGCCGCGACGGATCCAACTTGGAGGACATGTTGTCGCGAACGACGGAGGTAGAGGTACGAAGGATGTGAAGATGGCTGTGGAGTGATCAACCTGAAGGCTATTTCGAATGGTATATATGAGCGATAGTCAGGCGGTGTAGTCGCAGGCTGTCCAGTTCGCTATTAACCATGCCTAGGAGCATGTTGTGTCTTACAATCAGTCACTTGCCGTATGCTGGGTGATAAATTAGTTGATCCGTTACCGTGGTGTAGAAGACGTGCAAGTGTTGACTGGGATGATGCGTGTAAGCCAGAACTTTGATGTACAACCCCCCACCTTCAGAACTCTTCTGCTGTTCGCACCGAAGGTCATGACTCTGGCATATCGAATACATTGGGTAGGATAGCAATATGTGTCATGGTAGGTTATACAGTTGCTGGTCACTGAGCAGGGTGACCTGCGCATACTCTGCGCCAAGAGTAAATATTAGCCCGGATGCTTTCATGTCATAATTCCTTGCGACGCCTGCGGACGTCTTTGGCGGTCTCTTGTAGTTCTTGACCAAGCTGTTAGAAGAAGCTCATGTCGGCCCGTGATCCCAGCTCATTCCATGATCGCCCTAACGCTTCGCATAGAATCGATGACGCGACGGAAATCAAGCCTACGAGGCGCAGCGATGCAAGGGTCTGCACGCGAGGCTTGTTATTTTCTTCGGCATCGCGATCTCAAGGGCACCGAAGACGCGTTCGATCATGATTAATGCTCGGCGACTGGGCGTTGTCTGGGCGGATGCATTCGTCGCCGAGGCATCTTCGCCTAGGCTTGTCGAAGCGGCCAGCGCCTAAGGAGTCAGGCCAAGGTCTATGTCGACACGGAATCGAGGAAAGTACCATATTGGACGTCAAAATAAAGGTGAGTTCTGACGGCTTTCAACGACAGGCGATCCCCAGCTACCTGGAGCAGAGTGTGGTAAGCCGGGCCGTTGGGCAGGAGTCTAGGGCTTTTGGACGGCATCATGTGCCAATCGTTCTCTTACGCCCCACCGGCACAACATCAATCTGCCATGCGCCTCACCAGCGCCCGATGTGGACCATGGCGCGATGGGATGGACAGGGGATGTGGTAGTCGCAGACGTCCGACAAGACGTCGTCTGCTCGGCGTCGTTCCGTATACGCTGGGTACGGCGTGGGAGATACTAGCCAGGTATTTGCCATCCATGGTTCGCTACTAATGAATACCCTCTTTCTACCTGTCTGCACCGTTCCTTTGTCCTTTGTTGCTAGCCTTTTGCGTCTCGAGTACGAGGAGAGATGCTTTTGTCTTCGGAATAATTGCGATTAGGAAACACGATCTACGCTACGAGTGAACGACTCGATCCTGCACTTCAACCCTCAGCGCGCCCACCACGGGCAACAAACGCGACCATGGCAGGCGCAATTGTGAGCCAGACATGGATTCTCACAAAGAAGACGCTGCTCGTTGTCTTTGTACGCCACTGGTTCTTCACGAGCGTTCGCGCTTTCTGGGCTCCCATAATATTTGTACGTTTAACTAGACCTTGACAGGGAAGCGATGGCTGACCAGGGCTTCTGCAGATGTTCTTCATTACCTACGCCAAAAACTTCTTCGTCCCCCCCTCCGATTATGGCATCGGCGCCCCATCCCTCATTCGTTCATTCCCCAACGCGCTCAGTGTTGCCGAAGGCGGCCGCGACAAAGTCGTCTTTGTCAACAACGGATACACTGGTAGCGACATCGAACAGGTCATTGGACAACTATCGACTCAGGTCCGTGATGCAGGCCTGCAGGCTATCACGATTGAACGGGACGTGGAGCTGCTTTCCACATGTGAGAGCTCGTTGCGTGGTGCCAGCACATGTTTTGGTGCAGTGTCCTTCCATTCCAGTCCGAGCCAAGGTCAAGGACAGAGCTGGAACTACACCATCAGATCGGACGGAGCACTGGGAGAGGAGATCTACGTGAATCAGGATGACAACGATGTCCAGATCTACATCCTGCCTTTCCAACGGGCCATCGACCAAGCCATCGCTTCCGTTGACGGCTCTGCTACCGTTCCCGACATCGATGAGTACCCATACACGGAGCGTACGCAAGAGGAATACGATGATCGGATCAGGACTTTGTACATGGGTGCACTCATCAACATCATGGGTGTGGCTCTATACATTGGTGTATGTGGCGTGACCTACCAACTTACGGGGCAAATGGCAGAGGAAAGAGAACGTGGCATATCGCAGCTAGTAGAAGCAATGTCTCCAGCCAAGAAGCCATGGCACACGCAGTTTGCCCGTCTCCTGTCCATGCACATTGCGTTTGACATTATTTACTTTCCAGGCTGGGTCATCATGGGAGCTATCGTCTGGGCATTGGCTTTCCAAACGTCCAATGCTGCCATACTGGTCATCTTCCACATTCTTGCTGGCCTGTCCTTGACTAGCTTTTCCATCTTCGGGGCCGCCTTCTTCCGCAAAGCCCAACTATCTGGTATCACTATTGTCATCGTTCCCATCCTGTTGGCCATCATCGCGCAAGTCGCTGGACCCTTCAGCACAGGTGCTGTATATGTTCTGAGCTTGCTCTTTCCATCTATCAACTACGTTTTTTTCATCATCTGCGTCGCCCGTTTTGAGAGACAGCTTATTGGCATGAACCTCGTCGGAGCTGCGCCCGACTACCAGGATCACATTTGGACCACTCCCGGCATCGTCTTTTGGGTGTTCGCTATTATTCAAACTATCGTATACCCTGTTCTAGGGGCTCTCGTCGAGCGCTGGTTGTATGGTACGGTGTCAGCGGACAGGAAGACTACGACTTCTTCGCCGGATCACAACATTATCTTGACAAACTTCTCGAAGCATTGGACCCCGAGCTGGTTCCGCAGAAATGTTCTTACCAAGTTTGGCGTAAAGCCACCGGAAACAGTCATCGCCGTGGATGATTTCAGCATGAAAGCGCGCAAAGGTCAAATCATGGTTCTACTGGGCGCCAACGGTAGCGGAAAGTCCACCACCCTAGATGCCATCGCTGGGCTCAATTCGATCACTAGTGGAGCGATTGAGATTGATGGCACCGGAGGTCTTGGACTGTGTCCGCAGAAGAACGTCATGTGGGATGAACTGAACGTCTATGAGCATGTTCGCATCTTCAATCAGCTCAAGTCGACCGGAACCTACGATACCAAGGACACCATCGAGAATCTTATCCGCGCTTGCGATTTGGGACATAAGATCAAGGCGCAATCATGCACACTTTCTGGCGGTCAAAAGCGCAAACTTCAGCTTGCCATGATGTTTACTGGAGGTTCAAAAGTCTGCTGTGTTGATGAAGTGTCATCTGGCTTGGACCCACTCTCGCGAAGGAAGATCTGGGAGATTCTACTTGCCGAGCGTGGTGATCGCACCTTCCTGCTTACTACGCATTTCCTCGATGAGGCAGATGTTCTCGCTGACTACGTTGCCATTCTCTCTCGCGGCGTACTCAAGACTAAGGGTACTTCGGTCCAGCTTAAGCATGAAGTCGGCGCCGGATACCACGTCACGTATCCCAAGGACGCTCCAGTCAAACCCCCGGTAAATGCTGTGAAAAAGCCTGCGCCCTCCGAGGGTATGATTCAGTATCAGTTCGAGGACGCGCTGCCCGCCACCAAATTCGTCGACATACTGAGAGATCACGGGGTCAAGGACTACGACATTGTTGGCCCAACACTAGAAGACGTATTCCTTGCCAATGCTGAGGAGGTAAAGGAATATAATCTCATGGACGCTGATCACGGTGAACAGACTGGCATGACAGCGTCGGACAAGGAGCTAGACGTACCTTCAGACCATAACTCTGATGCCGACAAGAGACTAGAGATGGGTAAAGGTCGTGGTACTGGTCTGTTCAAGCAGATGCTTATCCTCGTACAAAAGCGAGTGACCATCGTAAAACGCAACTTCTGGCCATACGTCTTTGCCCTGCTTCTTCCAATCGTCGCCGCTGGTTTGGTTACGCTCTTCTTGAAGGATTACGAAGCTGTGGGCTGCGATCCTGGAGCCAGCGCCAACGACCCGACGATCTTCTCACTTTCCAACGTGGACGATATCCCACTCATCCCTATTGGTCCGAGGAGTACTGTTGGTCCTGCTATTGATACAATCATCCAACGGACAGGCATTCCCGAGGACAGCTTCTACCTCGTGGATACACTCGATCAGTTCAATGATTTCGTCAACACACAATTTCGCAACATTACACCGGGTGGCTTCTTTTTGAAAGAGAACGGTCCGCCTGTCATGGCTTACCTTGCGAACGGTGGTGTCATCGGTGGCCTCATCACATTGAATACTCTCGACAACATCCTAACGAATAGTACCATCTCCACGCAGTATCAGCAATTCGCTGTGCCCTTCGCTCCTAATATGGGCGACACTCTACAGCTGACTCTGTATTTTGGTCTGGCCATGTGCGTCTACCCTGCGTTGTTCGCTCTGTATCCCACCCAAGAGCGACTGAGGAACGTGCGAGCGCTGCACTACAGTAACGGTATCCGGGCTGTGCCACTATGGCTGGCGTACACTGCGTTCGACTTCTTGTTCGTACTTGTGATCTCTGCTGTCACTACGGGGATCTTTGCAGCCGTAAGTTCGGACTCACTTATCATATAAACGTTTGGGCTAACGTTGTGCTAGGCTTCCGATGCATGGTATGCACCAGGCTACCTCTTCGTGGTGTTCTTCCTCTATGGCCTTTGTGCAACCCTCTTCGCGTATCTGATCTCTATTGTCGTCACATCGCAACTCGCAGCCTTCGCCTTCGCCGCCGGAGGTATGGTGTCGCTCTACCTTATTTATTTTATCGGTTACATGTGCATTTTGACTTATGCGCCTGCATACGCCATCGATTCTTACATCGAATACTTCCACTGGACTGTCTCGCTGATCTCGCCATCAGCAAGCTTGCTTAGGACACAGCTGCTATCTCTAAACTCCTTTAGCATATTGTGTGATGGAAACCAGATTCCAAGCTATCCCGGTGCTTTGACTGTGTACGGAGGGCCCATCTTGTACCTCGTTGTGCAGATCATTCTGCTTTTCATTGCCCTCGTGTGGTGGGACTCAGGATATCGACCAGCGTTCCTTAACCGCGAAAAGAGCCGTCAGCAGCACTCGGAGGAGAGGGTGGATACTGTTCCTCCTGCTGTCGCTGCTGAGATCACGCGCGCTGAGCAGAGCACAGATAGCCTTCGTGCACTGCATCTGCAGAAGACGTTCGGGTCTAACCATGCTGTCAACGACATCACTTTTGGCATCCCGCAAGGTCAGGTTTTCGCCCTCCTTGGTCCCAATGGCGCTGGAAAATCTTCGACCATCTCACTCATTCGTGGCGACATACATCCCACAACGCATATCAACGGTGGTGGTGATGTTTTGATCGAAAATATATCCATCATCAGCAAGCGCGCAGCTGCACGAGGTCATCTTGGTGTATGTCCGCAATTTGATGCCATGGATTCCATGACGGTGACCGAGCATCTCTACTTCTACGCTCGCGCTCGCGGCGTCCCCAACCCAAAGGCAAGTGTCGATGCAATTCTCCAAGCTACCAGTCTGGGGCGCTTCAACGACCGTCTCGCGTCCAAACTTTCCGGTGGCAATAAGAGGAAGCTCAGCTTGGGCATTGCTTTGATGGGTAACCCATCGGTTCTACTATTGGATGAGCCATCCTCTGGTATGGATGCAGCTGCAAAGAGAGTCATGTGGCGCACACTACTCGGTGTAGCCGCACCTGGGCGTGCCTTGTTGATTACTACTCACTCCATGGAAGAAGCAGACAAACTCGCCACCCGCGTCGGTATCATGAAGCGCAAGATGCTTGCCCTAGGCACCGTCAGTGCTTTAGGAGAGCAGTATGGCGATGCTTGGGTCGTACAGCTGGTTCTCAAATCTGCACCTGAAACCACAGAAGAAGAGATGGAAGCTGTCAAGCAATGGGTTCAGAAGAAGATTCCTGGTGTTCAACTTGACAAATGGGGTTCCCGAGGTGGAGGCCATGGACAACTACGGTTCAAAGTACTCAAGGCCGCATCTCCCGATTCTACTGCATCGCCCGCGCATCTCGACAATGCGCAAGATGGCAAGATCACCGAAGCAGAGGTCCATCAAGTCAATACGATATCTTCAGCTGCTTCAGCATCTGATCTGGGCGGCATCCCTGGTCTCATTCAGTTGCTGGAGACCAATCGCCATGAGTTAGGTTTGGAGTACTACTCTGTTTCGCCCACCACCTTGGACGAAGTCTTCCTTCGCGTTGTTGGCGAAGAAGATGAAGAGACGAGCGGAAAGAAACCAGAGGGTACGAAGAGGAATCAGTGGGGCCGTTTCATATGCTGTGGCATGTGGCCTGCTTAGTGTATACATGCTACAACGGGAAATAAGTGCTTGAACTACAAGTAGAAGATGGGCGAATGTGTGATTATATGGTGGTTTCGTTTCCACAATCTGGCGTTCTAAGATACCACACAGCACTCGGCTTTCGTGTATAGACTGTCCAGTAATCTTATTTTGTAATACTTAGCCCCCCAGTGCCTTCGAACTTTGTGAAACTATTTCGCCATTTTCGAATAACCTTTACTGGCATCTGGAATCGACCTGCGGGAGCCAGCCTAGGTTCTTTGTTCTCTTGATACATGCTTGTATGGTTTGCAATACCCCTCGTCGTGGTTACTCAAACAGTCTGCGAGTAGCGTCTGCAACACCCTCTATTTCACACACACACACACACACACACACACACACACACACACACACACACCGCGGGTACATACATGTCTCTACCAGCTCACAAGATATCTTTCTTACCTTCGTCTTTCAGTGTCGTCCAGTCGTATCTTCAGATGTAGTATCCGCATACGGCTGTCTCTTTTCGCCCTTGAACTTATTCGGGTCATGGGTGTTCCGGCGCTTTGAATGTGATCACAGTATATGGGTACATTTCGCGGTAGATGCCAAGTTTGTAGAATTTGCGCAACAGGAAACTTTAATGCGACCGATGCAGAGAACGTCCATGTCACGGAGTACAGATTCAAAAAGACGGATTTTCGACCCAGTTTGATGGAAGATGGCGCGATGGAGAATATTGAGCCATATCATGAAAGTAGATTAGACAATTCAGCTAAGGACCCCCAGCATCATGGGTATTGTACCGTGACGCCTAGGAAAACATTGTCCTCAATCGATCGACTTGCTCATGATGACATAGTCGGCCTTGATGACCTTGTTCCTTGTAACCCTATCGCCTGGGCTGCACTCATCCTTACTGTAGCCTAATTTCTCATACATGCTCTTTGCGCGCTTGTTCGCAGTGAAGACTGTAAGCATTGTCTTTCTAATTCGACATGCGCGCGCCACATTCTCGACGAATTTGATGAGATGAGACCCGAGGCCTTGTCCGCGAAGCTGCTCATGGAGATGAATCTCGTAAATGTAAAGAACTTCACGGTCTTCGTGCGGAGAGTCGTCGTAGGTAAACATGAAGGAGGTGAAGCCGAGAATGTAGTTGCCGCAACTGGTCTGAGGGTCTGGCGAATGCTTGACTGAACAGGACTCTTTCTTCTCTAAAGCGGTTGAAGCCTTGGTCTGGTTCCATGTGGCTGCCTCTTCCTCGCCACTGTCTGGAGTGTAGCCTTGATTGAGCTGATCTAGAGGATTGAGCCGTGGCGGGTGTTGACCCAGCGCATATGAAGCACCCCTCACAGACGGGCTTGAATCTGCATCGATCCGAGCCTCTGTCCATTCCATCCCCTTGTGCAAGTTGTTCATCTCTTGAGTCTCTTCCATGCTACTCTGACCAGCCGTGTCTGAAGGGCCCTGACGCACAAGGAGATACATCATCTCGCCGTCGAGCATTTCCTCCCTCTTCTTGCGCGGATTCCAGCCAATGCTTGATGTCTTGTAGTCGTGTCCCGAAGTCTTCTCGACGAGGCTGAGGCAAGCCTCGAGCTCGCCTTTCTTGAGGTCGAAAGCCGACGGAACGAATTGGAACGATACCGGGCATGGCAGATGTGGTGCCTCGTATGCGCTTAGGTGGATGTCTTCTCGCAAGAGAGCCTGCACTGTCTGTACGCGTGCGACGACGTGCGGCGTCTGGTGGGCTTCGGAGTGGCTGTGTCCATCGCAGACGTCCATGTCGTAAAGCTCGCGCCCGTTTCTAAGCTGCTATTCTATGGCGTTGATTCGTTTGCGATGGATTAACGTGGGCATCGGGTCGATCGCGGCTGACGACAGTGCGGATGCGCAGGCTTGGTGGTTAGGGTTCGCGTCTGGTGGAGAAGACGCGACGCGAAATCTGTGTAGTTCATACCCTTCATTTTGATCCCTAAGATCTGGGGTGCCGGCAGTCGTCTCAAGTGTGACCACCATCGATGGCCCTTATCCAAGTTGTGTCATGTCTCCAGCATGGCTGCTCAACTAGTCAGCCTACAGAATGTGGCTTCGTGGCGCCGATCCTCAAGTGTTGCACATGCATCCTTGAATGACTAGCATCATCAAAGCCTAGCTCATTCGTCTCGATACGTCAACCTGCATCGATGCGAAGAGCCTCATCCGGTCAATCGACCACTACCTTATTCTACATATTTGCATCGTTAGATCCACGCAGTTCGAGTATCCTACACCACACTGAGGGAATGCTACGAAGATATGCCACGGTAGCGTCCAAGCCTCCTTCCCGGCTGCGAGCACGAGGAAAGAGTCCTGTGGGCCTGGACCACGTACGTATTTCCAAGATATCACCTACACAGTACAACGACCACTGACTGTCATCTAGTTCATCCAGCGACAACGCGCGTTGGCGTTGTGGAGAGAGATTGTCCGCAGCACGTCACACATACCCGACGCAGGAGCGAGGAAGGACATGCGGCAATTTGCAAGATCGGAATTCGAACAACATCGCTCCGTTACCGATCTCGTATGTCAACACCCCTATCACCTTTGATACTCAAATTAATTGCTGTGCAGGGCCACATTCGCTATTTGATATCGGTACGCCGCTTCTGAAACGCTTACAACATCGCCCAGGCATTCACTAACGCTTACATAGTATGGAAAGACACAGTTTCAGACCATGAAAGGGACTCTGATCAACACTGGAGTACTTACTGAATAGATTTCGTTGGAAAATTGCGCTTCTGCATCTGCCATGAATGTCCTGTGTTGCACCTTCTTCCCATTGGTTGGTTCCCCGAGGGGCATCTTCCTAGCGCATCGCATGCTAGCAGCGGACTTCTCAACACCACCTCACACTGCCCACAGATCTGTTTGTCATCATTCTCGCAGTACTACCCGAGCTCCCTCTATCGCGCTTCATACTTGAGTGATTAGCATCCGCCCGTTTTTCCCTTGTTTGCTCCGCCACTTCACGATCTTACCGCTCAGCCGTCGATGATTGCCCCTAAGGTGGAACATTCCGTTTGTATCGTAGGAGCCGGGCCTGCAGGACTGGTTGCTGCAAGGACTTTCAAACAACATGGCTGGGTGGTCACCGTGTATGACGCAGCAGACCGCGTGGGTGGCATGTGGAGAGATGGGCATGGAGGATTAGGTGAAAAATGCAGTCCAGAGATGCGGACCAATCTGAGCAGATATACTGTTGCATTTTCCGATTTGTCTTGGACATCGGTAGGCTTAGATCTTTCGGCATCCGCTGCACATCCACTAGCTGCTCCGCCTATGTTCCCTAGAGCGTGGCAGGTGGGGCGATATCTTGAAACATACGCAAAGATCTTTGGCATCACGGAAAATCTGCTACTCGGGAAGCGAGTTATCAACGCATCACTCCAAGAAGATAATACGTGGAAAGTGATTAGCGACGACGGCGCCGGTCAGCTAGACACCCGTACGTTCGATCGACTGATCGTCGCGAGTGGCTTCTTTAACAAACCGGCCAGTACCTTCGATTTCACTCCTTCCAAAAATCTCTCAACCATCCAACACTCTTCCAATTTTCGAAGTCTTTCTGAGTTGACAAGTTCTCCTGGCAAGGTCGTCGTAATTGGAGGCGGCATTAGCGGCTCAGAAGCCGCAGCACAGGCAGCCTTCCAGATCTCAAACGCAAAGCACTCACCTAGTCAGACGACATCCGCGCATGCACATAGTAGGGTCTTCCATATCATCAACCGGCCCTTCTACTGCCTTCCTCGCTACCTTCCTCAGGACCCTCAGAGCCAAGACGGAAACTTCAAGCCAGCACCCAAGTTCCTTCCACTCGACCTGATGCTCTACAACCTCTCACGTCGTGGTGATGGAGAGATTGCGGCAGCTATTACTACGGTACCACCAGAGAAGGCACAAAAAGGACACGAATTCCTAAGAGCGAGTATAGGATGCGGCCAGAGCGGCGAGGGGTATCCCGAGCTTGCTTACACTGCGAGCCAGACACAACACCCCGGATATACCGGGATTACAGACACTTACATGGAATTTGTGAGAAGTGGCATTATCGTACCAGTGCGGGGATGGGTCAAAGACGTCGCGCAGGCAGATGACCGTAGCTTCCTAGACGTTAGTCTACAGCAGTACGAGCCCTGGTATCATGGACCAGGAAAGGAAGCCATAGTAATTACGCTGATCCTTGTATGGGTGGTAATGAAGATACTAACAGCTTACAGAGCCAGAGCAAAGTCCATAATGTAGTGGGTATCATCGAAGCTACCGGCTACAAAGCCGACCTCGATTGGCTTGATTCTCGCGTCAGAGCCCTTCTTGCTGAAGACAACACCACCCCAAATTTGCGTATACCATACCTCCTCTCTCGTGGGTCGGTTCTCTCGCGCCGAGTCCCCACAATTGGTTTCGTAGGTTTCTACGAAGGTCCTTATTGGGGCGTGATGGAAATGCAGGCTCGATTGCTTGCTCAAAGTTGGGCCAAGCCGGAGGCTGAGCAGTCGCAGTCTCGAGTGCCCGATTTGTACAAATACGATGATACGAAACGTATGCAAGAAGCGATGAACCAGAGGTCTTTACAAGTACCTCAGTTTTGGATGGCAGATTACGTTGGTCTAATGGAAGAGTTCGCACGAGAGACTGGCGTCTCGCGCGATGATTCGCTATTTGGCGGCCAAATGGGACCCGCTTTTCCATCGCGCTATCAACATGCAGCTACCAGTTCACAAGCAAAGGAAGTAGTCGAAGACGTTGCCAAAATACTCCAGGCATCCCAAGAGGATGCTCGATTCATCGCCGCGGCAGTGTTTATAGGCATGCAGGGTGTATGGAACATGACGCGCAAGATTGACTCACGTACCGACACACCTGGTGGCTTGTTCGTGGGTACAGCGCACTTCCACCCGCGCCAATCTACCGATCCTACGACCTACTTATCCGAATATTTGTATGTCGAACAAGGCATATTCACCATGGACACTGGTCTGTCTTTCCCCGCGACTCGACGCTATGTTTATCGGTACAACGAGGCACGTGACGAGATCACAGCATGGTTTGTCGAAGACGACAACAAAAGTGTAGGAGCACTGTTCAACACATGGGGTTTCTACGCGCCAGACGATGACAAGTCTGGATGGAGGGCCAAAGGTTATCATTGGTGTGACCCAGATACGTACAGGAATCATTGCGAGTTCAAGTTTCGCGGTGCGAAGATTGATCAATTCATGATCAGATATGAGGTTGAGGGACCGAAGAAAGATTATTCGCACGAAAGCTGGTATAAGAGACCGGAGGCGGACACGAGTGCAAGTAAAGGAGATTGAAAGATTGGCATATTGTCGTAGAGGCTGATACCCTCGGCAAGAGTTGTGGGGAGGTAGTTCTGCACCTATTCGGTTTGATACGACCTCTCGCGGCAACTGTAGATGAACGGGAGGACAGACAGCTGCGCTTTTTGGTTCATTCTAGTGCTTCCAACATGCGAAGAGTGCGTCGATGCAGGTCTACTCGAATCTAAATCCTGGTTTCATAGTTGACAGAACCGCTGATAGCGTCCACGCCATTGGAACGAATCGGAAGCCGTAATGTTAAGTGGCAGCAGATATCGTCCCGTTGTGGATAACGATAGTTAGACATTGGCTTATGGTAGAATTAAGCATGCCACCGATGTCAGAGGCGTAGTAGACTAGGTCTTGACCACTATACACGGACCATCACACCAAACTGAATGAAGAGTAGCTCTTGCGATGTTTACAGTTCTATGTAAAGGTGGGGTATCATACACACGTCGTCATATCATACATCAATGCCTCATTATGAAATCTCGAGCACTTCATGAGTCTAGCTGCTCAACACCTCCACCAACAAGTGAACTAGGATGCGTAGGTGGCCCGTCTCGTCCTAAGCTCTTGAGGTCCGCCAGTAACATCCTGAGGTGGTTCTCACGGTTCTGATTGCTACCCCATGTCACCGCCTGAGAATAGTACAGTATGTCCCAGGCCTCGTCACTGATACTCTGGAGAAATGTAGGCAAAGATCGCGCTTTCTGGTACGATCGCCAGAGGATCCGGCGGATGTCGTCATTTGCGCCGATATATGCGAGCTCAATGGCTTTGTTGAAAGATTTCAGGGCAGGCGAAATGTTAAACGGTGGGGGCAGGTGGACGCGAAGTTGTTGAAGGGCGGCGGAGTGTTCTGGATCCTGGAGCGCGGCGGCCATACGCTCTTTGAGCGTCGCGGTGCGGCTGTCTTCGAGTTGGTAGGGATCGGGTGCAGTATCGTGCGCAATGGTGGTTAGATCACCTTGCTGTTGCTTGTTCTCTGAGATGAGTTTTTGAATGTACATAAGCTTCTCCATCAGCTTGGGATCTTTCATAATCTCGTCGACCTTGGCTTGTAGCTCAGCGGGAACATCTTCTTCGTCCTCCACAAGCTCTTGAGGTTGCGATGCCTTGGATTCAGCGAGCTTCTTCAACTCCTCCGCTAATTCTTGAGGGTCCATCTCGCGTTCGAATACACCTTCTTGATCTTGACCTGGCGTAGAGTCTTCATTGAGCGCTGCATCAAGTTCAGCTTCAAGGCCGCTGCCGCCACCTAGCGACTTCATGACGTCCCGCATCTGGTGTAAGAGCTTGTCCACGTCCTGCATGTCCTCGTGTGTTACCATGGCAAGATCATCATCTGGGGCTTCGGCTTCAGCAATGGCGTCCTCGGTGTCTCTCTGATACTCTTCCCATTCGGTGTCCAATTCCGGGCCATCGAGACCTCCGCTCATAGTGGCAGCCTTCTTCTGCATAGCTTCATTGCCCTCGAGTTTATCCATTGCCTTCTTAAGCATGGCCTGGAAATCCGGGTTGTCCATGTCGTCCACCTCTTGCATCTTGTCGATGCACTCTTGGAGGTCGGCCTTTGCGTGTCCAATATCCGGGTCCCTGACGATATCTTGTAGTATTTGGAGGGTTGCCATGCGTAGGCTGGCGTCGAATTTTTTGCTTTCTGCCTCTGCCTCGATGGCGTCCTGCTCTTGCAATTGCTGAAGCTCTTCCCTCGACTTGATGCCCTCCTTAATATCCTTGAGTTCGTGTGTTAATTCGGCGAAGTTTGGGTTGGATAGTAAGCTGTCGATAAGCCGCCGGTTCAGCATCGCATCGTCGTAATCGGGGTTCTTCTGCGACTCCTCGATCATCATATACATGTCTTTGTCTTTCTTGCGATCTTCCGGCGTGGCTATACGCTCAATGAGACGCTGTGGCGTGCCTTTGTCCAAATCCTGCTCATACCAGTTGATGACGGGCAGATCGTCGCGTTCGAGTTCGGCATCGGACAGCGGACGCATGGCTCTGTCCATTTTCGCGTCATTCTCAAAAATGGATCTTGAACCTTTGAGTCGGCCGAGTAGCGAAGGCTTAGATTCAGTCGTCGCATCGTGCTTCGACTCGTCGGGCTCGGCGGCTTTGGTGCGCTTTCCGCGTTGAAGGCACACTGGCAAAGGGCGGGATAAAGGACATGTTATGGGATGAGGCCGGGAAAGGGCCCTCAGAAGTGCTCGAGAGGGTGCATACGTGCGTGCGAGCATTGTGGCCGTGCTGATTGTTGGTGCGTGAAAGTCGCTGTTTCCCAAAGTCTGGCGCCGCCTTGGCGCCGCCTTGGCTTCCCCGAGAACTCCGCAAATGCTTGTCAACCATCACTCTTGCCAAACAGAACACGCTCAGACATGATCTCGACACAGTCTTGTACAGACCAGCGCTCCTCCCTCTATGTATGTTAGTTTCTGCTTAGTTTTAAAAACGACCTCTACTTTGGTTGTTTCTTACCACTAAGCTTCGAACACTGGTTCCAGCTTTCTACAATTTCCAAGTGGGCTTGCGCCATATGCATCATTACCGTTACCGCGAGTGCCACTATCAACGTCATTATTGAAGGCTTCGCAGCGCATTCATCATCGGCCAGTATCCGTCTCCCGAGCCTTCCTTCCACCACCTCTGTCGTTACGTTTCTCTTGCCTACTGGCCTGACAATACCGTGATTCTGTCTACTGAAGCCGTTGCGGGCCTGACATTGAAGAAATCCACGATGCCGAAGTTTGGTTGTCGCCTTAGCATGTCGTCACACTGGAGGAGATACATACCAGCCTGGCAGGCTTGGATCTTTGTCATGTATCGGAATGGGACCTGTTCCAAAACCTCTCGCATCTACTAATGGTTTCACGTGCCTTAGAAGCTAATTCCGACCACTCAACGATTCTTTCTTGGGCACTTGCTTCAGTTGGCGATTGCCTTGTCTCCAGAATTGAGGTTGATAGAGATGTGTACAACACACGAAGCGGGAATTGGGAACTTATTGAGATAAAGATAGGAAGCGCGTCAGCGGGACGGAGAAAACAGTGAGTAGCTCGCAAGACTTTGTGAAAACAGTAGCAAGTGAAGCTTGTTTAGAGCTTGGACCTGATTTCTTTCGAACATGCGCTGCTTGTGAATCATCTTTCTAGGAAGCTTACACCTTGTCACCTATCAACCAACAATTCACCATGCGTCAACCCGCGAGGGGACCGGGCGAGAGTAAGGACATAAATGTCCTTGATTATGATGTATTACCAGCATGTGCAGGGTCATGCAAGATGCTTCAAATTTCTGGAGCCAACTGTATTTCACTGGCGGCTCCAACGTCCGTTCTATCCACCTACAGAGATTGCGTCTGTCAGTCCGACTACTTGCGCAACCTCCATGCGAGTGGAGTGGCTATAGCTGGAGAAAGGGGGCTTTAGTGTAGTGCGTTAGTTGAGTTGATAGATGTGAATGAGAGATAATGGGACGAACAAACAGATGCATTTTTAAACAGTCCAGCGTTTTGACAATTCTGGTCCCATGCTTTCCGCCGCCGCACTCTACGGTGCTCTTCATCATGCAATGTGATGTCGGCATATTGAGAATCGCGCGACATCAAAGATTTAATGAGAAGACTGCGCTGGGCACCGGACAATCATCGAGGCGAGCTATCCTGATGAGGCAAGGCGCCAACTCAAGGCTCCCATCGTGGAAGAGCTGCATCGATCTATTTTCGCAGTCCTACCACCAAAGTCAACTATACAATGAAAACGATGATGATGAAATGGTTACGCCACAAACAACTCAGCGGCAATATGCCAGCATCGCCTGTAACAAACATCTGACGCTTCGTTGCAACAGATAGCTGACCTGATGCAGCCTCAGAAGATAGATGGCGCGTTTCTGGAACTACCAGGCGAGATACGCAATAAGATATACACTATGGCCATCTATCCAGAGTTGTCGTCGATTGTGATCGCAAATTGTACCAAGCCGGAACATCTTGCTGCATCGGTGCTGCATCTTCCTCTCTTTCGCGTCTGTCGCCAAATTCGGGCCGAATGTCTTTCCTACATCTGCGCCACTTTTCCTCTAAGGATTCTTGGCCTACAAACCGCGCTTCTCTTCTTCTCTTGTGCGGGAACAGCTATCTCCGAGATAAAGGCACTCGTCCTTGTGCAGCCGGCCACGAGTATTGTAGAAAGCAAAGGGGGTCGAGACAGGGTGGAGCACTTCCTTGCGGCGCTAAACATGATGGACGAGTTGAACGAGATGAGGTTGGAGGGAATGGGGAGCATGTCAAGGTTAGGGCATGGTGGAGAGCATATGGATTTTGTAAGGAAAGTAGAGGACTTGAGCAAGAAAGGCGTAGATGTGCAAGTCAGGTTTGGGAAAAGATAGGTGGTATAAGTAACACATTCGATTCATGTGAGAGGCTTCGAGACACCGAACTAAGGCATACGTCTTCAAGAAACATACCACCCCCCAGTACAGTCAGAAGCCTAAGCAAACCTTCCTTGGTTCGGTGCCACTTCTATACAGCACCCAGCACCATCTACAGAATGGGGTCCCGAAGCATCACTGTGCTGAAATCTGTACCCTCTAACCCGTATTTTGCCAAATCCCACGTTACCACTAGGACAGTGAAGACACAACGTCAGTGAATGCCACAAAGTATCTCATAAATCCACGACTTACCCTCCTTGACTCGAAATCCCATTCTCTCATACAAAGGTTTACCCATTGGTGACGACTCCAAGAAGGCAGGCAGTCTTGCGCGGTCCGCTTGTTTGGTACCCCACTCAAGTAGCATAGCCCCTGCGCCTCTACGGTGATGATCTGGGTGCGTTACGAGGATGTGCAGGACTATGTTTGTCAGCAAAGCGTTTTGGTGTGTTAGGTTGGATACTAGCAGTAAAAAGGCTTCGTTCCCATGTACTCTTTTCTCACTCGACTAAGAAAAGCCATGAAGTCTAACAAGCCCTGTCTTCCCTTGTCTTTTTCATCGGGTACTGGGTACATCTTCTTCGCTTCTTCTTCACTTCGCTCCTGTTCGTTGATGCGCCACTTGGCGCCTGCAATCATCTTTCCATTGAGATCGGTGTCAATGACTTTTAGGTAAACAACATCTGGCTCTTCGCGCCACGACTTGATGTGCTTGCCAGTGAACTCTTGAATGTACTCGTCTGTGATGGGGTTGGGTGTGAGCAGGGATGTGATACCACCGCCATTGGCGAAGGCAGCAATCTGTATGCCGACGAAGTTTTCAAAGTCGGTGGGGGAGGTTATACGGTGGACTTGGAGAGGCATGATGCGCGTCCACTTACAACATTCGGACTCTGGAGCTATCTACCGAAGGGTTTGTTGAATGATCTCTTACGCAACTCTGGGCTAATTATACAATGGGAATACCATGGACTGAAATGTTGCACAAGCGCTAGGACCTTCCTCTTAAGGCGAAGGCGGGGTGGTGTTCCTTTCATGTCATCAGCGCCGAACACCAAAGTGGTCAACGCCGCCCTTTTCTCCTCGCTTTTCCAGCCTTTTTGCAGCATAGCCCTTTCGATTCATTCCGACGCAGATGCGCGATGCATGCATCACCTGGAGGAGCGTTTCCCCATAGTAACGGCACGCATGTCAACACGTGGGTCGTCCGTCCGCGTGTGGGCAGCTATCAGGCTTTTGCGATCCGAGACCGTTATGCAAACTCACACCTCCATAGCGCATTCAGTGGCTGGCAAGATCGGCACGTTGTTTCCAGCTTTCATCCGCAGCCTTGTCGCCTGAACAAGCTCACCAAGCCTTTCTGACCGAGCCATGTTCACGACACATGCGCACAAGATGGCCCATATCCCCGGGAAGTCATGCGACCGTAAGTTTGGAACACAGCTCGGCCTTGACTCTGGAACACATGACGATTTGAGATCTGGAGAGATGTAACGGGTTGCTGAAACAACCACAGGATGTTGACACGGTGCGACAGAACTCAGAGTCATGAGACGTGACTTTAGCCGAATATCAGATTACTGATGACATTGTATGATGCTGCGAACTGTGAAAAGAGCTTGGAGATATCTATGTCGGATGCGATTGGCTTTTCGCATTGTCTGATCTCGAAGTCAGACGCCCTGAGCACAGCCTGAAGTTGCATTGACGTCAGCTCACACTGACCACGGAGCATTAAACTGTAGGAACAGGAAACACCGCCAAGCATCTCACGCCAGCTTCGCCATACGGAGCTTACCGCCTCGACCGTCCATACCACCCATGTTGCGCATCACCCGTCTACCTCGGCACGTTTTCGTCACAGACCTTGCGAGGTACACCGGGACAGCGGCTACTGGGCTCGAATCGACATGGAAGGGCTCATAGAACACGTCGCACGATACCTTTGGCCGCCGGTCCGCGTGCTACATGCAGTCCGGCATGACGTTTGATGTATTTTTGAAAAGCAAGTGAAAACATGACAGATCAGTATATCGCATGTTCAAACTCTTGAAAAGCGGTGGTTAATTGTATGACGGTCACCATGGCACTATGCTGGGTCAGATTATAAGAAGGCATGTCATTTGCTTCCTGATGCGAACAGCAGCCCATACATCTCGTCTTCACCTTTCAATATACCCGTACTTGTCTTATCTACATTCACATTATACGTTGTAATACCTTAATATCCCTTCATTGACGGAACTAAGCCGACCCCATCTACAACTATGAAGTCTCTCATCTTCCTCCTTCCAACCACCGCCTTTGCCGCCCTCACCTCGATCACCCAGAACGATGTGAAGAATGGCGGCGGCTGCAAAGCCATGACTGTCCTTTTCGCCCGTGGTACCACTGAACTTGGTAATATGGGCAGCATCGCGGGCCCACCATTCGTCACCGCCCTCGGCGTGATGATGGGGGGTGCTGCCAACGTAGCCGTACAAGGCATACAGTACCCAGCAGATGTGCCTGGTTTCCTTGTTGGTGGCGACAAAGGAGGCAGCCAGCTCATGGCGCAAATGGTTGGACAGGTCAGGGCGCAGTGCCCAGACACTACACTGGTTATGGCGGGCTACTCGTAAGTAGCAAGCAGTTCCAATCTGGTTCAGGGACCATGAAATCTGACAAAATGACTAGACAAGGCGGACAGCTTGTCCACAACGCAGCAGATATGCTCAGCGCCCAGGACTCGGCCTTTGTGTCTAGTGCTGTCATCTTTGGTGACCCAAACAACGGCAAGCCTGTCGGTAAAGTCGCAGCCGGAAACACCAAGATCATCTGCGCAACTGGCGATCTTATCTGTGCGGGCCAGGCTATCATCTTGGCGCCGCACTTGTCATATGGTGCCAACGCGAATGAGGCTGCTAAGTTTGTTATGAGCAATATGGCGGCCGGTGGTGCGGCGGCTGGAGCTGGGGCTGCTACCAAGGGTGCTGCCGCCAAGGTGCCGCTGCCCGAATGGTAAAAGCAAAGTACTTCATCTCTTAGGCTCCTGTGTCGCTTTACAGTCCCTTTTCTAGATAATGTAACGACCCAATCGTCGTGTATATACCATTGTTCATTCCGTAGCTGCGGGCCAGCTCTTATCACCAAGTCTAGATGGAGACTTGTCAGTCCAAAAATTCTCACTTTGTATACAACTTCTCGCATTCAGATTCACAGTGTACGTGCCTCTTGGGAGTTTTCTTATAGCTCACGATCGCAGTTGGTCCTAGCTTCCACCAAGGCCACCACTTCAGACAGGTAAATTGATAGGAAATTGCTTGCGGCGTGTGTATAAAGTATGCGATCAAACACGCATTGTTCCACAATCGCGTTGTTGCCCAGTGTTTCCAAGGTCGAGAAGCGTTATGTAATTTTACATACGAATCAGGTGTATGCGCTGCAAGTCTAGGTGCCGTGATGAGATCGTCGAGATGACATGGAAATCCTGTTTCACGAAAAAGTAGGAACTAAATGCAATGAGATCATCAACAGCAGAACCATCGCTATGAATATATCATACGCATCTCTACTCTACAGAAGGCAAAGATGTTGCCGGCACGAGCATATTGTGCGGATCAGGTTGCGAGATGTGCATTAGTATGATACTAAATCCGATAAAACGACGCATAGGCCTTGAACCTTGATGATATACTTGAAACTTTGTTCTGCTATACTCTAGATAACTCTCACCTGACTGGAACAAAGATCCTATCGATATCCGGTCCCCAGCCTCCATTGATACCGCCAACCTTGACTTCGTTCGAACCCTGTTTCAAATCGACGTGTACCACCGAACTTGCTGGATCGCCTCCCCCATGTGGCAGAAAGGCTACTCTCTGCGTCTTCCCATTCACGCTGATATTTGCATACCTTTGACCCTTATCGCCATTGAGATGCTTGATCCTCATCGTCGTGCGAGTTGTTGCTGAAGACTGGATGTTGGGAAACGCGATGGTGCCGGATGCCGTGCCGCCAATGTATCCAGCTGCTTTGGAGCCAGAGCAAGTGGAGCAGGCCTGAGATTTGGCACCGTCGGTAAGGTTTGCGTTCTCACCTTCGTAGGAGGTTTCTTCGGGACCAGAGGTAGTAGCCCCAGTATTGGGGTCAAGAATCCAATTGACTGTGTTCTTCATGCTAGCAGTAGTCCCGGATATTTGAAGCGGTAGCCACACATATGTGCTTCTCATCAAATTCTCACTTTGCCATCGATCGCCCATGTACACGTATCCATTCCCGACAGGCAATACAAAGGTTGTTTGAGAAGCGTACGTATTTGATCCAGAGTCTGCAAACTTTTTCCAGAAAGACCATGGACCTGAGAGCGATGTTGATGTGCTGTAGTAGTTGTCGTTTGGGTTCCATCCGGTAAGCTGTGAGGCGAACATGAAGTAAACACCTTCATGTTTGATGAGGGCTGGGGACTCGTATTTCTCTTTCCAGACGTAGACATTCCTAGTAACGTTGAGATAGTCATCGGAAAGTGCGTTGATGCGTAAGCCGTTGCTGCGCTGTTCTGGTTAGAGATGTGTATTCTGACGGTTAGGTGAGGGAGGCGTACGTCTTCCGTGAGTAGGTAGCCTTTGCCGTCATCATCAACGAACACGCCCGAGTCTCTACTCTCGAAGCCCAATGGTCTCTCGCTTCGCAGGTACGTGTATTTTCCGCAGACGCTGTCTCCAATTGCGACACCAATCTTCGCCTCACCATAGTTGGCGCTATCGATATGCGCCCATAAAACATACTTGCCCGTCTGCTTGTTGTACACAACCTTTGGTCTCTCGATAACGCGATTGGGTCCTGTATCTCCGGATGCAGTGCGCGAGATCAGAGCACCTTCATAAGACCACTCCACAAGGTTAGTGGATGAATAGCAGTTGATGTTTGTGAAAGCTGTCCCGTTTGTTTTGTCTTCGCCAACCCTGTCGGTGTGTGAGTACTGGTAGAGTTTGAGCCTGCGCGTGGATAAATCTCACCAATACCACTTTCCGCCATCCTTGATAATGCCGGCGCCATGAGCCTGTATGTGCTGACCTGTGTTGGTCTGAAGTAACGTCAGTTACCATTTGGAAGGGAGTACAATGCAACATACTGCTGTCCAAGTCGCACCGGGTACGATCTGAAGTGTCGCATTCGCTATTGAAGCGGACAGGCTAAAGCCTAGCAGACAGAGAAAGCGCATGACGAAGTTGAGAAATCAAAGCATAGATATCGCTCAGGAATGCCAGGTCGAGAAAGATCGTTTAAGATATACTCTCGCGCGACCAACAATCCTAGGATCGTCATACCACCATGTCCAGCAGGTTGCCCGCTCATCCCTCATTGACGGAAAATGGGCGCCGCGCTATAAAATGTCACGAGTAAACACGAATGTTTCAATAGTTAGCGCGGCGTATTAACATCGGGACAAGGGTGGTAAACGAATTGTGGGGAAGGAGAGTTTAGTCCCGGAAGCTATGCTTAATTAGACGTCTGTCGCGTACATGGCCTTATTTACTCGATGGGTTGCAAATAGCCCGATGTCCGTGATATTGCAAAGGTGGATATATACGCTCCTGTCCGTTGTGTGGCGATGCTAAAAGGAGTAGGTAGACTTTTTGATATGTGGATAGTACTATGACGTTCCCATCCATAGAATCTAACTAGCAGCAGATGCTTAAGGGGGGAGGGGAGGATACTGTTCTGGTTAACCAGCAGCGAAGCAGTGGAAAACCTACTATAAACTAGCGTCTTTCTGTGCCTGACGGTGTGTCACATTCAGGCCTATACTGATGCTGCAATTCCTGGGATTTGTGTCTTGACGTCCAGACCTGTTCAGTACGGGTCGTCTGCGTATTCCTGGTATATCGAATGCTGTGCGCTTGTCAACGATTCCCACACGTCTGAACTACAGGGAGTAAGGGAGCTGCCCCCAAGCCATGCCTATGTTACGCTTATGTTGTCCTTATGCTATGTTGACGTTTAAGGTCGCTCGTAGGGGCTGTCCTGACGATGACCTCACTAACCGCGATGGAAAAGATTCGCAGTTCATCGAGTTGCCGGAACATGCAAAGCTTCGTGGAGCTGGATCATGACAACGCGAGCAGTGATTGCCGCGTGCTCCGAGGTCTTTCCAACGTTTCTGCGTCTAAACGTGAGGTAAAAGGGCTGAGTTCTTGGCGACAGTAAGGCTGCAGCTCAACACCAATGACGTTATTGCGACTTTTGGCGCAGCCCCTACCGCCTACACACCCGCCGCCAGCACTACCGCGCAACACAGCTTCAGGCAATTTCGCCCAGTGGCTTTAGTAGCAGAGATGAGACTCATCCTCCTGTCGCTTTTTCGAAACTGGTCGAGCGCTCTGTGATGACCCGGTTCCCCGATAGGCTCCACGTTCTGGAGCGGCTTCCCTCACTCCCAGCACTACCTCGACAAACTTGGGACATCTTCTTCTGAACATCGCTATATGCATCACTCGGTTCTGCCCCTTTGCGCAAACTCGCAAGCGCCATGCCTATGACGAGTTTGTAACATCTGCGCTGGACCGACACCAGGGCCATACATGAGGTAAGTCCCAGCAGCGCCGGCGATAATGTGAATCGTAAGAATGCCTGCTGATTGAACATCTTTACAGTAACAACATACCCACGTTCAACGACGACGATGAGACGGCTCCTCAGGCCGCTACGATCCTTACGCCCGCCTATGCGAACATCGAATAAAGCCACAGAACATGATTCTGGCGCACAGGGGCCTGTGCCTATGCAATCAGCGACGCATGCCCTGTAGGATATGCAGGAACTGGAACGTGACCGAGGCACCGTTCGACTCCTTTGGCAGACCGCCGTCTTTACTTTGCGATGCAGAAGCGTCGTTCGGCTGCTTGCGCTATGGCCAGCCTGGGACGGTGAAAAGCTGGAACCGTACAAGGGCGGGAAGGAATACACCACGCATGTTGGAGTCGTGGCCGACCTCGCGACTTGAAACTGGAGACTAAGAGTAAAATAGTGCCTTTCAACATAAAGCTTCACTACACAGAAGTTACAACTTAGTCAAATACGTATAAGTAGGTAGGTAAGGAGAAGATTCCGCAGCGCGATTCTCTTAATATCGGGATTCTTGCGGGTAAGATCAATCGAAGAGCAGATAGCCAGAACCACAACAGGATGAGGAATCCTTTTGGTATCGGCTTGTGATTGTTCGGCATCTGCCATCAAAGTACGATAGAGCTTCATCAACGCTGGAAACGTTTTTGGTGCAGGGTTTCTTGGCGCAAGAGGTACTGACACCGAAGAGATGGTTGTGCCGGGTATTGCCTTCGCCAGATCCGCCGTTATTCAAAGGCTATACCAGAGACAGGCAGCTTCCAGCTGCCACCAGCGGAGTAGTACACGCGCTTCTTCACGTTTTTCGCTGTCCTGTTTGGCGGGATGTAGTCGTAGATGTAAAAGCCACATACCGTCCGTTCATGAATCGTGCGCTTCTTGAGTTGAGCCTCAGTTGGCTTGAGCTTTTGAGAACCATCTTCTTGCGCCGGAGTTGTATCTACGCTAGTGAAAGTGAGTAGTACTCGAAGGAGGAGAAAAGCCAAAGTCATAAAGAACGAGCGCTCGTTGCGATTGCTGATGTGTATTGAGGTGCCATCGGCGGTGTTTTGGCTGGCTACATCGGACAGACGCGTAAGACTTTGCTTCGAGAAAGGATGCCAAAATTCGACTCCGGAAGATAGCAGTGTCGAACAGGCAGCGTCGGTAGCGAAGAGACAATGGGCATATGTGTTAAGACGTCGGATTCAGGATGTGAGAGTCTCCGAATGAACCTCCAACGGAAGTGGATGGTACCAGTACCACGTCTTTCTAACTAAACTCTCGAGGTCTACTACATGCCAGGTGACGTACCACTTCTGATCTCGCTTCTAAGTCGCACGAAGCGAAAACCCTCATTCGGGGTTGGGTTCGTTGTGATACGGCTCTCCTCCGCGGCGCGCCCGCCTGTACACACTTCCCTATCATGTTTTCCTCACAGCGATCAGTCCTTCGGTCGTATTGCGAGAAGCTGAAAGCGCGTATAGTTCGTGGTGGCGGTGTGGTGACGAGAGCGCCGAGGCGTTGTGGAGAAGTAGAGACGAGTGGTGTTTACAGGACGGTGTTTACAGAACACCGAGTGGAGTTTGAGCATCGACACCCCAGTATCTTGTCTTCATAGCATTTAGTCCATATCCCCGCTCGATGCGTGGGTCAGTGCGAGGAATGACTTCTGGGACGTATGGAGGGCTTCTTGAGGTCTCTTAGTTCAATACCTAAGTACCTAGGCTATAGCGCGATAAGCCTTTCTCATTGGCAATATTGCTCACCTTTCCAGTATAGAGAAGAGTTCGTCTTTGGAGGATTTGTGCACATCGACCAGAGCAAGGCAAACTCGAATGGACATCCTGTCAGTCTGTACTCGCTAGGATTCAGGCCATTTTGAGCGATTACATCCACTGTCAAAAACTAAAGAGCGTCGGTATGACATCTTTTCTCATCAAGCAGGATTATACAGGGGCAGTGAGACTCTCTAGACATACTCTTTTCAAGGATACCATCCTGGTATCATTATGACAAACTTCGCTCCAACTCGCTACTGCTCAGAATCCTCGATGGAACCAGCGTATTCAACTCCACCCTCAACCACATATCCCCCAGACCTTTACCAGCTCTTATGAAAGCATTATCATATCGAGATTTTTTCTCACTCGCACTCGCTAGAACCTTCCAACCCTCCACGTGCATTGCACTTGTACCGTCGACGACATAGGTGTAGTTGTCGAACTCGTCCGACCCCACAGCAAGCATAGCGTGCATACCGCTCGCAAATCCGAAGACAGCAAGGAGTTGGCTGTACTTTGCCCAATTGGCGTCTGTCATAGGAATACTAACCCCGTAGACGACGTTGGGCAGAATGCCATCCCGTTCTACGACCGTATGCAGAGAATCGGACATGTAGCTGTCAATAAAGGTGAACAGCTGCTCGCGGTCATCCTGGCGAAGAGCGACTCCTGTTCTGCGAATCATGCGGAGTGGGCCGAGGAAGAGATGACGCTCTTTAGCCTTGAAACAAATTAGTTACGCAGCTTGGGAAAGGAAGAGATAATTTGAGGCTTACATCAGGGCCAGGCGTGACCGCCCGACACGATGAGTTAGATTCAGGCTCGTGCTTCATCGCGTACATCGGTATCTCTTGGGCCGCATGAGTTTCGGCTGGTGTCATACTGTCTGGAGGTATAAAGGAAATTCGAATCGAAGGAAAGGCAAGCAAATTTGATCTGCCAGAGGTAGCGTTCTTGCTGCCAACTATATGACCGGGGATATGATAGTCAAAAGGCGACCTATATGATCCCTTTTCCCACCCATGTTTTGGCGCGCCATGTGGGATCAGCGCAGCCTGGCGAACTGAGTTGGCGACCTCTGACGCAATTGAGTCCACCACAGTTTTATGCTGTTGATGAACGAGAACACGCACAGGAGGTGCTTGCGTACGCATGAGATTGCGTGCGTCAGTCAACTGGTTGCCAAAACCAGCATTCGCAAACCGCATGTACTCGCGGAGCCCCGACAGTCGCAGAGTGTCTGTCGAACATGCAGATGAAGAAGCCGAACTAGTGCTAGGAGGGGTCGACATATTTTTGAGGTTATGGGTGGTGGGGAAAAGTCGGGAAAAGTGTTTCAGCCCGTGGGTTATCGAAGCTGATATCATGTGGAAGGAATGGAAGTGGAGGCGAACAAACACTCAATACACTTTTCATTCGATTAAAAGAGGGCTTGCAAAACTTGGAAGCAAACACACCTTTGTGGCGACCGATACAGGAGGCATCAAAACTACAGTGAAAGCGCGGAGCTTATGAGTGGTCATCCAACATACCTTTTAATCTACAGGTGCAGGGCGAATTCACCGACCTAACTAACCCATAACTTTTGCTAGTGTTCCATCTTCACCGTCATTTTCGAGGAAATCAGTACTGCACTTCGATTTCCGTCAGTAGTCAACGAAACGCGGGCGTACCCCCTCACCCATCTCGCCATACTTAGTAGAATTGCCATGTTGAACCTGTTACCTGTTCAACGACCAAACATACTCACTCTCTTCAGAGGGAGAAGAATACGGAGACAACTACGAACTCACTTTTATGCTACGGCCTACAGCATGCACTGGCGTCTCATGAAATGGCGAGCGCCATGGCAGAAGCGCCATCTCTCGGTACTTGAGCAGTTCCGGGCAGAAGATGCGGCCAAGGAAAAGGATGCTGTCATCCAGAAGCGCCGGGATGAGGCTGCTCGCGTACGTCCTCGATTGACTGATAACGTTGAAAAAACCTGCCGAACTAACACTCGACAGCGTGTCACTCTTGAGCGTCTTGAGAATCGAGAAAGCACCTGGAATCGCTGCAAGCGCTCGATACGCTGTCTCCAATACCGAAAGTGGGGGGAAACAAATATGGAAAGCTTTGAGCACGAGTCAGTGATAAGTGCTGGACGGTCGACTGGGGGGATGGTCGATAAGGAAGATAGACAGGAGTTTGAAAATGTCTCTAAGCCCTGGGAGGGAGACTACACAAGCGTACTAGTGGAGTATGGCATCTGTTAGATTGCCACTAGGAACCGGAGATCTGATGTTTCCGCAACGGAAACATTCTTCCGTATGTATCTGATCTCACCATTTTGAACGTCACATTTCATATAGACCGATGTTTGGGCTATTTCGCTGAACTCTCAGTTGTCTATCCCCTGCGTATGACTGTAGAAAGAGCAATTCAGGGTTCCTTCCATCCCGCCACCCACTCATTCATAGAGAAAGCAACATCAAAAGCTCAAACGACCCACTTGATGTCTCCAGGAAGAGGGACTCGCGATATCAATCCACAGGCCCTGGAGTTCGCATTGGTACCTTCTTCGTTTTTAACATGCCTGCCAGCGTTAGCGAATACTAAAACAGCTTTGCGAACAATCGAGCTTCCTGAGGAGCAACAGTGACTGAAGGCGCAAGCGAAGCGCCTTCAAAAAATTACATTTCTTTCACTCGACCGTCTTCGAGTTCGTTTCGTGGGGAGCATCTAATAGTTCCTTAGCATGGACAAGAATGAATCAGGGGGTATGTGGGCGAGAACGTTCGATTTTCGTTGCAATAGCTGTTGAGCCGTCAAGGTTCTTACGATACAGTCATCTCGATTTGGCCATTGATTTACAGATACGGACTGCAAATTTGGGCCGTTTAGATGCTGGATGTTCAGATGGGAGTGAGAAGATGCGTTACTAGTTAATGGAATGAGTCAAGAACGGCGCAGGAGAGAATGCCGCCTGTAGCACGAAGTTGAAGGAGGGGAAGACAGGAAATAACAAGGAACAATTCGTGTGCCCTGGTGTTGCTTTCGGTTCGCCACCGATCATTGCCCGGGTAACCAATCCTCACGCAAATATTTCATCTCTCGATAGCGAGCTCTCACGTAGATGACGTAGGATCTTCTTGGCCAAGGCGCAATCCAACTTCAAATGCGAACTACGGAGTGGGGCTTCTGTTTGACCTACTCTTTGAATCAGGAAACCAATCGGCCAAGTCTTTCAAGCTACCTTTGCTTCCCACCCTCGACTACCTTCTCCCCCATCCGCGTGCTCTACTCACGACATGGAGTCACGCCTACCGCATCCCCGCCAGATACAGGCTCAGCTTCAGGCTCTCGGTGACGAAATTCAGAACATTCGCGAAGAGCATGACGGCCATATCACAGGCCTAGGCCAGCGTCTTCGGGAGGCGGAGGACCGGCAGCGACAACTTCGACATCAGCTCAACGCCGCCATGGATCGCTCTGTTGAGCCGCCTGGTGGTAGCCACAGTGGTTACTCGAGTCTGCACATCTACCCAAGTAGTCCTGTCCCTCGCTCAGGTGCGCTTACCAGAACCAGTCACAACAAATCATCTCAGCGGGAACTTATTGGTGGTACAATGGGTTCTGGTGGTTATGGCCCGGGCTACTCTTCTCTGCCAGGGACGACTTCTGTTGGACATGGGGGCTCTCCTCCTCGTCTACCCCCTATTCAGCTCGAGGACTTGAATGCTACACCCCGTCCACGTAGAGCCGTCTTCCATTCATCTACAGATGACCTTCAATCACAACACGAGCAGCAGGCCCCAATTGGTAGTAAGGACAACGCTGCTTATCTTCCTATGGTTATGGAGAATATAATGGCTGAACGCCACCGCCACGAGCGTGACGGCATCTTAAGATCTTGGTAAAACGGTCTCCACCAAACCGCTCATGAGGAACAGGGTTACTAATGCATGCTAGTGGTTTTGTTCTGGAAGAAGGCCTGGGCAACAGTGGCAGATGCTCGCAAAACTCATTCCACATGCCATGTTTCCGTGCCCAACACTTCTATTACTGCCGACAGCATATGCGCGTCATTCCCAACGTGAAGATGGTTTGCAGTCATAGAAACAAACAAGACTGCTTACTGGTGGTATTCGGTAAGTCCTTCGTAAACTTCCATTCCGCTTGAATGATGACGACTTTCATTAACCATTCAAAGAGGATCGTGAGGACTGGGATGCGATTGTGGATGCTGCACTTGCTGCAGGCAACCTTGGCAACAAAGGGGTAGATGCAGAGGAGTTGAAGGAGGCTCTCTTTCCTCCGCAAAACTACCCTCACCGGTATATGGGCGCTGAACATTAAGATGTAAGTGGACATATAGCGTTAACGCGAGTTTTTTTATCCACCGGATAGGGAAACAGGGAGTAACGCGCTCTTGATGAACGTGAGAGTTAAATCGGCTGACAGGCTCTAGTAACATTCAAGGTGGTAGTTAAACAGAATTCGGCCTGATTCTGCTCTGTGACACCTCTCGGTTCCAACATTAGCACCATCAATAGCTGTAAGCTATATGTGTCTCATTTCTGTAGTTTGGCCTACCATCTCTTTCTTACCACGAAACTTGTAGCCTTCTGCCGTGTACTTTAACACACGAACAGTTCAGCGGAACCGACAAATGGTGATAAATTCACACTTTCGAAGCACTGCATCGTCCAAGGGATCTTCAAGACTCCAGGTTGTCTCCAGCCACGTCTTCTGAGACGGTAACGCTCGAGGGGCACACGCATGCCTATGTTACAGTCCGCAGCAGTAACAATATATTTTTCATACGGAGGCCTTCGTTGCAAGTGAACCGTGTGTTTGCCACGATTGTCGCGGATTGTGGGTAGGGTAGCGATAGCACGAGTGCTTGTGGCAGCGATACTCCGTGGTTCAGAAGTTTGATAGGGGAGATATGATCGCGCAAGATTGTGTCTCGCGACGACGTTTCAAATTCCGATATAGGTTCAAGTTGCACAATAGCTCGATTCAGCACTACTCTGGTTGTTCCTTCTAAATGTTGCGGGATGGGTCGCGAAATGGGTTTTCGCGAGCGATCAATCTGCCTATGGCTACTAGTAGCAGCCTTCTCTTTCTACAGCAGAATGGAACACGTGGTGTGGACCCATTCGAGTTGCACGTGTAGTTAAACCAGGTGTCCTTCGTGAAGCAGCTCACAAATTTGGGACGTAACCATCACATACGACCTTTACATATAGCCACACCACTGCTCGACCAGCGAAAGAATCCCCGCGTTGGATTTGCCCAGAATTGAGGCGACCTTTGGAGGGTTACATGCCCGGATATGTGTGGAATGTAGTTATTCTGCGTAACGAGGCGGTGATCTTCGCTCCCAACGGAGATGTACTTAGCGAAGCTTCGAGAATACAATGAAAGTCATATATGTTCTAATGCCGTGTAGGTGATATTCGATCGAGTGAAAAAGGGGGGTGGTATGTTGAAGACTGTCGCACGTGAGAACAGACGTGACACGCCATGGATGCTCGGGCCGCGTAGCGTGATATTGTCTTCCTTCACTCATATCCATCAAATATGCTTCACAAAAGTCAAAGTCCGTTTTGCAACGTACATTTGTAGAGATGCCCCTTGAATCTTTTCTACTAAGAGACTATCACTATGGAAGCTAGCAGGACAAAACGAGACCATGCTTGCTTGCCCATCCTCGTGCGCTCCGTCTTAGCCTCCTGTCTTCACTACACTTCCCTTAACCGAAAGTCGAGTTCAGCGGCCCAAACTTGATGTTGCTATAGGTGACCGTGGCATCAGCATGCTGACTTTCAACGTCTACCGGTACGCCGCTAGTAGTCTCGCATTCTCCTCTGCCAGTACCTAGATCGGTGTCTGGATTCTTGTCTGTAGGATACGTCGAGTCAAGCCAAAGCATGTTGCTGTAATGGTCATCCCACAGACTCATGACAAGGACCATGCCATTTGCAAGAGCCTTTGCCATATTCGCCATACCGCCTTTGTCTTTGAATGTGTATGTGTCCCCGAATACGGCTTTCTGCTGATCGCAGAACTTAGTTGTAATGGAGTTGCCGCTCACGCCAGGGATTGTAGATGCAGGCTGCGCAATAGTCTTGCCACCTTGGACATAAAAGCGCTTGATCTCCATGGCGTCGCCAGTGCCGATGAATTGTGTGACCACGGTGAATTTCTTTGACGTGTCCACAGTCTTGCCCTTGCCATAGAAATCTTTAACACCCATGCGATAGCTGTTAAAGTCGCAGCCGTCGGGATCGCAAACCCCCGCATAACGGTCGGCAGAGTAGGTACCACCACAGCCGTCACCGTCGCAACGAGACTGCTCAATCGTGGAACAGGAATGTGGGGTAACCGCTGTGCTGATAGAATTCGCTTCCCAGATATCCATCTCTGCGCAGCACGAACCATGGCCGCCAACGCCTGCATTTGCATCGTTGGAAGATGGCTTCCAACCTTCGACATTTCCCTGTAAAAAATTGAGTATCCGAACCAAATCGCTGGAGCCGATCGTGACCTACCTCACCGTTGATAAATTTCAGATCTCGTGGACACTGGGCGTCGCAATACCCAGTTCCGTACTTAGCACCAGCCTTGTTGGTCGAGTACTTCTTTAGGCCGCCATCTGCATCCATGGAAACGAAATACAAGGCGCCATTGAAGCCGCATGGCAGATTTGACACGTCGACATCGAAAGTGAACTCTTGGTTTCCTGTGAACTTGAACATCTGTTCAAACTCCACTTAGTATATGATTTCATGCACGGATGAATTTCTCACCTCATAAGTAGTGTCGTCCTTCATCAAGTACGTCCGAGAACCAATGTTTGTTGAGTAGGAGCCTTTGGTTATGAACTTCAACTTCAGTGAGTTACTGCCAGCGGTGATGCCGTATGTGCCACTATAGTCTGCACCGTCAACGGCACAGTTGGCAGCACATGCTTTGTTGTCTGGACAGGCCGTCGCATCCCATTCATTGCCTGTATAACAATTATCATAGCTAGTTTTCCATCAGCAACAAAGCATGTGGCAGATATTGTGGACCGTTACCCTTCTTTCTTATGAAGCCATCGCCAATTAGCATCGATAACAATTTTACCATTCTTGGTTGTGCAGCTACCCTTTGCGGTGCAAGACTGCCATGTCATCCCTGGATGGGTTTCCGTTTGCTGTGTACCAACGAGTTGTCCATGGCCCGCGTGTAAAAGGGAGGCAGCAAGGATAAAGTATCGATACATGATGAGGAGTACAGGCGTTGGCGTCTTGGTATTGTGGTAGGCTAGGATTCACAAGATATCGATACACACCGTGAAACAGACAGTGCCAGTCGTCTTTTAAGTCTTGTTGCTCGGAAGATCAAACACGCAGTTTGACGTATACGCTGTATATTTTGACTTGCAATTAATGTAATGCCAATAAGTAGTTGATACGCGCGAAATGCAGCGATTGGTGGCTCAAGGGCTTGTCCCCGAGCCAGATATGCGCGCCAGCACCCCTTGTTTGCAATGAAATCTGGATGGATGTTAAGAAGTGTCTGGCAGCCAATGTAGGCAGCGCATTTGGATTGGGAAGACCACTTGCTACCACACGAGCCCTCGTTGTTACATAGGACAATCTCAGTGCAATATAACTGGAGGGGTAAACCATGGAATCTCGCGGTGAGAGCTGGGAAGATTGATCCGACGGAGGTTACGATGTAATTCCTCCCGTCGGCTGTCCATCCGGCTAAGCATACGAAGCACATCGAAGCTCAATGCCATGGGCTGGGCGCTGAGCAAGTGGGGCTGGCATAACAAATCCAAGTAGATAGCAGATTTGACTCGCGTACGAATGATTCAGTACCGTGCTGTTGCCTGGATAGTATCTTACAAGAACGAATTCTGGATCATATCTTTGAACCTTCGGTAGGTCACTGTGTCGCCGCACACCAGAAAGGCGCTACATGAACCCAGAAGTGATGATGGAAAAGGCTTACTATCGGAAGTTTATACCACGTGTAAAAAAGAGGGGGTTGTTTACGATGCAACAGTCGTTCCAGCGAGTGTATTGGCAGATGGCCACGAGACTGGTAATGAGGCGACTAGGATTCCCCGCTTTCGACTCGGAGAAATCCCTATGCACGGGGCCATTGTCTCGATAGACGGATCGAAATGCCGGTAGATTGATGTAATAGGGCGACAATTTTGGTGACGCTGTACCGTGACTGAATGGGCGAATGCTCTGATGAGCCAAAATGTGAGTGGGTGGTTGGTATCCGTGACTGCAAACTGGACCGCTCCGTTTAATGTCCGAGTCTGTGCGCTCCAACCACCTGCATCTCACCTCCGCCTTGTCCGACCCGCTTCGCCTTCGGCAACACGCTCATCGTCACAGGTCACAGTTACCACTTACCATCCGTCATGTCCGCTCCGGGCGCCGAGTGGATAAGCGACAGGTCTCGCGACAATTCCCCGGAAGCCCCCAACTCCACAGAAGGTCACGATGGCTCGTCTCAGCGACGCACAAGCAAGAAGCGCAAAGTGTTGTCGTGCTACGCGTGCCGCAACCGCAAAATGAAATGTGATCGCGTCTTCCCAGTGTGCGGCCGATGCCAAAAAACTGGCAGAGGTCACGAGTGTACATACGACCCTCGGCTACTCGAAGAGTCCCACCCTGGCGCCGGCGCATCGTCATTTGCCCTTGCTGAGCGGCCAGCCGATAGCAACCCTCCCTCGGACACACCAGATTCATTGCAATGGAAGCTCAGAGTGCAAGAGAGACGGATCGCCATGTTGGAGCAAAAGCTGGCCACACGGGAAAGCACCGGAAACCCTTCGCAATACGAGGCCGTTATCACTGATGAGCCCGGGATCAAAGAGGAAATCATGTTCAGAGGGAAAGGTTTCAAATCCCAGTTCAATGGTGCAACGAGCATCATGAGCATGATCTCCATGGTACAACTCACAAGCCCAGACCCCGATAGCCATGTACCAGCAACTGACCATCACGAAGAATCACGAGCTGCAGGCGTTTACACGCGAGGCCTTGACTGTTGATCATTCAATTATGCGTGTCAAAACTGACTTCAAAACCTTCCGCGATCAGAGGAAGAAGTCCGCAAAGTGCAAGACCGCCAGAAGCTCCGACGTCGATTTCGAAATATTGGCCGTCCTCCCTGCGAAGAGCACTGTTGATACACAAGTTGCCCTCTATTTCCAGACGTGGGAGACAAGTTATAGAATCCTACACGAGCCGTCTTTCTGGGAAGAATACCGCATATTTTGGGAATCAGATCAAGACAAGAAGGGCCTAGTTAGCTTCGCTGTCTTGCTCGTATTGCTCGTTGCAATCACGAAGTGTCTTACCCCGAAAGACGATGTCTTCGTTGGCGATACGACCGCCGACCGGCAAGCAGCTCATGAACTCATCGATGTCTGCGATAGCTGGATCAGCGAGCAGCCTCGCAAACGGGTTGCTTTACCCTTCTTCCAATTACAGTGCTTGTCGTTGCTTGCCAAGCGTGTCAATTGCGTCCAATTAAAGCAAGATTGGATTGCTTCGGGAGACTTACTTCGGCTATCTCTTGCGTCTGGTATGCACCGTGATCCGCATCTGCTCGGGCACGGTAAGATGTCACCGTTCGATGATCAAATGAAGAAGCGATTGTGGGTCACTGTCATGGAGTTGGAGCTTCAATCGTCCATCGAGAGCGGCATTCAATCTGGGCTTACCGGATTATACTTTGATACGCCCGCGCCTGCGAATCTTGCTGATGAAGCCTTCTCACCGGACATGCAAGACGTGCCGTTAGGTCAGTCCCCTGAATATTTCACATCGGCATCATACCTTACCGTCACTCTAAAATCACTTTCCCTTCGTATCCATCTCACGCACCTTTTGAACACACCTTCTAGCGCCCTTCATTACACCGACGTACTGCACTATGATGCGCAAATCCGCTCTGCATTGGCCACCCTTCCCGTTTGGGATGACGATTGCGCGCTTGTACCCTCTACGCTCCTTCGTTTGCAATTGCGTCAGTACCTTCTGCTGCTGCATAAGCCGTACGCGAAGTTAGCTTACACAAATGATCGCTACCTGTATTCATTCACGACTTGCGTGGATACGTGCAGCTTGCTGGTTGCAATGCACGATCGCTTGATATCACAAGGCACCCTAGCACTTAACAACTTCCGCAACGATATAATCAGGGCCGGTCTGGCACTTTCTCAAATCGTGTATCAGAATTGTGCTCGTCGAAAAGTCAAGTCATCCGCGTCCTATGCAGCAGACTCTGAGACTCAACATGTAGACCACCATACCCATTTTGCAGATCTTCCTCTACCCAAACGTGCAGTGGGCTCCGATTCACGAATGGACCTGTACCTAGCGGTATTGCCACAAGAGTCCTTCCTTGCAAGAACGCTGTGCGCGTCTTCAATAGACATTTTAGAGCGCACAAGACAGATCTTCGAAGTCAAAGTCTTCCGGCTTGGGACGGGATACATGGAGTGCTGGCTGTAAGTAATGTTGCAGGGAACCCATATGGAACATATGCTGATCTTATTCGCGCTACTCATATAGTATGTCTGCTGCAGTAGGCATGCTGCCCCCTCCTCCGTCGCCTGCCACTTCTATTGCATACATCAATAATGCTAGCGATGACATCCTCTCGAGATGTAGAAAAACGCTCGACTGTTTCACTACAATAGCTTTCAGAGTGCTAGCTCTACAGCAAGACCCCATGAACAGCTTAGCGTCTTCCCTTCGCAACACTATAGGCACCAGAAAAGAAACGGGATCAACGACTAGGACTGCCGAAAATGCGCCTCCCACGTTGCTGGACGAGGTAAGCATGAACCTGGATGTTGCCGGTGGCGCGAAAGACACGACCGGATCTTTTGATGCGCTACAGGACATGCAGATCGACATGAGTGGCTGGTCGTTCTCCGACTTCTGGGCGTTCGACCTTGGCGGTGACTTCTAATATACTTTTGCAATGGAGACTTTAGTTCCATAAATAGACGCAATTTTGTACATTCCTGAGAGGACGAGCAAGAAGAGAATATTCCAATGCTAAAGAAGATAGCCCTCACGGGTGACTCCGCAGCTATAGCTATATCCCGGATGGGCTTTGGAAAGTGCGCACCACCAAACATACTGCGGCATCTTGTCTCCTCGTGTCCCATCTAGACTTCTCCCGGCGACTAAGATTTCTCCGGCCTTCTTTCGTTATTCCTAGCCTCATTCCCAGCTCTGCTCCTTTTCTTTGGTGGCGCAAGAAATCCCATCGCCTGCAGGTGTGACAATCAGTTCCGGAAGTGTCTCAAGATACCGCATTCTTGCCATGACTTTCGCTGAGGATAGCTTTATTCTCATATTTCCTATGATCATAGAAGATGTGCCGTTGGCTATTGGGTCGGCAAGCGACGCGAAGTGGCGACCACGAGGAAGATACGGTCTTTCTGAAGGACCAGTGTTGCCAAAAAGCAAGTTGACTTGCTTGCTTGTTCAAACTTGCTTGGTTCATACCAAGCAAGCAAGTCAAGTCAGAGCTGCACAGCGAACCAAGCAAGTCAAGTTAGCGTGCCTTACTTGCTTGACTTGCTTGGTTTACTTGGTTAAATTAACTATAATCGACTGTATAGCAGATCTCGCGATGCTTTTTTAGCCTTGCAGTTCTTTTTAGTGCTGCAACTACCTCGGCTATTTCCTAAACAGGCTACAATAGGCTACACAGCTGCTAAAACAGCTTAGCGCCCTACTCCTATCCTAACCTCAGCCTTGTTTTGAAGCCTATCGCGATTTCCATTTTCCTGTATCGACGCTTCTTTCTGGTGTTTTCGACTGCCCTAATATGGCCAAACGCCGTGTACTACATACCTCTTCGAGTAGCAAACGTTTGAGAGTAGCTGCTGCTACCGACGACGTCATCTCAACTCCTGCGGCCTCATCTCAGCCAGCATCTCAGCCAGCATCTCAGCGTCGATCGCCTCGTAAAGCCCTCGCTGCCGTAAGCCAGGCCACTGTCTCGTCGCTAGTCCCTACATTCGAGTCGCAGTTTTTGGAATCGCATGTGGAGGATGATATCGTTGCGCCTACCGAGGGTAGCAGGGCTGTTACGGTGGCTACAACTGAGGCTGGAGACAAAGATAATGGCCAAGATGAGATAAACAGCGCTGCTGATAGCTTTGACGGCATTGACTGGGCTCGTTTACCTGGCTACATGAAGCCACTGGCGGGCTCTAAGCGTCCTAAAAGCTGGATTTTTCGGTATGGCTACCGCGTTGTTGAGCGCCAGGCTACTAATCGGATCTGGTTTGTGTGCAAGTACTGCCACATCCACAAAACTATCGACGCTGGCGGTGGTGGTTTGTTTAATATTACTCAGGCCACTACCTCAGCAGCTACCCATCTCAGCCAGCCAAAACGTGGGCACAACCTCACAAAAGATGGCCCAAAGTCGACGCTAAGAGGACAGGGGCAGCTATCATTGCGGCAAGCTTTTGACGCTGGATTAGAGATGCCTCAGCCTACCGCTAACGCACTCGGAAACTTCGACGTACAAGGCTTTCAGTAGCTACTGTTATGTGGCTCGTCAACCAAAACCAGCCTCTTAGTGAGCTTACAGCGCCTAATTTTAGAGAGATGATAAGGTTTGCCAACCCAGAGGCAGAGGCGGCATTGTGGGTAAGTCACACGAGTGTTTCTACATTTGTAATGAGGTTGTTCAGGTCTATACAACCGCAGGTTGTCGACGCCTTATCAAGCGCAGTAAGCAAGATACATGTAAGCTTTGACGGCTGGACGACAAAAGGTGGTAAACGTGGCTTTTTTGGAGTAGTCGCTCACTTTGCTGACGCAGCTAGAATAATACAAGACCTGCCTATCGACCTGCCTGAGCTCGCTGGCGCCCACACTGGTGAGGCTATTGCTAAAGCTATCTCGATGACCCTCTCGGCTTACGGAGTAACTAGCAACCGATTAGGTTACTTTGTACTGGATAACGCCGCTAATAACGACACTGCAATCGCCGCGCTCGCCCGCGAGTACAACTTCGACCCAGCTTACCGGCGCCTCCGCTGCAGTTGCCACACGCTCAACCTGATTGGCCAGGCTATTATATTTGGTAACAACAAGGACGCCTACGGTAACACTCAAGAGCAGTACAGTACTGAGGAGCAGTACATGCGAGAGTGGCGGAAAGATGGCCCTATAGGCGTCCTAGTTGACGTCATCAACTATATCAAAACGCCGCAGCAGTACGAGCTTTTTCGCAGTTTCCAGCGCCGCGCCAACGACAACCTGCCCACCGAGGAGCGTCTTAAAGTACTCGAGCCCGTCAAGCCTGTTGTTACTCGCTGGAACTCCTACTATGCCGCTTTTGAGCGAGCTACTAAGCTTTCGGCTGCTTATAACTTGTACGCTGAGCATCACATTAATAGGATTATCCTCGAAGACGCGCACGCCAACAAGCAGAACAATAAGCGGCCCGAAGCTCCAAGCTGGATGAGATCAACTGGCCTGCGAGCTGCTGATTGGGCAGTAATTGCAGAGTATCAGGACTGCTTAACGCCGCTCAAGTACGCCACAAAACGGCTCGAGGGCCGCAGCAAAGATGGCAAATTTGGGGCAATATATGAGGTTATACCAGTTTTTGAGTATGTACTCAGCCAGCTTGAGGACCAGGCACGCCCATTTAAGCAGGTCGATTTCAACGCTCACCCAGAGGCCCCCGAGGATCACCTCAAGGTCAACCTCCTCACCGCATGGGCCAAGGCCAACGACTACTACAACAAGCTCGACGCCTCGCCCGCCTACTACGCCGCCGTGTGCCTCCACCCGTACTATAAAACTTACTGCGATGTGGCCTGGGCTAACAAAGCTGGGTGGCTTAGCAGTGCCAACGTGGCGTTTCAGCAGCTCTGGGCGGCGTACAAACCTCAGCGCCCACGCCAGTCGTACACGGCTGTAACGAGTAGCAACAATATAGACGAGGCAATCAGCGCTATACTCGGCAGAAACGTCGGCCAAGAAGCTCCGCTGGACGAGTTTGAGCGCTAGAAAATGCAGGAGCCGCAGTAGACGCAGGAGCAGTATACAGCGAATGGCAATCCAGTCCAATACTGGATTCAATTACTGCCAAAATACCCGCATTTAGCGCAGTTTGCCATCGATATTATGACTATCCCAGCATCGAGCAGCGACTGCGAGCGCCTCTTCAGCGAGCTTGGCGACCTACTTGAGCCAAAGCGACGAGCTCTAGGCAGTGAGCTACTCGCAGCTCTTCAACTAGTGAGATCCTGGGTGCGAGCTGGCTATAAACCAACTATTTATAGTGAGGCTAAGCTTTCAGACAAGGAACTTTTAGATAATTACAATATACTTGAGTGGGACAGTTAGCTTAGTAATGTAGTAGTGTTTAGTCCCTTAGCAGTCAAGTAAATCAAGTACTTGGAAGCAAACCAAGCAAGTCAAGCAAGCAACAAATTGCTCCCAAGCAAGTCAAGTTACGCCTACTCTCTAACCAAGCAAGTCAAGTTTGAGGCAGTGACTTGCTTGACTTGCTTGTTGGCAACTGTGTGAAGGACCTACTTGTGGAAGATGTGTGTAACATGCTACCGAGTGGATGACGAAGGTGGGTTGGTATAGAACTATTCAAGCTTGCTTCGTGGTGTTGACGAGCAATCGTGTTGATCCAGAACGTCTCGAGAGCGTACTCACTCATGTATCCGCCATCGTTTCTTCAATCCTCAGCACTTCCATGTGGCTAAGTAGACAGGAATCTTGCATAAGTGTTATTGTTTCCCAGCAAAGTTCCACAGATACGACTAGTATCCGGAAAACACAGACGAGCGCAAAGAAGCATTTTTGATTCACGATTGTAGATTAGACAGAAGAGATGAAGAGCTTGGATGAGAAGTAAGTGAGAGAAATCTTGTGGCGACAGATCTTCTTCATGAAGAGAATCTGTGTCAAAGTGGACGGGAGATCAAACTCGTCATAACTGCACGTGTTTCTTCAATTACATCTCTAATCCGGCCATGAACGTATGATAGTCTGACTGAGACGCACAATGCAAGTCCAGATCCTGATCTTCTGTCTCTATCCCATCCCTGTCCTGTCCAGACACTCCTATAGCTTTCTCGCATCGTTCCACTGTCCTGTGCATCCTAGGCACTTGGAGGTGTTCAACGCCTGGGCGCATTGTACTTTGAAGCTGTCTTTGTGCTCTCGGCCCGCGTAGAATGAAAACAGACCCTGAGCGTTCGAACAGGAGTTCCTCTACCTTTAGTTCGCTTCTTGGTGGTGTCGGTGGCCGAAGGACAATATCAGGAAGTTCCGATTCGTGAAACATCTCGATGGTTAGATAGCGAGGCAGTGGCTTTGAGGCCGTTTTGTTCTTCTTGGTCTTGCGCTGGTTATATTTTGGTACAAGGTGCGGCACGAGTTCGTCGTTTCGCTGAGGAATCATCTTTAGCTGGTTGCATCTTGAGATCAAACCTTTCAGTAATTCCATGTTTCGATGTGGTTGACTGCTCAGAAAATGCAAATTCAAAGAGGTACACGCTAGATTATTTAGTCTAAAGCTGGTCCTTGAGCGTCTTCGTCTTCGTTTTGGAACAGTGTCTTTCACGAAGTGAACGATAACACTACACATCCAGGACAATGCTTACAATGTCTCAAAGAAATGTGAAAGTACGAGCGCTCTACGCCATTTACCCACAACCACCATTAGATAGGGTCAAGTCTCAGGTCTCATTGTTGGACATAAGGAACCGTTATATTGGCGAGGCAATGAGAAATTGAACGTAGGTCGTGCAAGCAGCCTGAACCTAAGCATAGACCTTATGACATTCACATAGTGAAGGACACTACAATTATTTGCCACGCACATACAACAGTACGAGCTCTGAATATTCGCCTAGAATACTCATCATCCATTCTAATCATTTATGCACACCTGTTTGGTTGTGTGCGTTCTTCAGTCCCGTGCAATCAGTACAGTTGGAGCAACTATAATCGTCAGTCCTCTCTTCACCCTTTGAACCCCCTTGTCTCATCCTTCGTGCGCACATCACACTACGTACCTTATACAGTCGGTACAGTCGGTACAATTGCGACATTCGTCACAGTTGTCGCAGCCGGTACAGTTGTGGCAGTGGCTGCTGCTGTCGCAGTCGGTGCAATTTTGACAGTATGTAGAGTCTTTACAGCCCGTGCAATGCCGACATCCGGTACAGTCTATACTCGTTTTAGTTGCAAAGCTTTGAGAGACCGTAAAGAGCAAGAAATTAGTCAAGGTAATAGAAACAATAGATGGTTCTCAGAGAAGTGGCAAGCGCAAGTCCCTGCTTTTGCTACCCACACAATTGTGGCACGAAGTATCCTTGCTGCATCCGATGCAATTCTTGCAGTATGAGCAGTCTGATTAAACAAGCCAGAATCGCAGGTATAAGTACACCATCTTCAAATGGAGGAGCTAGTTGACCAGGCGATAGGTTGCGGCATGCGCGACATGGAATCATTGATCTTTGGGAACATCATTGCACAGTGCGTACCTTTGCAATCTGTACAATTTTGACCTGGGTTCGTTGGTGCAAGGTCAGAGTTGAAGTATCATGAAGCTTTATTCAAACTCACAATCCTTGCAGCCAGTGCAGTTGGTGTTGTTGCGATTGCCGTCGCCATCGCCGGAACGCGAGAACGGCATTGCACGGAGCGACGATTCACCGCATCCCATGTTGAACGTTCTTGTTGGACTATATAATAGGAGGCAATGAACTGAGTCAGACTGATAGAGTAATCATAGGCGCAAAAAGTGTATAGATGCAATGTATAACCTGCCCCAGGTTTATAGGTGAGGTGATGTGACTGGAAGGGCATGCAGCCACGACGTCATTTCTGACATGTAACAGGGTTATGTTAGAGAGCGCCTTATCGGTATCGACGGCCACTCTCAAGCTTCTCATATGAGATCTACCAATTGAAAAACTTGTCGAGGAGTAAATCAGGTTCTGAGGTCTAAACTGGTCCTACATCATGGCCTGAAGGCATACTACACATCGCTATGACGGCACATCCAAATGAGGCTGTTAGCTCCTCATTTCCCACATTCCTGAAACCTTTGAGTGCACATCGCAAGAATACAAGGGTCTACTGGATTTGCGTGTTTGTTGCCAGCTCCGACTTCGTCGACAAGACCACTACAGTTAGAGCAGCCAACACGTGAGCGACAGTCGTCACATCCCGAACAGTCGACTAAATCTGCTTGGGTTGACACAGTTTGTTGACCTCTCGATTCGACTGCAGCCAACGTTGTTATCGTCCATATTGGAAGCTAGTCGTTCCTGAGGCGCAGGTGGAGGCGCACATTGTTGCTGAAGCGGAGGTATAGAATTTTGATGAAATTGAGGCATCCGAGGGACTTGTGCACCTTGATGAGGTGATCGCGCCTGAGGATTTTGAGGAAGAGAATTCTGCGGCGGTCTCTGTGAACCTCCGTCGTTTGGATTCTGATAGCCGTGGTCTTGGCAACCTGTAGATGAGCCAGCAGCAGACCCTTGTAGAGTTCCAGCTCGATGAGCAGGTTGGACATGACAATACAAACAAGTCTTAGGTATGACGGACCAGTAACTAGGCGCAGGGCTGTATGCTGGAGGGGGTCCAGTTGCCTTGACGAAGGGCCGCTCGGATAACGAAGATGATTGTGATGACCAGAGTACGGGCGAACAGGAGGAACACGCGATGCAAGTGGTCCTACCTCGTGACCTTCGAAGCGGTTTGGCGGGTTTCTCCAAGTCTGCGGCTGCATGTGCGATGTATGACCATCACCAGCGCAAGATCCAGCTAGACCGCGCGCAGGCAGAGGCAAACCATGGCGCGGTGCCTGGGATGCATGAGGATGTTAATCAGTACGTATAAGATCGGAGGCGCGGTCACGGTATTCTCCGGAGAGTTCTAATGTCGACTCAAAAAGCTTTTCATTTATAGACGGTAGTGTGTCGTCGGCATCTGAATCTGGGCTTGATACGCGAGCTCGCTTTCGGGCTATGTCATAAGTCAGTCGCGTCACTACGTTGTTTCAATGACTTGAGACTGAGACAACGGATATCCACTTACAATCGTATCCAGCCATACTGTCAATTGCGTTGTGTAGCTTGGGTGATGAGTTGAGGAATTAGTAGTTGCAAATCCTGTATAGTCGAACAGGCGAAGGTTCGTTAAAGTATACATAGGACACAATCAGATGAACGCAAGGTTATTGTGGCACCCAAAATTCACTTGCGTATTCACAGATCTTCAAAGAAGAACTTAAGCAAACAGAAGTACACTGGTAGAAGACATCGTATGAGAACTGTTTTGTTTGGTCTTGAGTCAACCATTCTCTAGTCCTTTCCTCTCGCCCCAGGGCCTGAAGCGCATTGCCCTCTTGTGTTTTGCTTGCAATTCAAACGATGGACTACTCATACGAGGGCTTAGGACATCGTTGGGGTATCGTGGGGGGGGAAAACAAGCTTCCCATTGTTGGAAAATCTGCCACTTCGTCTTTACAGATTAGCGGCTTGGCATTAGTCTCGCGATTCGCTGCATGAGGTAATGATGTTCATTCGTCCTCGCCTTATTTCCGGGGGCGTCATGGATTGACGTGCTTAAGAAAAGTAGCTCGTCCAGCCGCTCCCGCTCCCGCAAACCACAAATCTTTACTTATCACAAGCATGCCATGCGGTCTCGGACTTATTTCATTCTCTAAGCTTGCTTGTAATCACGAATAGCAAGTAACAATGACGGATCCAAGCATTGATGCAGAAAAGAACACGGAGCGGGAGAATCATGCCATCACAAATACTGATGTGGAGCGGAACCTGCAGACATGGCCCAGCGCGCGCGACGTTGAAATACAAGAAGCCACCCTGAGCGCCGAAGCTGGGAACCAAGCAGCGCAACACATGCACGACAAGCCACATCAACCTGCTCTCGCACGAATGCTCTCGCGCCGCTCAGCAACATCATTCGATCCAGGTCCAGCTCCTGATGGCGGCCTCACAGCTTGGACTCAGGTTCTCTGCACACATCTGACCATCCTGACCACCTTTGGTTTTTTTACATCATTCGGCGTATACCAAACGTACTACGAGAACACCCTCGGTATCTCGCCCTCGACAATATCATGGATTGGATCCCTCCAGGTCTTCCTGCTCTTCTTTCTTGGTACTTTCACAGGCCGTGCTACGGATGCTGGACTCTTTCGCCCTGTCTACATCGCTGGCGCGTGCTTCCAGCTACTTGGTATCTTTACATTGGCTGAGAGCAAAACTGTGTGGCACGTCTTCCTGTCGCAGGGTGTATGTCTAGGCATTGCGAACGGGCTGCAGTTCTGCCCTTCGATGGCTCTGGTATCCACCTACTTTGTCAAACGTCGTGCCTTCGCGCTGGGCTTCACTGCACTGGGATCCTGCACTGGGGGTGTCATCTTTCCAGTCATCGTGCAACAGTGTCTGCCTAGCTTAGGCTTTCCATGGACGATACGTATCATCGGCTTCATCATGTTGCTCATGAACGTTATCACCATTGCGTTGTATCGCACACGACTTCCACCTAGGAAAACCGGTCCGTTGGTCGATTGGGGAAGCTTCAAGGAACTGCCCTACGCGCTGTATTGCGCTGGCGCCTTTTTCAGTTTCTGGGGCTTGTATTTTGCTTTCTTCTACATTGGGAGCTACGCGCGGAATGTCCTTGGTGCCACTTACCAGCAAAGTATCAACCTGCTTCTAGTGCAGGTCTGCATGGGTTTTGTCTTTCGCCTGCTACCTACCTACTATGCTGACAAAATCGGGGGCCTCAACGTTCTCATACCTTTCGCTTTCATCTGCGGTGTTATGATGTTCGCATGGATTGGGATCAAATCCACTGCTACCTTGTATGTATTTGCTGTCATATATGGAAGTGGGAGCGCTGTTATCCAGGCGCTTTGGCCGGCGGTAATCGGCAGTATGAGCCGTGAGAAAGACCTGAAGAAATCGGGTGTGAGGATGGGCATGGCGTTCACCGTCGTGAGCATATCAAGTTTCACAGGTCCACCGCTAGCTGGTGCACTCATTCAGAGTCACAACGGTAGCTACACATATGCGAATATCTGGGCGGGTATGTCGTTCTTTGTTGGAGGATGTCTATTAGTTGCTACTAGGGTATCTCTGGTGGGCTGGAACTGGAAGGCAAAAGTCTAGCGGTAGATCTGATCAAGTTCTTTGTTGACTTTCAGATTCCTCGGTTCTCTTTGTATCCTTTCCCACCCATTCTCTGAATCCGTTACTGACTTTCTTCTCTGTATCATCTGAGAGCTCGTTACTGTCTTTTGCTGATGATGGTCTTGCTTGCAGAAATTGCTCTTAGCGAAACTGACGCCAGCGTGAGCTTGTCGTAAGTGAAACAAGTTTTATACCATCTACAGGAGAGTGGACATCCATATATAGTGTGATTTCGAGAAGAATATCGTGCCGCCTCTGCGATAGTCATGCCTTGCATACCCATCGACGTCGAAACCGTGCTTGAACTATCGGCCCCTCTTATCTCCCAACGTAGTGACTCTTGCTAACAAGCCAGGCTCTTCCCTCTCCTTTTCCATTCTCGCATGCCAATCCGCCTCAGCTTTAGCTGCATTCTTCTTAGCCCGCGCTGTATTCCACCTCATGTAATAGCAGCAGAGCGGGAATAGTACCGTGCCTGTCGTGACCCAAGCGAACAAGACGCCAAAGTTCAAGCCGACGCGTGGATGTAGATCAAACAGGATGGATCGGGTGAGCTCAACCACGTTGTGCATAGGCCATCCATAACCCCAGCGATAAAAGCCGGGTGCAAGTTCGAGAGCGTAGAATCCAGTCGCGACATTACTGATCACCCAGAAGATCAACCACAGAGCTGTCCAGGGGGTTCCCAAAAGCATGGCCATATTCTCGCTCGCCAGACCAAACGCGGTCATACCGATCCAGTTGACCATCCAGTATACCACAAACGTACCGCTACCGTATGCGTTGGGGTTATTGGCGGGCTGATCGTGGGCTGCTTTGGGATGGTCCATAGGCATGAGAAAGGCAAGGCTGACGAGGGAATAGACGAGCGAGAGTAGAAAGTAAGACGCGACTGTTGCGACATAACGCCAGATAATGAGCTGGTAGAAGTGCAGCGGTGGATGACCTCTAGGCGAGAGATACTTTAAATGGATAGGTAAAAGAATGTGAAGCTGAAAAAGGAGATGATGACTAGATATCGGCGTATGGAGTCAGTGTAGGTCTTGCATGCAGTTCATACAGGGAAACTACTAACTCAAGTAGATCAGCCCAATACTGACCGCGGGTGTCGCGATAGATGGCCCAAAAGGGCGGAGATCATACACTGCGAATTCGATTCCTGGAGCGAGAGCTTGGGGCGAAACGTCGACGTGCATGTCAATGACCGAGAGATTGTTCTGGAGGAGATGTGTGATCCACGCGCGACCAAAATCGGTCACAACGCGCTTTTGGAGCGTGTTCATGCTAGGTAAGATGTAAGTCGAGGACGTAGTCTGATCACGCGCAGAGTTATAGATGATCTGGCAAGCCCCCAAGGGATCGTAACTCGCGTTTCCCTGCCTCACTGCTGCCTCAAGCATCGCTGTTGCATTGGGGTTGATGATGACGGCCGCCCATGCGTGAAAGTCGTAGACATTGTCTCGTACCCTGAGTGGATCGTTGTCGAAGTCCCCAGGTGAAGCAAACGTATAACCGGGCACCACGCCACCCTCGTCGATGATGTCGTGAATAGCCTGAGTAACGAACGGACCCACGAATGGTGTGACCCCTGCATAAGGCGGCTGACCATCGAAATCGACAACCCAGATGCTCAGGCTTTTAACATTCGCATTCTGACGAAACAATGCACCCCAAAAGAGACACAAGAAGGCCATGATAGCGATAGCGAGGATGAGATTCGTCCGGAACCAGAGCTTGATTACATGTAACCTGACGCCGGCCATGGACGAGTGGAAAAATCCAACGGGCTTCTGCTCGAGTTCGATCCGGCGGCTGCTCTTCGTGCGGCCACGCTGTAGTGTTGTCGGCCTGCTTGAAACAGAATTGATACCGTTGTTCGTCTCGCTTTGGAAAATGGTGGCTTCCTGCTGTGCGCAAGCAGAGTCTGTAGCTGCGAGGGCTCGCTCTCCTGTGTCGGAGTCCCCGGATGAGCTGGAGTCATATTCGTGATGATATTGCGGGGCGATCTGGCATCCAAGCATTGGTTGAGACATGTTGAGCGCTGTGGATATTGACAGAGGGTGCTTCAATTGCTGATATACCTAGGTGTCTTGAGGCCCGGGCACTTGATACTGCTGTGAGTTGCTGACAGATGAACGCTAGTAAAACGCTAGTAGATTTAAAGCGAGTTCATTGGATGTGAATGCTAGAACGATGTTTGGTCATCACCAGGGCTGAGTTAATCACTGGTACCTGCGCCACATAGTATCCAGGTACGCTGACATGACAAATATCTAACTGGGTAGCCAAAGGAAGGGGTGATCCGATGTTATAAGGGATGCCGACGCGTTGAGACATCCACGCAACCACATTATATCCTTACCTAGTCGTTTCTGGAGTCGTTACATGGCACGTGTAGTGGAAATGGAAGTGTTATCAGAAAGGTAGCCATAAGGGTTATATTGGCTTACATAAGCCCCGTTGAATTGAGGAAACACCTGGGCACGGTTCCGCGCAACACGCGCCCCACGCTCATTGCGCAACTCTGTCATGACGAACACCAATACATGTGGCTGCAACCATCGCATCCGCACAGTGCCTAATCGTCGGTACATATTGCTTTGCGCGCCTGTCGAGAGAAGGCATGTCGGGCAGGGGACCTAGGGGTGGTCGCGACGTCGGACGTGGCAGGGGACGGGGTAGAGGCAAGACACATATAGTATGCTACAGCCAGGCCGCAAGGAACACTACTAAATTGCGTCTCAGCGGGAGTGGGAATCGTACACCCCTGGCGCTGAAGTTTACGAGCAGCTGTGGCGCGTTCGCAAAGAGCCTGCCATTGTTACCGCACGACTACCCAACGACTGCCCCATTCCGAATGCGCGAACACGAATACTGTATCGTCGGCAGACCCAGGACACTATCAAGCGAGAGCAATACACTGTAGAGATAAAATATACCAGTGAAGCTGGGGACGGACATGAAAGTCCTAATCGCACAGAGGTTGAGGATGTGGACTTGCGATGTATAATGCAATTCGTTTCTCCAGCCGAACTGGAACGATATGAAACGGAGCAGTTCAGACTCGAGGCAGAGGCAGAGGCCATTGCAATACGCACCGAGGCCGAAGAACTGGCGCGTCGGCAACTGCACAAGAATGCTAAAGCACCAAACACTAATAAAGGAAGTCGTATGCTCAGTGGATTGGGTCTTGCTGTCCGACCACCCACACGAGCCAGAGGTCGGCCAAGAGGACGTCATGGAAGAAGTAGGGGAAGATTGGGAGGCTTGGTGTTGAGTTCTCGGCAACTTGAAGACGACGTGCGCGAAGAGTTGGTGGACAGCGAGCCTGTTACGACTAATCGCCAAACCGAACGCACTGGAAAGCCAATATTGACGTCGCCCGGTTTGATGCGTTCAGCCTTTGTCGCTAACAGCGCCCTGCCGGTATCGTCACTACCAAGGAGGCTCTCTACTTCTCTTCCCTGGCAGAAACATACAGAGCTTTTAGTCCTAGAAGATCAGGTGGACCAGGCGCTCGCTAGCCACGATGCAAGGCCCGTGACCAATGTTCCAGTGCACTTGCGCGACTCACTAATACCTGCAGTCGAAGTCGAGGGTGAGAACATCAATACAGATCATCCATGCACTAGACCACACAGGATGGGAAGCATATTTTCGTCTGAACACCCCTCTGTCACACCCGCTCTCTCACCATCTACCGACAAATTTTCCTTAGCAGGCACCCGCGCAGTTCCGTTGCCCACACAAGCATCTAGTCCCTCTATTGCACCGGGCACAAAGCCGGACGACATGTTTTCACAGACACCGCTTTTCTTTGATCGATCGTCGATTGCAGCATCCGATTCAGATGACACAATACCTGCACAGCCACCGCCGCCGCATCACGAACCCAACAATGACGTGAACAACGACACTATGCACATGCACACCGCGCAACCAGACCGCCATTCACTCGAGTACGACAATAATGACGACGATGCGGATGCAGACGGCGCAGAAGAGTACGTGGTCGAAGCCATCGTGGAGCACTTCCAAGAGGATGGGAAGAACTATTATCTTGTTAAATGGGATGGATATGAAGACAGCCATGATTGGCTTCCCGAAGAAGATCTCGAGGGTGCTGCGGATCTAGTCGCTGAATACAACGAGCGGATTGGATGGAGGAATAAAAAGGTGAGGATGAGGTAAGGTTGAGTTGAATTGAGAACTAGACTTCCATTTCTACGGTACACGACTCAGTGTAGCGATAAGAATGATTGAACTTTCCAGCCTTCGAGGCATGTATTAGTGACAACAAAAGGTCACCACATCATAAAGCTCTATATGCATAAATGCTATGTGTTTGTGCTAAACGCAGATGTATCGGATATTTTTGTAAGTGAAGACGCGTCTACATCATGCTGACCAGGGCAAGTGTTTCTATGCTGGACTTCCGTATCTCGGGAAGGCTAGCGGAAAGAGGTTTAGGCAGAACGCGAACCTGTCGCGCTTCTAACACACGGGTCGGCGGGGCGCGAAGTACAGCCTTCAACCATCCCATTCAAAAACACCTGAAAGGCTCTTAGTATAGCCTGCTACAATGACACACAACTTAGCTATCCTACGCTTGAGTAGATAACTTAGAAGTCTGCATTATTATTAAATTTCCATGCTTCTTGACTAAGTGCTGTTGTATATTGCAAAGTTAAGAATATACTGTCCGAACTTGTTCACTTTCTTCTTCGAATGGGGTGCTACGACTCCAATAGGAAAGGAACATTCTAAACCTCTAGAGAAAATCTTTAGTGAAGCACAACTCACACAAAAGAACCCTCTTCGAAGACAGCGTGAGAACATCGTCCGAATAGTTGATCTATATTCTTGATTATGAAGGTTTTGTTAAACCTCAGTGTACAAAGCACACGCGAAAAGACATGAATACTAATGTAGGCAAAAGTCTCCACGATGACGCTATTTGCAAAGAGCGCCAGCGTCTTGCATGTTCATTCCAAGGTCATCTCGTCGCGTCGAGCAAGCCGACAAGGTTGAAGCAGAAGTCCACTTCCTTGCCCCATACATCGTGCGCGTACACTCAACTGGATTGTCGGCTTCAAAAGACATCCCCCGCCTTCATTCGTTGGGTGTCTTGGTGTAGGGAAACACCTCCTGGTCTGTATCGTGCCATTCTTGCGTCAACAGCGTGGAAATCTCCTCGTCGTCTTGGATCACATCCTCCAATATATCATCCTCCAGTTCTGCTTTTGGAGGTTGTTGAGAGAGTTGAGTGGTTATCTCCTCGTCATCTTCGAGGAACGCACTAAGGCCGTAATCTGGGATCTGAGCCAGCGTTAGGGGTGGAGAAGTAGCTTCGTGCTTAATGAGAGAAAGGGGCATTTGTGAGCCAAGGCTCGAGAATGGTGTCAAAGAAGCTGAAATTGTGGATGTGGCCCGATAGGGTGAAGCACCTCGGTAAGAGGAAGAAGAATTGTATTCCGAGTGTGGGCGCAATGGAGGAAGGTCGAGGTGGGATGCGCAATTGATGATCGGAGAGATCACGCCTAGGCCACCGGGTTTTTCTGATTTGATGAGCTTCCCAGTAGGAGGATGTAAATATGGCAATGAAGACGATGTATGTTTCTGCCCTTGAGACTCTGGTCGCGAGCTACCGCCCTTGCGACCCTGTGGAAAATCAGGACGTAATTTGCTTAGATTTTGCAGAACTCGCCCTTTCTCGCGTATCCTAGGTAGAAACAGTGAGATGGTTGGGATGGACCGACTCGTAGCTGCACGACTGGATATTGAGATCACTCTTCATGAACACCATTCTGCACAACATTGTGAATAGGTAGGCTGCAAATTCCGGCAGTGGATGTCAAGTGGACATATTATGTAGAAACCCGAACCTGGTGATTGGTTTGGTGGAATCGACGGGCGGGTATATATGAAACATGTATTTAACAATAACACGAAGGAGCGTATTGCGTATAATATGAACAAGGCAGAGTGATCACTAGGTCGTGGGAAGAGAAGATCAGTTCTTCTTGTCTACCTCCAAGGAGGACGGAAAGAGAAAGCATGCCAAGCTTCATCACATGACAGATCAGATGCCGAGGTCGACTAATAGGTAGGTATGCAGCAACACAACATGGAGACTATCATCTTGACTACCGCACACGAACATGGCTTCTTCAACGCGCTACGCATATCCCTTCGCCGCTTCCCCTGATATCATCCGGTCACACCAGAAAGATGCCTACTTCTCCGGCGTGCTTCTGGATCAGCTCTCGACACTATTGCGCAAGCTCTATGGCGCGCGCATCGCGCATACCTATGCATCCGAGACGCGTGTGCTCGGGGAGCTACTTTACCTTGGTCTGACCACGCTGATAGGAAATCGGACATTGGGCGAGGAATACACAGACATTGTTCAGGTGGAGAGCGAAAGCGGACGACTGCCGGCGCTGGGACGGAGAGCTGGATACATACTGAGCTGCATATTAGGGCCATATGTGCTTGGGAGAGCACTGCCGGCCTTTAGAAGAAGAGTGCGCGCGAAACTCGAGGCAAACCTGCGATGGTATGCGCGACAGCAAGCGCGAGCACAGCAGCAGGCACAGGAGAATGGGAGCAAGACACGGATAGGACGACCTCTAGGCATGTGCCTGCAAAGCTACATTCTCGAAAACCTTGATACCATTACGTCGCCATCGCCCGTCTACGCCCTCTCTCTGGCGACATTCTACTTCTCGGGGAGCTACTACCACCTCTCGAAACGCATATGGGGGCTACGATACATCTTTACGCGCCAAGTGCCAGAGGGGGATAATCGCGCCGGCTACGAAGTCCTAGGTGTGCTGCTAGTTTTACAAATGGCTGTACAGGCATATCTACATCTACACAATACTGTCACCTCGTCGACGGCAGCAGTGGGTGGCGGCCACCCGCAAGGTACATCAGCCATTGTAGGCGGCGGCGCAGAAGTCTCGCTGGATCCCAACGCCTACAGCGCCAACAACGCGTTGTTATTCGACGCTGCGTCCGCCCTCCCCACGGCCGCGCCATCAGACGTGCAAAAATGGACACACACACCTGCGTTGGACAAAGCAAGATATGAGCTAGAGAACGAGGAGACAATGGGATGGATTGGTGGTGGCAATCGGAAATGCACTCTTTGCCTGGAAGAGATGAAGGACCCGAGTGTAACGACATGTGGACATGTCTTCTGCTGGACGTGTATCGGGGATTGGGCTCGGGAGAAGCCCGAATGTCCGCTTTGTAGGCAGACGTGTCTAGTGCAGCATGTGCTGCCGCTGAGGGGTTAGGTGGGCGGCATGTCGAATTACAAAATCTTCTCTGCCTCATCTATAAGTCGTTCTACTTGAAATGCGCTGTCTCCGCGAGTGAACATGTTGAGTAGTTGGCTGCGTGCCTTGCCCTCTTCCGTCTGCACGTAAAACTTCTGCATGCACATGACGAGCCATCTGGCCTCGTCGACGCTTACGCCTCTGTTCTCGATAACCAAGCCCTGTCCCAGAACCAAGTTGTGGCTCTCGGCGAGCTCCTGGTGGAAGGTGATGGTGGTGTGCGGACTCGCAAATTCGCCCCTCAGCTTGAACTCTGCGAGCGTTGTGAACATGAGCGTGGTAGTATCAACGTGTGGGTGGGAGAACTGCAGATAGTGCAGCTCGGCGGCTTGCTGCGTCTGTGGCTGTTCCTGTGACGCTGATGAGGCGTCGGCGGGTATCTCGCGGGGGACGGGGAGGACAAACGAGGGGTGTTGTTTCGCGCTGCGGAGGAGCTGGGAGAAGGTCGTGGCTGGAACGGCGAAATGAATGCTCTGCGGGTTGGCAGCATGTCGAAGGCGCCACAGGGCTTGGACTTCCTTCTCGGGGAGAGTCTGGACTTTGTCGAGGTCGAGGAAGGAATTGAGCGTCTTGACGCCTGGTGGTGGGGCGGTGGGGAGCCCGAGGCAGCGGGCGGCGGAGGGGGCGACGGCCAGGGGCTCTTTGGTGGCGCTTGTGTTGTTGTTGTTGATGATGATGATGATGTGGTGGTGGTGGTTTCTGGCGGCGGTGTCAAGGGACCTGTCGCGCCGGGCACAATGGCCTGTTTCCTCAGCTCCTCGATCCTGTCCTTGTACTGCTCCTTGAGCTCGTCAAGGTCCTTGAGACCCTTTTCCCGCGCCTTGTGCTCGAGCTTCTCCTTGTACTTGGCGAGGATGCGCTCCTGGGAGTCGTGGGTGACGAGGAAGCGGCGAATGTCTTGCACCTGAGCCCAGCGACGTTGAGTGGCGCGGGGGTTGACGAGGGGCTGGCGCAGGGCATGGCGCAGCGTGGGGATGCGGAGAGACATGGCGGGGACGGTCGAGACACGGGCCAGAGCACTTCCGGGCGTGTGGTGATGTTCTGGTGGTGGTAAGATGAGAAGAGACGAGACGGGACGCAAAAAGAGCTAGAGCTAGAGTGGGGGACCCGCCTTAATGCAGGGACGGGAGCGTTTATGGCTTTGTCTTAACGTTACCTAGGCACATCCCACCCGACATACATACATACATACCGCATATAGCATATAGCATATCGCATATTGCATACCGCATACCGTCTGCCCGCGTATCATCCATGCAGAACCCGCCCTTCCTGCACACGACCCGTCGGCCCCTCTCATCCTCGTCGCCCTCGACCTCGTCCTCGACGGGCTGCTGCTAGCGGCATGGGTGCAGTCAACAGCAAGGCGGGCGATGCAGGCGCCCTCTACCTGCGCGACCAGACTCGCTGTAAGCCTCAATTGGCGCCTGTCCCCAGGCCCGCTGCCTCGACAGAGCTCTGCTAACCCGCCTCCAGTTTCGGTGGCCTCGCTCAACATCACCAACGCCCGCAACCGCACGCTTCTCAACATCTCGCCCAACGCCTTCCCCGCGACCCGCTATGCTGCCAGGCGCGAGTTCGGTGACGACAGCGTCATCGAGTACATCCAGGACCCCGAGGCAGTGCCGCACGCCGACGGCCCTCCCGCCTTCCTCATACGCCTGCCCAACGACGAGGAGCTGACCTTCAACTTCACCTTCATACTGCGCCAGCACCTCGCAGTCCCCACCATTTACAGCGCCAACACGGCTTCCCAAGTCGCCCCCACCGGCCTGGTCGACACCAACATCAACGGCCTGACCTTTGTCTTTGCCTCGAGCTCAAAGGACCTGGACAACCTGGTCACGCGCGAGTTCCACGCCAATCCCAACCTCCACAAGAACCCCCAGGTAGAGCTAGTCGGCGATTACTCCACCGGCGGTCACTCGTCGGTCCAGTTCCAGTGGTCGTGGAAATGGACGCCGCCCCGCACCCCCGAGTCGCGCGGCGGGGGCTGGCGCACAAGTTGCAGTGTGTGTATACCAACTTCTCTCCATGGCGGCGACTGCTGACACGCTCAAGTTTGTCGAGTATGACCAGCGCGCACACAGGCTCGAGACGCTGGCGAGCTTCACATTCTGGGTCCAGAGTTCGTACCCCGCCCTGTTTCCCAACATACCCGCTGACCAGTCCAGACACGGCGCGCCAGCTGCAAAGCCCGAAATCTCCCTCACCACGCCTAGAACTCGGCGTCCCTCCCCGACTGCGCGTGCCGTCTGCACAGTCGATAGAGTCACGAGTGAGCGACTCAGCGGGCGAAGACCGTGAGTGGGACAACATACCACCGAGATCACCAATCTGCGAACCCATTCCAGAGCATAGCCTAGGCCTCATACCAAGCCAGACAACCACTCTGTCGAGCGGGAGTGCGCAGGTGAAGCTCGACGTGTCGCGCCCGGGCGAGGATCTCAGTCAGACCGACGATGGGCCGCTCTTCCGCGCCACGATGAAGTCACTCGAGCAGAAGACGGGCAACATGCGTACAAGGTGGAAGAAAGTCCTCAAACGCGCCGAATCTGCCATGGAAGCCCAGGCGGCATGCAACAATGCCATGGCTGACCTCATGGATGCGCTCAGAGAGGCCTCGTCGTCCAACGCAAACGCAGTGCAGCCGGCCATTGATCACTACTTTGACAAGATTGCCAAGGAGATCCTTGGATACGAAAAGTCGAATACCACCAACATCCAAAAACTCATTATTGATCCCATATACAAGCTTTACAATATCGACATCAAGCAGGCCGAGACAAAGCGCAAAGACTTTGAGGAGGAGAGCAAAGATTATTACCAGTACCTGGGAAGATACCTTGGGCAAAGACAAGATTCACTGAAAGAGAAGAAACGCGCCGAGACGGATTCCAAATACCAAGCAAAGAGGCGCAACTTTGAGCTGAAGCGATTCGACTACTCATCCTTTATGCAGGACTTGCATGGAGGCCGGAAGGATCAAGAGGTCCTTTCCCACCTTACGCGATATGCCGACGCCCAGGCTAAGCGCTACCTAGAGACTGCAAAGAAGATCGAGACCATGTTGCCACATCTAGAGGCTCTTAGTTGCGAAGTGAAGGAGGCAGACAAGGAGTTTCAGATTCAGAGGACCGAAAGAGAAGAGAAGAGGCGAGCGCTGGAGACGATCAAGAAGACTTTGGACGACGTGCCTGCGCCTTCGCTCACATCTCCTGCAGCATCATCGGGTAGTGTGCCTCGGACAACGTCGAGGTCAGACCCAGAGCCACCTCCTGGCCGCAAGGGTAGCCTTGTGCCCATGTTCCAAAGCACAGTAATGCCTCCCCAAACTATCTCATCTACAAGCATTCCCTCCTCAATAGCACTACCGCAAAGTCCCGAGGCCACCAAATCGAGTCTGGCAATGGTGGCGCCGCAGCCGGACAAGTTCAAAGGCATCAGAGATCTCGAAGAGAAGGACCCTGCTGCAATGGCTGAAGCTGGTTCAGGTGCGCATCGCAAAGAAGGTCTTTTGTGGGCACTGAGCAGGCCTGGAAGCCATGTGGATCCCAAGGGCTTGAACAAGCAAGCCTGGCACAAGTGAGTACAGTCTTCACCAACCAACTAAAACCGTGCTGACAATCTCCAGGTTCTGGATCGTCCTTGATCAGGGTAGACTTTCAGAGTACACCAACTGGAAGCAAAGTCTGGAGCTCCACATGGAACCAATCGACCTTCGCATGGCTTCGGTAAGAGAAGCACGCAATGCGGACCGCCGATTTTGCTTCGAAGTCATCACCCCACAATATACTCGAGTGTATCAGGCGACCAACGAAGAAGACATGAAGTCATGGATCAGTGCAGTCAACAATGCTTTGCAGACAGCCGTCGAGACGGCAGGAAAATCTGACCGGCCATCCACTGATTCACTGCCCGGACAAACGCATCGTGATATTGCATCAGTGCTTACCGGAAAGAGTCCATCAATGTCAAGCCATCGCAACACATACGGCTCCAAGGCACCCGCGCGACATGCTACAGTAGGCGATCGGCCTGGCGGTTACCGGCGGGAGGAGACGTTCGGCGACGAAGGCAAGCTGCTCAAGCAAGTCAGAGATGCAGATTCTAACAACAGGGTGTGCGCGGATTGCGGTACTGAGATCAAAGTCGACTGGGTTTCCATCAATCTCGGCATCATCATTTGCATTGAGTGCAGTGGCATTCATCGATCACTAGGCACGCACATCACCAAAGTGCGCTCTTTGACTTTAGATGTTACATCCTTCACCCCCGATATCATCGAGATACTGCTCAAGATCGGCAACCGCATCAGTAATTCTATATGGGAAGCAAGGCTAGATCCAGGGCTGAAGCCAGGGCCAATGTCGACGAGAGAGCAGAGGTTGCACTTCATCACGTCAAAGTACGCCGATCGAGCATTCGTGGCACCCATAACACCGAACATGTCGCACTACGCAAACCCAGAGGAGACGCTTTTAGCGTCGGTTAAGAAGAACGACATTCAGAACGTACTCTACGCGCTGGCACTGAGAGCGAATGCGAACGCACGCGATCGATCACGAGGCACGCATGCAGTATTTCTCGCGCTTGCAGCCGCCGACCCAGCGTCCCCTTCAGCCACAGCATCACCTGCAAGCTCTCCAGGCTCAGGCGTCCGCCCAGGCACAGCACAGCCTACGCGCAAAGCCTTCCCCGTCGCAGAGCTGCTGCTGCAAAATGGCGCAGAGTTGCCGATGCTGCCGGCGCCCATCCCACTTGGGCACTCGGCACGAAGCTATCTTGACTTCAAGACAGAGCAGCGTGCTGGCAAACGTCCAGCACCCATGGTGGGAAGTCAGCCCCCACCCAGCGCAGAGAAATTGCCGTCGTTGCCGCCTATCATGGCAGGAAACGGCAGCTCTCCGTCGGAACGAGCGCGGGAACGGGACGCACGACTGCAAAAACGAGTTTCGGCGAGCGGAAGGTTGGTCAAAACCCCAAATGTGGACTTGAGTGAAGGTAAGCGCGGCTCGTAGGGCTAGCTGATGCTTATTTGTTTTCTGTTCTTCTAGCGTATACCTTGCCTGGGCGGCGTGCGGACTTGTGCGATGGGCGTCAACGGGCTGAACAACTCACGGTCGACGCGAGGAGAAGAAGAGTGCAATCTAGTTCACGTTGGATGGGGCGCATTGCGGTTATGCGTGCGGCCTGTGATGCATTGTACCATGTTTCCAGTGGGCGGCGATTGGCTTATTCTCTGGGAGTCACGTTTGACTCAACGGCCTTGCAGTCATATCTTCGGCGTGTTGTGTGTATAGTGTAATGAGTAATGGCAGAACATAAGAGTCACGACGTTGTGTGATTGTGAATTCCAAAGGCTGTGAGTCGGAATGGCGGTCTTTTAACGACCCCACTAGCGCGCACCAAAATTCCCTGGGTCGCAAAGTTATAACCAACCCGCACCCCGCCGCCGCAATCGCACTCACCACCGCAATCATGGCATCCGCATACTCTAACCTGCCCATGGACGGCGACGACGAATTCGACGAGAGCCAAATCGACTTTACCGACATCGAAGACCAGTTCCAGGTGCGGCTCGATGAGGGGCTCGACGCCTTTGTCGTGATCGATGGACTGCCTGTAGTGCCCGAGGACAGCAAGGCCAAGCTCGTCAAGTTTGTGCTGAGGAAGCTGAACAGCGTGGGCAAGGTCAAGGACGATGGCGTGCACATGCCCGTCAGCGAGGCGGGCAAGACCGAGGGGTACGTTGTATCTGGCGCCGAGGGCGCTGGCAGACTGGACCTGGGCTGACGGCATCACAGATATGCCTTTGTCGAATACAGCGCGCCCGCCGAGGCCGTCGCGGCCGTCAAGCAGCTGAATGGAACTGCGCTCGACAAGAAACACACCATGGCCGTCAACAAGCTTACCGACATCGACCGCTACGGCAAGGAGGGACGCATCGACGAGGAATACCACGCGCCCGAGATCCCGCCCTTTGAGCAGAAGGAGCACCTGAGGTGGTGGCTGGGCGACCCCGACAGCCGCGACCAAATGGCCATGTACCGCCAGGAGAAGGTCGGCGTCTTCTGGAACGAGAAGGAAGACCAGCCCGAGCAGGTTGTCGACCGCGAGAACTGGACCGAGTCCTTCATCCAGTGGTCGCCCCAGGGAACCTACCTCACCTCTATGCACGCCCAAGGTGTTCAGCTGTGGGGAGGTAAGGCTTGGAGCAGGCAGAAGCGATTCGCTCATCCCGGCGTCAACCTCGTTGACTTCTCCCCAGCGAAAAGTACCTCACCACCTGGTCGCACCGCCCGCTCCAGGTCGACGAGAACCACCCCGTCCCATCGCTTTCGCTCGAGGAGGACGGCAAGAACTACATCATCTGGGACATTGCAACAGGCAAGCCTCTGCGCTCCTTTGCTACCATCGACGTACCTGGTGGCATCGATGCCGAGGGCAACCCCGTCAAGAAGAAGCTGCAGTGGCCGACATTCAAGTGGTCCTCCGATGACAAGTATGTTGCACGTATGACTCAGGGCCAGTCCATCTCCATCTACGAGCTGCCGCGCATGAACCTCCTCGACAAGACATCCATCAAGATTGAGGGCGTTATGGACTTTGAATGGGCTCCCGCAACGCCTCGGAGAGAAGGCATCAAGACGTATGAACAGCTCTTCTGCTACTGGACACCCGAACTCGGCAGCAATCCCGCCAAAGTCGGTCTCATGTCCGTTCCTTCAAAAGAGATTGTGCGCACCCGAAATCTGTTCAACGTCTCGGATGCGAAGCTGCACTGGCAATCCGAAGCCGCTTACGTCTGCGTCAAGGTCGACCGTCACTCCAAGTCCAAGAAGTCTCTTGCCACCAACCTGGAAATCTTCCGTGTCCGCGAAAAGGGTGTGCCCGTTGAAGTTGTCGATTCAATCAAGGACACTGTCATCAACTTTGCCTGGGAACCCAAGGGCAACCGCTTCGTGCTCATCACAACTGGCGAAGTCATTCAGGGCGCTGCCGTCGGTCCCAAGACTGCCGTCTCTTTCTTCGCCCCGGAGAAGCTCAAGGGTGGCGCACCTGGCAACTTCCGTCACATCCGAACCGTTGACAAGAAGAACAGCAATGCCATCTACTGGTCACCCAAGGGACGATTCGTCGTTGTCGCTGCTCTACAGTCTCAACAGTCTTTTGAACTCGAGTTCTGGGACATGAGCTTCGACAGGCCAAAGGAGGAGTCTGAAAAGGGTGACAAGGAAGTCAACGCCAATCTGCAGCTCATGGATACAGCCGAGCACTACGGTGTAACCGACATCGAATGGGACCCTACCGGCCGCTATGTCGCCACCGTCGCCAGTGCTTTCCGTCATCGCGTACGTATCATTGCCATCACGTCCTCTTGCTTCTGCTAACATTCACTAGATGGAAAACGGCTACCATCTCTACGATTTCAAAGGCACACTCCTTCGTGAAGAAGCCATTGAAGGCTTCAAGCAGCTCCTCTGGCGCCCACGTCCCCCAACCCTCCTGTCCAAGGAAGAGCAGGCCGAGATCCGTAAGAACCTGCGCAACTACTCCAAGGTCTTTGATGAGCAAGACGTTGCCAAGAAGAGCTCCGCCAACAAGGCAGTGGTGGAAGCTCGCCGCGAGATGCTGGATGAGTGGCGCAGGTGGCGCGAAGAGGTTACCCAGAGGCTGCGCGAAGAAGGAGCCGACCTCGAGCTGGCGACCCTCAAGGGGGAGACGCCGGGACAGGCGGATGATGGACACCAGGAAGAGATTGAGGAGATTGTAGAGGAGATTATTGACGAGACCGAAGAAGTCGTGAACTAAGTGGTTAGATGAGTAGAAACACGAGTGAGTGACAGCAGCTCTAAAGAACGTGCTGCGAAAATATTTCCGCAAACATACAATGCGTGACGAACAATGGCACTAAATAGTACATTTGAACATATTCTCTTTACATCAATCGTAAAGGCAACAGCTCTTGCATCACCCATCTCCTGTCCAGGAGGGAGAAGTGCAGATGGTCGACTACATGCGGTACAACAAAGCCCAGTGTCTCTCAGGTCAAGTTTTCTTCCTTCCTTCCAGTTTAGCTCTATAATGCTACGTCAAGTTAGCCCTTATTCTTCTTCACATCCGCTCGCCCTACGCAGTCTTTGTTTCAACTTACCTGACAACTGATTTTGAGACCCTCTTCCAAGCCAACCCTAGGTTTGTAACCCAACAACAATCTTGCTTTGGATATGCTAACATAGCGATCGCGACACCCGTCACTCACGATACCTCGACTAAGTACACCCTCTGTTCCCGTCATCCAGCTAACCCATTCGGCACAATAACCCAAACACCACGTCAATCCCTCCGGAACCCTGATGTGGAACCCAGGAACGTGGCCAAATTCCTTCCACACTGCTAGACACAAGGCCCTCGCTGTGATGGGCTCGCCGTTAGTAATGAACATGGCTTCACCGGCAGCAGTTTGCGAATTCAACAAATTGCCGACGGCGAGGACGTGTGCGTCCGCTACGTTGTCGACGTAGACAAAGTCTTGCAGATTGGTTCCTGTGCCGAGGATGAAGGGTGTCTGGTACGCAGAGATGCAGGAGTGTATTGTGGGGATGCAGACGGTGTCGTTGCGGCCGAAGATGGGGGCTGAACGCAGAGCACAGGTGGCGAAGTCGTGCGTGTTTGCGGAGAGAACAATGGATTCTGCGAGTGCCTATTAAAGGTGAGTTTCTTGTTTTGTTTTATCTTATTTTCATCTCGAGGTGTGGGCAGAGGATTCAGGATTGGAGATGAGGTAAGGTAGCTAGGAAGCAATGTTTGGTGTGATGGAAATGAATAGTTGGAAACTTCTTCCACGAAAACTCCATACAGAATGGAGAACATGAATATAGAACAGGCGTACACCAAGAAATGGACAAGGAGAATAGGAAAAAAAAAAAAAAAAAAAAAAAGAGAAACTCGGTTACCTTGCTCTGTCCATAGCTCGTGTGCACACGACCTGTGGGCCAACGTTCATCTACATTCCTGAAATCGCGATCCAAATCATCCAACACAACAGTCACACTACTCGTGTACACAAAAGCCCTTGCGCCACAATCCCTACTTGCATTCACAACATTCCTTGTTCCCTCGACGTTGATTTTGAAGACGGCGCCTTGCCCCGCATGGAGTAGCGCTTCGTACCCAGAGGGAAGACACCCACTGTGTGGATGACGACGGCAGGTCGAGCTTCGGAAAAGACACTGAACAGGGAAGATGGGTCCATGATGTTGCAGCGAACATAGCGTACGCTGTTGGTAAAGGTGTTGCTGCCGAGCGAGGGCGGGTTAACGTCTATGACCGTGATGGCGTATCTTTTCGTGCTTAAGAGTGCGGAGACGATGGCGGTGCCTAGGAAGCCACAGCCTCCTGTTACCAGGACGCGGGTTGGCTCCATTTGTGACGTGTGGGCGATCGTCCCGGGACGCTGTGGGTGATGCAGCGCAGTGTTGTTGACGTCGGACACGTTTCTATCTCTGGGCGCATTCCTGTCGGGTTATCTTAACAGTCTACAGCATAGCGCTTCGTGTTTGCAATATCTGTGATGGATATTTCCATGAGACTGCGCACAGTTATTGTTAGTAGAATGCGATGTCGGTTCAATGGAAGAGTGCGGCATGATGGAGGCAGGTCGCGTTCAAGCATTGCCCAATGCTTTCCCGCTCCGCATCTCATGCCGTTCGGCCAAAAATTGTACCTTCGTTGGTCAGTTCGAGAACGGACCTACATGCCTTCTGAACTGGAACTAAATATACGTTGTAATAGTTGGTAATCATTTGGCTGTATGGAAGTCTATAGGCTGCCGGTTGAATCGCGTAACATTGTCGGCGTCCGGGCAGATAAACTTGACCATGGCGTAAATCATCGCCCTTGGTACCCTGTAACTACATACAACAGCACACGGCATAGCATATTGGCCGTGAAAGATTAGACCCTGAGTAAACAACACGCATACATACATCTTGGTTCAGTGTGAGAATACCAAATCCATTGGTCGTACCACCAATGTAAGCTTTTCACTGTTTTTCATGCTAACAAAACGACGTTAAAAAGTAAAGAAAATTACAAGACAATCACCGCGAACATGAAAGTCAACGAAAACCAAGGTACCCACTACCAAAACCTCACTGTATACCACAATACTAACCTTTTTTCAGCTATCCTCACACCCCGTCTTCTTCTTGTGCCGTACAGTTCGCACCATGTCCCCACATACCACGAATGGATGCAAGATGAGGTATACAAAAGGCCTACACAACCTCTCATCTTCCTACTGCACCCTATAGCTGACCGATACATAGGAACTGCAGAAGCTCACCGCTTCCGAGCCGCTAACGCTTCAGGAAGAGTACGCCATGCAGGCATCGTGGCGACAAGATGCAGATAAATTAACTTTCATCATCTGCGCCTCACCGGACACACCGACAGCACCATCAAATCATTCCACCCTGGTCAAAGTCACTCCCGGAACAGAAGATGCACCCGATCGTATGATTGGGGATGTGAACCTCTTTTTGTATCCGTGTGAGGAATGCGATGATGATATAGGGCAGCAAGACAGTCACGAGACTGGAAAGGTGGACGCGGTTGGCGAGTTGGAAATTATGATTGCCCAGCCTGGCGCGCGAGGAAAGGGGCTTGCAAAAGAAGCGTTGCAGGCATTCATCTGGTATATATCTACCTCGCTGCGAAGCATTCTGGAGGAGTATGCAACAGGTACAAACGACATGGACAAGCTCAAGTCTCTAAGCTACCTGAGAGTCAAGATTGACAAAGACAACACCCAGAGCCTCAGGTTGTTCAAATCGTTGGAGTTTAGTCAGGTCAGCGAGCCTAATTATTTTGGAGAAGTAGAGCTACGGTCAAAGGCTATACATGATGGGATAGCTGATGCTACTGAGTTTGCGAGAAAACTATCTTACGGAGATTGATAAACAAGTATCTTCAAAATAAGCGGCGTGAGGGACAGGGAACTGCATGTCACGAGGCAAAGAAATCTGATTGTTGGAAGTACCTGGCAATGTACACGATATAGAACACACGCTTCCTCTACCCGCTCTCCTGAACAGCGCAAATGGAACACCACTCAATGTTTATTGATTCGTCTTGCCGGAGTTGTTTGGCTTGGGAACGTGCTCGAGGATGCTCTTGTTTGGCGGTGGCTGGTAGACAATCTTCCGCGTCTTTAGCGGTGCCCACTTGTACCTGTCATAGTTGTTAGTTGTGTGTAAGATGACGGAGGTGCAGGAACTTGCCTCTTGACCCAGACACTGAGCGCAAACAAAACACTGGTGACAGCGAGGACCTTCCAGCCCATCTTCTTGCGGTCGTCCATCTCAGGCTCAGCGGTCCAGTTGAGGAACTCGACCACGTCCTTGGCCATCTGCGAAGTCGAAGCCTTGGTACCGTCATCGTATTCAACCAGGTCGTCGTACAGAACACGGGCCATGGCAATTCCGGTGCCGGGGAAGTAGGGGTTGAAGTTGAGGCCTTCTTGGACAACGGCACCAGCAGGCGGCTCCTCGGGGTAACCGGTCAACAAGCTGAAGATGTAGTTGCAGCCACCGTGGCGGGCCTTGACCATGAGCGATAGATCGGGGGGCAGAGCACCGTTGTTGGCAGCGCGGGCGGCTTCGTCGTTCTTGTAGGGCGCGGGCATGTAGTCGGACAGCTTTCCGGGGCGCTTCTCAATCTCGCCCTGGTCGTTGGGCTCTGTGTCGTACTCGTTCTCCTCGGCAAGCGCCTTGGCCTCATCAACCGTCATGAACTTGCCGACAACGGCGCGGTAAGGCACACGGGAGATGGAGTGGCAGGAGGCGCAGACCTCGCGGTAGACCTGGAAACCACGGCGGAGACTGCGACAGGTTAGGGGGTGCGCATGTGCGGTATGGCAGGGAGGACGTACGCTCCATGGTCGAAGGTCTTGGACCACTTTTCGTGCTCCCATGGGTATTGGGTTGGGTGAAGGCTGTGGAAGCATAGGGTCAGCATATCTCGGCAGGCCAGACCATGTCAGGCGCACTCACCCTTCTTCCGCTGGCGTCATGGCATCGACCTGGCGTCCGTAGAGGTGCCAGTACCAGGCAGTCGAACCGACGGCGAAGATGGTAGCGCCTGCGGGGAGGGCGTTGTTCTTCCATGCCGAGGCGGCGCCGTCGGCAGAGGTCCATGTCGAGGCGAAGCGCTGTATCACCCATTCCGTCAGCCAGGTTATTCAATTGAAGCGGGGGCAGGCTCGAGCATTGCAACCCGGCCAGAGATGGCGTCGATGAAGCTCGCGCGAGCTGTCGGGGTGTGTTGGGCCATGCGGGAGGCGTACCGGTTTGCTGGAGGCATTGCGGGCAGTGGCGGCGCCGGAGCGTGCCGTGCGCAGTGCTGAGCGAGCCAACATGGTCATGTAAAGCTGGCTCGAAGCAGGAGGGAGAGTGGAGCAATGGTTGTCGGTGGTGGTGATGGGGTGGGTAGAGTTCGTCGTCGAGTTGTTCGTCTCCAATTTACTAGCGTCCGGGTGGCAGGCTAGTTGCTCACATAATTTAGGGCAGTCGCGATTGGCCGCTCTTGCCTCTACATCCACGTCGGAGCAGTCATGACCGGAGACATGGACGTCCACCTGAGCATAGTGCAACTATTAGCCCTATCTGGGTTTCATGTGCACAGCATCCTATCATTAGCAGGGCATGACGGAATTCGTGTCGCATAGGGCGTCTTAAGCAGCTACAAAGAGGCCCATTCCTCATGAGTTTAATTGAATACTTTAGATACAAGTAAACATTGTCTTGTCTTCTATTAGCCCATACACACTAAGCGCTGCGAATGCCTTTACAGAACATCTTGCTGCAGTAAGTAATGCGAATCATATTCCTTCGCTCCCTGCCGTCGTGCATGGGAAAATGATTTCACATGACCTGTTCCAGGACCATCTCTAACCGAGCATACATGGCTTCGAAAGGCAAAGGCAGTAAATACGAAGAAGCACACTCTTTAGAATCTATACCATGGATAGTACCCCAAAGGTATTTACCGAGTTTTGTACTTGTAGAGACTTGCGCCTACTGATAACGTATCCTGCAGAGTGTATGTATTGCAGTCTTGTGAACGATGTATCAAAAGCAGGCGTCTTCGTATGATAACAAGATGCAAGTCGAAACTCTTGTTCGAACCAAAAGCACATCTTACGAATGCGCCACTTCCTTTGTCCAACATTGACAGCACGATACCATATGCACAGCGATATTATGTAACCCTACTTCTATACCCTTTCACTCATGCAGGAATTGCGAAAGGGCTCAAACGAGGGCTAGCTCTTCTCTAGCAAGAACTGGCAGTATTGCCAGAACACACAGCGTCTCTGCGGAGAGGGTGACGCTGGGAGGACTTTCTTGCGTGTTGAAGGGGAAAAAAAATCGAAAACGCGAGATTTAAATACCCACTAGCGGAGCACTAGTCCGCGTAGGGGCACGAGACCATGAAAGACGCTCACGGCCCGTCTCGCTCTGTGCGCTTCTAAAGCAGCGTGCTGATAAAGTAAGAGGGTTGTGAATACCTTTAGGAACTACTATTGTGTTAGTGTGCTTGGGCATCTTCTGTGCTTCCAGGGTTCCTTGGTATTGTGTGCACGCGTCGCACCACAGCACACGAGAAGCTAGATGCACCGCTTCACCCATCATGGCCGTCTTCTGGTGTCAAGACTCATCACTCCTTGCTACAGTCCCAGTCGACTGAAGCCACGTCGGACGCTCTTGCACACGCTCACGCCAACCTCTCGCCTCTCCCGCTACCCCGCTACATCGTCGACACCATCACTTCGTTCCCCTCCACCATCCCGACACCCTGCCTTTGTCACTGTCAGGCACTGTTCTCACCGACGAAACATGTGCAAGCACTTTGGCGCAGAGGGCCACTCGTCCATAGACATCACCAAGGGCCGCGAGGTGCTGCCCGCCAATGTCAAGCCCATCCACTACGACCTGACGCTAGAGCCGGACTTTGCCAACTTCACCTACCAAGGCACCGTCACCATCGAGTATGCACATGTGTGTCTTGTACGAGAAAACACCCCGCTGACACCCCCGCCAGTCTAGACGTCGTCGATGACACCACCTCGATTTCCCTCAACACCAACGAGCTCAAGATCCACTCGACCAAGGTCACTGCCGGCCAGCAGGTCATCACCGAATCGCCCAATGTCACCACCGACGACGATGCGCAGACGACCAAGGTCAGCTTCGACCAGACCATCCCCGGCGGCAGCCAGGCGAAGCTCACCATGACCTTCTCCGGAGTCCTCAACGACAACATGGCCGGCTTCTACCGCTCGTCCTTCAAGGCCGCCGACGGCTCCACCACATACATGGCGACGACCCAGATGGAGCCTACGGATGCCAGGCGGGCGTTTCCTTGCTTCGACGAGCCGGCCCTCAAGGCCAAATTCACCGTCACCCTCATCGCCGACGAGAAGATGACCTGCCTCAGCAACATGGACGTGGCGTCGGAGAAACAGGTCGACAGCGCCGTCTCGGGCGGAAAGCGCAAGGCCGTCACCTTCAGCCCGACGCCCCTCATGTCGACGTACCTCCTGTGCTTCATCGTTGGTGAGCTCAACTATATCGAGACGAACAACTTCCGCGTCCCTGTGCGAGTCTATGCTCCAAAGGACCGAGACATTGAGCACGGCCGTTTTTCTCTTGAGCTGGCGGCAAAGACGCTGGAGTTTTACGAGAAAACCTTTGACAGTCCCTTCCCGTTGCCCAAGATGGACATGGTCGCCATCCCCGACTTTAGTGCAGGCGCCATGGAAAACTGGGGCCTCGTCACCTATCGTGTTGTCGACGTACTCATCGACGAAAAGGTCAGCGGTGCGGCTACCAAGCAGCGCGTTGCCGAGACGGTGCAGCACGAGCTCGCACATCAATGGTTCGGCAATCTCGTGACCATGGACTTCTGGGATGGCTTGTGGCTCAACGAAGGATTCGCAACTTGGATGTCATGGTATTCCTGCAACGTTTTCTACCCTGACTGGAAGGTCTGGGAAGGCTATGTTACGGACAACCTGGCTAGCGCACTTTCGCTCGACTCTCTACGCAGCAGCCATCCCATTGAGGTGCCCGTAAAGCGGGCAGACGAGATCAACCAGATTTTTGATGCCATCTCCTATTCCAAGGGCTCCAGTGTCATTCGCATGATCTCCAAATATGTCGGAGAGGACACTTTCATGGAGGGCATTCGGCGCTATCTCAAAAAGCACGCCTATGGCAACACAGAGACTGGTGACCTGTGGGCTGCCTTGGCTGATGCCAGTGGCAAAGATGTTGGCAAGGTTATGGACATTTGGACCAAAAAGGTCGGATTCCCAGTCGTTACCGTCACTGAGGGCACCGACTCTATCCATCTGAAGCAGAACCGCTTCCTCCGTACAGCCGACGTCAAGCCAGAAGAAGACCAAACTCTATACCCAGTATTTCTCGCCCTGCGGACGAAAGAAGGGGTTGACGAAGACTTGACGCTTTTCGACCGCGAAGCCGACTTCAAGCTCAAGGATCTCGATTTCTTCAAGCTTAACGCAGACCATTCTGGCCTCTACCGAACTTCGTACACGCCAGAGCGATTACGGAAGCTTGGAATCTCGGCCAAGGAGGGCCTCTTGACTGTTGAGGACAGAGCTGGTATGATTGCCGATGCTGGTTCGCTGGCCGCGTCTGGCTATCAAAAGACGTCTGGCATACTCTCGCTTCTGGACAGCTTCAAACACGAGGCAGAGTTCGTTGTCTGGGGAGAAATCACCGGTCGCATTGGTTCCCTCCGAGGCGCATGGATGTTCGAGGACCAGAAGATCAGAGATGCTCTGAAGAAGTTCCAACTGGAGCTTAGCGCAGAGAAGGCACATGAGCTGGGATGGACATTCAATGAGACGGATGGCCATATCGAACAACAATTCAAGGGTCTCATGTTTGGTGCTGCCGGTATCGCTGGAGACGAGAAGATTATCAAGGCATCCTTCGACATGTTTGAGAAGTTCAAGGCAGGCGACAAGTCTGCCATCCACCCCAACATCCGCGGCAGCGTATACGCCATTGTTTTGGCGAATGGTGGGCCAGAAGAGGTGAGTCCTTGTACTGTGACATGTGAAACTTAAACTAATCATCCATAGTATGACGTCATTGTCAACGAGACACGAAATGCTGCCACGAGCGACGAGCGTAACTCGGCTCTTCGTGCGCTTGGTCGTGCCAAGTCGCCAGAGCTCATCCAGCGCACGCTCGCCATGGCTCTCAGCGATGAGGTCAAAGGCCAGGATATCTATCTGCCCATTGCAGCCTTGAGGTCACACGCAGAGGGCTGTCACGCGCTTTGGAAATGGGTCAAGGACAACTGGGAGGAGCTGGAGAGAAGGTTGCCCCCCCAGCTTGAGCATGCTAAGTTCGGTTGTTGCCATTACGACATCGGGCTTCACTCACCGGGAACACATAGAGGACATCCAGGCGTTCTTCAAGAGCAAGAGCACCAAGGGCTTTGACATGGCGCTGTCTCAGAGCATTGACGCCATCAGCGCCAAAGCCGCATGGCTCGAGAGAGATGCGGACGACGTCAAGACATGGCTACAGGAACACAAGTACCTGCAGTAGGAGCGGAATGTTTGGGGGACTGCCTTGAGAGATGGCTGTACAAATAGATAGAGAAAACAGAAGATACTCTTGCGCCATCAATACATTGTGTACCCAACAAACACGACAAGTTTTTTTCTTTTTCAATGTTCGACAGGATGATTCACGCTGATGTAGCCGGTTGAGGACTACAAAGCATCTAGCAAAAGCTACCCTAAAGGTATTTACAGTGTCTTGTCTTACGAAACTAGATAAACACAAGACGATATTTACCCCTGCATAGAGGATTTTGTACAACTTGTATAGAAGGAGCTTCGTTGTAGGTGGCTACCTGGGTAATCCTTAACCCCCCTAGTGGGGACATGAGAGAAGGTTACGTCGGCCTTTCTGAACGTGCCAGCAGCCGAACATGTGAGAATCGCCAGTTTGGAAGCGCAACGACTGCTGCCGACTTCCGCGCCACTGTCGACTCGTATGACGTGCATGTACGTGCATTCACGATAGACATTCGACAATTGTGTCGCACGACTTTCCCATAGTCGTGCAGGCACAAAGAACAGAGCTAGGGCCATCATGGCGCAAGAGACAGCACCCGCAGACGCGCTTGCGCTCGACGACATCGAAGAGCTCCAGCAGTTCCGCCGCTCACCCCACCCGTATTTGCGTCACAGAGACGAGATACGGAGACAGTCGCCAGATCCGGCGCATGACGCTCCTCCGCACTCGCAATCGCAATCGCGAACCCCGCCTCGGCCTTTGGACAATACCATGCATGACAACGACGGCAGGACACGTAGGAAAACGGCATCACAGTCACCAAGCGAAAGCGGCACCGAGGCTGACGACGAGGGCTGTAGCCTTATCAAGGCACTACCTGCTCCTCCCCTACGACCGCACAAGGGCCTTCGTGATTCGCGGTCATTAGGAACAGAGGAATGGGCGAGTCCCCTTCTCACTCCCACACAAATCGACGACGAGGGGAGAAAGCTCTCCGAGGGCTACTTCACCCGCACCAGCAAGACGAGGCGCAAGGGAGATGTATACCATAGTGACGACGAAGCGAGGGCAGCCAGGCAAAAATATCTCCAACGGCGGCGCAACGAGCTGGTCAGGAGAACGACCGAGACTGCGTTGCTCGCAGGCATTGCCGTCCTCGCCGTCCGCGGTTGCGACTGCTGGGGCAAGCTGCTGGCATGGCATAGAGGTCAGTCTGCCTCCCTTTGCATGTGCCAAAGTATGCTAACCTGTGTCCAGTAGAGTTGTTGACGCATGTTGCAGTCATGGCTAGCGTTTTGGGGCTATATCCGCTTCGGCTTCTGTACTACTCATGGAGAAATCACTCTCAACTCCGGCTTGGCCGTCAAATACATCTACCAGCCGCCTTCGATCCAGCCACTATACTCTACCCCCCAATATTGCCCGTCCTGATTGCGATATCACTGTTTGCCTCATCGTCAAAGCCCCTTCTACCCAACATGTTGCTTGGACTAGCCGCTTTACCAGCCAGACTTGTTCCATTCAGGAGCGCTACCTTGGGCTATTCTCCTCTGCATTGGCTGGTGTCCATCATGCCCCTGATCGCTGCCGAGAACACCGATATACCCTCTCGGTTGTTTGCACAGACACCATACAAACTCAAGTTACCCCCGCCTAACCAAGGTCTAGACCCAGAACTTCTGGTGACGTTGTTTCCCCTGCATCAGGCGCTACTACCGCCGCTGTACTATCTCACCACGACGAGCCTCCTACCAGCAGAATTGCATCTGCTTTCCATTGGGCTCATCAACCTTCTGTTGTTCTCGGATACCCCTCAAGCAACCATACTCACCGTCTTGTTGTGGCTGGGCGGGTTGGGTGTTTTCTTGCTTTGCGGCAAGATCCTGAAGTGGGGCGTAGCGCTTGCACGCATTCCACGATGGAGGCTTCGACATGCTGGTCAAGTCATCCGAGCTCGACAGAATTTCTTGCAGGTCCTGAACCACAGCCTGCGGTCCAAGCGCGGTGGGAGTGGTTCTGTGAGAAACGTGAGTGACAGTGATGCGGACGAAGAAGAACCTACATTCGAAAATCCTCTTCACAAGACCAAGAGCCTGAAAGTCAACATTCTAGATTCTGTGAAACACAGCAGACTTTACATGAATGGCGACGAGCCGCGATCTGCTGCTGAAGCGACAAACACGAGCTTCCAGCAGCCGAATGCTGGCGAAGAAGCCACTCATAGCAGTGGACGTAAGCGTAGGAATACCCTTCCAGTCCTCACTGCTGAAGACCACGAGTCAAAACATCGATATTCGAACCGAAGGCGATCGAGATCAATTGTGCAGTCTTACCTGTCACTCACGCCTACCGAAGCCACCACGAGGAAATGGCTGTACGCGGGATACTTCTATGTGATTGTAGTCGCTTTGATACTTGGACCAATCCGGTATAGTATCGGCGAACATGCTCTTCACCACCACGAACCGTTTGGATGGGCCATCGGTTACCTTTTTGGCAATGTACCGCGCGTGCGATGGGAAGTATTCCAGTGGAACTTGGACTGGTGGGTCCCTCTGCCATCGAGACTGGACCCTGACGACATGCTCGAGTCCGCACAGCATCTGTCACCTGCGGAATATGTCCGTTGCTTAGTGCTGGGCGAAGCAAACACGCGTCTCTTGCTGAGTCTGTACTGTGCTGGAACCATCTTTGCTGGTCTCATTGCAGTCTTCTCGCTTTCCGCAGTTGTAGAAGTCGACACACGCAGAAAGGTGTTCCATGGCACCATGGTCGCGATGCTTCTTCCGACCATCTTCATCGACCCATGTTTTGTCGCGCTGGCCCTTGCGCTGGTGCTTGCGATATTTCTCCTTCTGGATCTGATTCGCGCCTCGCAGCTGCCGCCGCTGTCCAAGCCCATTGCCAGGTTCCTCACACCGTATGTGGACGGTCGCGATCTCCGGGGCCCAGTGGTAGTGTCGCACATCTTCCTCTTGATTGGATGCGCAATACCACTTTGGCTATCGCTCGCAGGTGTAGACCGAGATGGCGACGAGCCCTGGCAAGGCTGGGAGGTCAAAGATAGGGACGTGAGTATGGTGGCAGGGGTGGTATGTGTAGGCATGGGCGATGCCGCGGCATCTCTCATCGGCCGCCGCTACGGACGGCGGAAATGGCCGTGGGCAGGCGGAAAGTCACTTGAGGGCTCCTTAGCGTTTGCAGTTGCAGTGTCGGTTGGGCTCGTGGTGAGTAGAGTCTGGCTTCACGTTGGATGGGATAGTGGTCAGGCAGGGCAGAAGACGACGGGCGAGTGGGTCCAGGACGCATTGCTCACGGCGGGTAAGGCGGGTCTATGCGCGACGGGCGCAAGCCTCAACGAGGCGGTGCTCACAGGCGGGAACGACAATGTGATAGTGCCAGTCATACTATGGGCTCTTGTGAGGGGTGTCAGGCTGTAGGCAACGGATTCAGCCGCATCAGGCGGGACGCAGGTACGCCGTAGATAGTCTGGTATACTAAAATGCCGTTCACATGGCCATTTGCGCAGGGGAGTATGACTTGCATCTCCAGCCTCGAGGGAGTTACGTCAGAGATGGGGGAGAAGATGCAATGCCGGTGCAGGTCATCCCGACGGCCAGATGAGGGGCTAATGGCGCTTCACGCTTATCGTCGCGCAGATTAAGCCAGCGATATGCTTCCGGACTCTGCGCTTTACAACTCTTCCACCACATGCTATAACATGCAAACCTGTATAAGCCGATGAGCATGTACGGGGGCGTACTAACTGTAGATTGAACAGACTTTGACTCATGTTTTGTAGTCGTAGTAGGACTGTTGTAAGGTAGTGCACTTTCTTAGCTAGCTAGCGGCGAGCACGCGCGCGTTATCGCACGTGCATCAACCACGACTACTCCAGATGTCCCACGCCTCGACTACCGCCTACCGCCTACTGACTACTGCCTGCTATCCTGCTGCATTCATTCTCCTGCTCCCCTAATCTCCCACTTCCTTCTACCGCTCTGCTTTCTTCTGTCCAATCTGATATCTTCCTCGCTCGTCTACTCGTCGCGCCTTGCATCCCCGTTGCCGCCGCCGTCGCGTTCACTACCACGACCATCATCCATCCCTCACCACTATCGATAGCCCGACGACGACGACAGCCCATGTCAAACGCCCTCACGGCTACCCTGTATCCGCATCTTCGCTGGTAGCTGACGACTGGCTACATAGACTCCAGCAGCCTCGTCCGGGCCCGGCTTCTCAGCCAGCGCCGCCTACAATGGCTACACCTTCAAACCCGCCCGCCCCACGGCGGTCGGGTGCATCGCCGTCGACGTCGTCGCCCGCTGCCACGGGCTCGGAGCAGATTATCGGCAAGTTCAAGCGCTTGCATCATATTGGCAAAGGTAGCTTCGCCGAAGTCTATCGTGGCATTCACATCGTATGTTGTGCTACCCTTGCTCCCCGAGCGAGCATCGAGTGCTAACTACGTCCCTGTACAGGAGAAACGGCAGTCGGTCGCCATCAAGTCGGTCAACATGACCAAACTGAACAAGAAACTCAAAGACAACCTCGTCTCGGAAATCACAATCTTGCGCAGTCTGCACCACCCGCACATAGTGTCGCTCATCGACTGCCATGAGACGCCCTCTCGCATGCACATCATCATGGAGTTCTGTGAACTCGGCGACCTGTCAGCCTTCATCAAGAAGCGATCTGATCTCGTCAACCACCCACAGACCCAGCGCATGATAGAAAAGTACCCCAACCCAACCGTGGGCGGCCTACATGAGGTCGTCGTCCGCCACTTTGCCAAGCAGATGGCGAGCGCGCTCGAGTTCCTGCGGTCCAAGAACTACATCCATCGTGATCTGAAGCCCCAGAACCTGCTCCTCAACCCGTCATCCATGTTCTACTCGCAGAGTGGCACTCTGGAACGCATGCCTCTAGCCGCCAGTGCCAATTCCTTGATACCCGCTACTGGCATCGCCTCTTTGCCCATGCTCAAGATTGCTGATTTCGGCTTCGCTAGGATTCTGCCGACTACCTCGTTGGCCGAAACCCTCTGCGGCTCTCCCCTCTACATGGCGCCAGAGATTCTGCGATACGAAAAGTACGATGCAAAGGCTGATCTATGGTCCGTGGGAACTGTTCTCTTCGAAATGATGTGTGCTCGACCACCTTTCAGAGCGAACAACCATGTAGAGTTGCTGCGCAAGATCGAAGAGCGCAAGGACCAGGTCCGATTTCCAGAAGGTCTCGTCAGCAGCAGGGCTATGAAGACCCTCATCCGCGCACTCTTGAAGCGAAAGCCAACTGAGCGTATGTCCTACGAGCATTTCTTCTCAGACCCGGTTATTCGCGATGAAATCCCAAATATGGTGGACGAAGACCTTCCTGGCTCCATGCAAGCTTCTGAACGTATGCAAACCTCTGTACTAGAGCCACCGATCGAGCCACCCAAGCGACTACAGAAAGCGCCTGTTGAGATCGACTCAAGAACTGCTGACAGCCCCTACTCGCCCTTGCCCAGAGACAGGACGACTACCCTTGGCACAACACCGCCTTCACGGCCTAGCTCCAGACCCGTTTCCGGTAACTTCTCGAGCACTCCGCCGCAACATCTTTCTGCACGAAGAGCCAGCAACGCCCCGATTGATCCTAGCGAGGAACGCACTTCAACTCGCGAACACCGCCGACCCACTCTTACCAACGCTGCAACCGCACCGGGACGTACCGCGACACTGCAAGATCAGACCGCCGCAGCTACTACTATCAGCCACAGGCGCAAGTATTCTCGCGATGAGCAAGCACCGACACCAACCGGCCTCAAGGAGCACTTTGAACGCGAGCGGATCCCACAGAGAGCTGAAGCTAACGTACTGAAAGAAGCCGCAGAACGAGCCGCACAAGATAACGCGTTGGATGAGGGCTTTGTCTTTGTAGAGAAGCGCCGTGTGGAGATTGATGCACTCGCAGACGAGATTGCTAACAGCCCGCAAACACAGCGAGATCGTCCCATTCACCGAGAGGCCGCTATGAAGCGACGTTCGACAACACAAGGGTCTCCAACATCGACCACTGGCGCAGTCCCCTCCAAAGCTATTCAGATCCAACAAAAGCCAGCCATTACGCACCAACGCACAGCTTCTTACAGCCGGAGACAGTATCGCCCAAGTTTCGAAACCGCTACTTCCGCCCTATCCAAGGCTATGAACATGGTCAACATTCGAGGGCTTGGTCTGTCGCCACCTGTTATGAAGGGCGTATCTCCCCCACAGGGCTATTCCGCATTTCCAGCGTATCCGACTGCACAAAGCAGCATGCTGCTAGTCGGCGACGGAGGCAAAGTGGTTGGCAAGGACGAGGACATGACCACTGTGAAGAGGATTGAGGATCTGGCGCAGCTCAGTCACGTTGTTTATGGTTTCGCCGAAGTCAAGTACAGCCAGCTCGTCCCAGTTGCACCAAGCGATCCAGCTCTAGGTATCGGCTCCACAGGCGTTGCTCGCAAGCCTAGTAGTGATGTGATTGAGGATGACGATGATGACGACGATGACTTGACGCCCGATACTGTTCTTATCATCTCTGAGGAAGCGCTAGTGCTTTTTGTCAAAACGTTGGCAATGTTGAACAAGGCCATGGACTTAACCGGGAGTTACTGGAACCGGACTCGCCGTACTAGTGGCTCCGACGGAGCAGGTCGAACCAACGCAAAGCTTGGCCAGGTTGTCTCGTGGATGCGCGACCGATTCAATGAATGCTGTATCAAATCTGAGATTGTTGCACGCAAGCTCAAGCAGGCACAGCAGCAGCTACCAACAGACCATCCCAGTCATCCTCAGAACCGGTCGGCAGCATCTGGCTCTGCGACTGCGGTCGGTTCTGCCGAGAACATCCTGCTTACAACTGGCGTTACGGCCGAGAAACTATTGTACGACCGCTCCCTAGAGATGAGCCGCCAGGCAGCTATTGACGAACTCACTGGACACAACTTGGCCGACTGTGATATCAATTACTGGACTGCCATTACAATGCTTCAAGCTGTCTTGGAAGAAGAGGAAGACTCGCCCAACGACAAGGCTGATGCTGAGGAAATCAATGGTCTCGATGGCGAAGATCGACGCTCGATTCAGAAGCGTAAGTGCCGCTACAGTGTCCTCTGAGGGGAATGCCGCTAACCGTCACAGTTCTCGAGCAGATGAGAAGCCGTCAGCGAGCGCTCAAGAAAAAACTTGACGCGCTCAGGACACAGAAGCGCACTTCCATTACTAGTGCGCCCGCACCACACTCCGTCGGTCGCAGCTCGCCTTCCCAAGGTGCTGCGAAGTAGTCGTGTAGAGCAAGAATTTCTACACGTTCGCAAGCAACTTTACATTTACTGGCGTCTAGGAATGGGATGGTCTGCACGCCACTTTGGTTTGCTTGTATAGGTTTGCTTTGGGGGTTTTTTTCTGCCTAGTTGGGGATAATGGCGCCTCATGGAGGGCTTTGGCGCACTCGCACGCGTTCGCATATGATACCAGGATCTTGGGCAGCGATGATGTGCAGTTTCTTATTACTGTCAGGCGTCGTTTGAATTATATAGCGGGTCTAGGCGCATGGCTTAGGCGGCGTTTGGTTGTATTTCTTATGTCACGGGATGACGTCTTGAGTTGTCCTGAGACGTAGTTGTTGCGTTCATCCTAGACCAGTCGTTTAGGCAAACGAGCACGTATTGAATCCTGCGCAGTATGTCGATGGGGAGAATAATGGGTACGAGTTAATGTATCGAAATTGCAGACTTTACAGTAAACGTGATGCTTGCAGGGTAGTAGTTTGGTTCGTCCCTACTATACTTGCATTTCTTGATGTGCAACTAGGTATCAAAGCTATGCAATGCGTGGTACTGCACCATTCTTCCACTTCAAAAGGAACAACGGGAATGCCCTACGCATTCGACTATCAAGTCCATTGTCTTGCCGCTCGCACTCCTAAGAGATGGAGATGCTGATAATCTTGATATCCTCCTCCGGCTTCTCCTTGTATACCTTGGTGTTCTCGATTTTGTGAACAACATCCATGCCTGCGATCGCTCGTCCAAAGATGGTATGCTTGTTGTCGAGCCAGGGCTATATGTATGTCACAGTCAGCGTGCCGCTTCGCCATCGGACTGATAGATGATGAGAGAAAGAGAGAGAGAGACGGACAGAGAGAGAGAGAGAGAGAGAGAGAGATGGAAACTTACAGTTTTTCAGTAGTAATAAAGAATTGACTTCCGTTTGAATTTGGCCCAGCATTCGCCATGCTCACCGTATAGGGTTTGTCGTGTTTCAAGTTGGAGAACTCGTCTGCAAACTCGTTGCCCCAGATACTCTCTCCGCCGGTGCCGTCGCCAAGTGGGTCACCGGTCTGTATCATGAACTTGCGGATTACGCGGTGGAAGATGACGTTGTTGTAATAGTTGTTGCGTGCGTGCGTGACAAAATTCTCCACGGCCTTGGGTGCCGCGTCCGGGAAGAGACGGATGGTAATGTCGCCGTAGGTAGTGTGGAGAATGGCCGTAGTACCCGTTGCTGCAAGCGCTTTGTCGTCCTTTTGTTTGTTCGAGGCGGCGGCACGGGGCTTCTCGTTCTGCACGTCACGAGTCGACTTGGTAGCGCTGGCATCATTGGTGTACATGTAGAAGCGGACCTTGCCAGAACCTGTCGAGACCAGCATAGCGTCTCTCGCCTCGGCTTCTTGGAGTAGTGGGTTCTCGCTTGCTGCCATTTCGACTGTGACAACACCCTTCTTCTCTGGCTGGCCCTGGTAGAGACACAGCCATAGCGGCCGGATGGATTCTTCTTGGCCGTACAGCTTCACGAGCTTGTTGGTCAATGTGTTGATGACTTTGACGCCGTACATGCTGCCGTATAAAATGAAATTACTCGTTTCGTCAAATATGACATTCATGCGACCCCTTGTCGTGGGCTGGTCAAGCTCTCTCTCGACGGCTATCCGTCGACCAAACTCCATGTCTTCTAGATGCTGGACAGCGGTACCGGCCTGTTGCATGCTGGTGATAGTCTCAATAGATTCATCGTATGTCCTATAGAGTTTGCCCGTTGCAAAATCGAAGATGCGGATCTTGCGATCCGGAAAGGAAAAGGTCGCAAACTGCTTCCCAGTAGGGGATATGGTAAGCGACGAGGGCACACATTTTGACTTTTTGAACTCGAACAAGTTCGTGGAGCTCTTCAGCGACCATACGTTGTCTGGCTTTTCATAGTTTCCATTGGGTCTCCAGTATTCCACCATGCCCCCTTGATCGACGCTCACGACACAGTCGAATTCATTGTTGTACGCCATTATGCTGACCGACGCCCTGTGTATGCTCTTCAGCGTTTGTAGCGGCTCCGGGTTTTCCCCCCTGCCATCGTATATGCAGATGCAACTATTCTCTTCGGCGCTGACGGCGAGTTGGGGAAAGCTTGCGCCTCGGCCGTGCAGCCAGCAAACCGCCCTAGGTGTGTAGTCGACGCTCAGCATGGCCAGGAGGTCGAAGGTGACAACGTCGAAGATTTTGATCGTCTTGTCGGCGCCTGCAGTAGCAAAACTACGGCCATCGGCACTCACGTTGACAGACTTGATCTCGCCATTGTGCGCCTTGAACTCCTTGATAAACTCTATACCGCCAAAGTCCTTCTTCCAAAACTTGACCACGCCGTCAACGGAGCTTGTTATGAGGAAGTCGGTGTGGGGGGTCAAAGTGGTAAAGCATAGTTGCTCGCGGTGCATGAGTGATTTGGAATAGCGGGTTGCGCTGGGCAGGGCAGCGACATAGAGCTTCTCATACGGCAACTTGCGCTTTTTCCTCTTGGGCGCTGAGGACGGGAGGGCCGGCCCAAAGTCATCGTCGTCGGAGGATGTATCGTCTAAGAGAATGTTAGGGAGTTGGTGCGCGTGGGGGCGCGGATTGGCAATACCGTCTTGGACTTGGGCAGCAGCTTCTCTGGCAGAGACGGCGCCGTCAGCCTCCATGTCAGCACGCGAGCGCTTCATCTTGCTCGGCGACTGTGATCCATCGATTTCCATCATGACGATGCAGTGAGTTTGTCGTGGGCGGATCGGCTGTCGCAAGCTCAAGGATGCAGGGTCGGAGCTTCCGACCAGACGCGCTCTCACTTTCTCGGACAGTCTCCCGCATTCCGCAACAACACCAACGACATCACCGAACATCATCGCCGTCACCACGGACATCTCGCGCTCCAACCTTTGACCCCAGCCCAGGTTGATACTCGCTATCACTGACTGCGTATACTGATACACCACCATCTCGATTCCGCACCAAGCCCGGCCGCCTCGCCATTACCGCCTCCCGCCCTCATCCTCCATCACAACTACACTCACACCCACCGCACAACCTCACCATGAGCGGAAGCGGCGACCAAGAGCGCGAACACGCCCTCGAAGCTTACAAGTCCAAGCTGCTTGAGTCGAGAGAATGGGAGGCCAAGCTCAAGGCGCTGCGACTGGACATCAAAGGCCTCCAGCACGACTTTGACGTATCAGAGGACAACATCAAGGCGCTGCAGAGCGTCGGCCAGATAATAGGAGAGGTACTGAAGCAGCTGGACGAGGAACGATGTACGTATGCGTTTGCATGAGCTCAAGAGACGCCACACTAATGTCCCCGCAGTCATTGTCAAGGCATCCTCGGGGCCCCGTTACGTCGTGGGATGCCGGTCAAAGGTCGACAAGGCCAAGCTCAAGCAAGGCACACGTGTGGCTCTGGATATGACGACGCTTACCATAATGCGCATGCTCCCCCGTGAAGTCGATCCGCTCGTCTACAACATGTCGCTCGAAGACCCGGGGCAGGTTAGCTTTGGCGGTATTGGTGGTCTCAACGAGCAGATCAGAGAACTACGTGAGGTGATTGAACTGCCGCTGAAGAATCCAGAGCTCTTCCTGCGAGTAGGCATCAAACCACCAAAGGGAGTGTTGCTCTACGGACCGCCGGGCACTGGTAAGACACTATTGGCACGCGCTGTGGCGAGCAGTCTTGAGACCAACTTCCTCAAGGTGGTCAGTTCGGCCATCGTCGACAAGTACATTGGAGAGTCGGCGCGACTAATCCGCGAGATGTTTGGTTACGCAAAGGAGCATGAGCCCTGCATCATCTTCATGGACGAAATCGACGCTATTGGTGGACGACGCTTCTCTGAGGGGACTTCGGCAGATCGTGAAATTCAGCGGACTCTCATGGAGCTGCTAAACCAGCTCGACGGCTTCGACTACCTAGGACAGACCAAGATCATCATGGCCACAAACCGACCAGACACGCTCGACCCTGCTCTTCTCCGCGCCGGACGTCTTGACCGTAAGCTCGAGATTCCCCTACCCAATGAAGTGGGTCGTCTCGAGATTCTCAAGATCCACTCTGCCAGCGTAGTGACAGATGGGGAGATTGACTTTGAGAGCATTGTGAAGATGAGCGATGGCATGAACGGTGCCGATCTACGTAACGTTGTCACAGAAGCGTAAGCACCTCTTCCCGTATGATTACAGTATGGCTAACCCACCACTGTGGTCTCTTCGCCATCAAAGACTACCGAGACTCGATCAACCAGGACGACTTCAACAAGGCAGTACGGAAGATGGCTGAGTCAAAGAAGCTGGAGGGCAAGTTGGACTACCAGAAGCTGTAGAGCCATCGCCTGGACTTGGATGATGATGATAATTGAAGATAGAGCCATGAGTATCATGTACAATGGCATCATAGGAAAGAGGTTGAAATGATTACTCGGACCCTTTCATGCATCCTGAACTCGGTGATATTTCTACACCCAAGACACTAGATGTAAAGTACATGGTCGCCTTGCGATCTAAAGTACCACTAGGGGGAAAGTGCATGGATTTGTGTCGCGTCGCATTTATTACATACACCAAGGCAAACTAAACACACCCGAAAATCTTCGTGGTATGATATTCTGGTAAGCTTGTCTGTAGAAGGCATGCAAAACATATTCTTTCACCCATGATGGCATTGGCGCTGTGAAGCTTGGCGTCGGCGTTAGAAAAAAAGTTCGCCGATCAAATTTCAGCTCCACCTGCAACCGCGAAGACGAGAGAGCACTTTTGGCTCAAACTACTCCCTGGATTCCTTTTGCGCAGGTCAAACGGCAACCGCAATGTCGTCGTCCTTCTTCACCACACCAGCCTCACAACGGAAACGGAAGCGCGGCGAGGTCGCCGCCGGCGCCCCCAAACGGCGCAACACAGACGCGCATGCTCGCCGCTCCCAGCGAGAAGAGTCGATCAGCGGCAGCGACATATCCGACGATGATGGCGCACCTACTTTCGACGACGACGACGATGCAGACGACGGCTCTACTACTTCTGAAGACGAAAACGAGACGGCGGCAGAGAAGCGCCTGAGACTGGCAGAGCGCTATCTTGAGAACATCCGCAACGAGGTTGAGGAGGACGTGGGCTTTGACGCCGAGCAGATCGACAAGGACCTCATCGCCGAGCGGCTGAAAGAAGATGTCGCAGAAGGCAAGGGCAAGATATATAGGTCAATCGCCGCCGATCTTGACTTTGAGCATGCATCACATGCGACCGGCTACTCAGGGCTGCAAAAAGCCACGACAGGATGCGCCGTCAGGCTGCCGTATGCCTGGACTATCAGCAAGGACCTCGTCGTCGAGAAGTGGGAAATCGCTGACCCAAAGTCGTATGCGCCCGACCCCAGCCGACCGTCCAACCTAACGCCGCGCACCACACCAAAAAGGCTCCTCTGGCGGAAGGGGAACAAGAACAAAAAGGGCGACCGCGCCTTTCTGGGTCACACGGGCGAGATTGTGTCTATAGCCATCTCCGACTCGGGAAAGTACCTGGCCACTGGTGACAAGCATGCTCGCCTGATCATCTGGGACGCTGACACCCTCACGCCCCGTCACCTATTCACTCGCCATCGAGACGCCGTCCTCTCTCTGTCCTTCCGAAGGGGCACCGAACAACTTTTCTCTGGCGGCGCAGACCGAGCTGTCATTGTCTGGAGTGCGCCAGAATCAGCATACATCGAGACGCTTGTCGGACACCAGGACGCTGTTATTGGTGTAGCAGGTGGGCTGGAGCTCAACCAGGAGACTTGCGTCAGTGTAGGCGCACGAGATCGTACCGCTCGTTTGTGGAGAGTTGTCGAGGAAAACCAGCTCGTATTCCACGGAGGTGGTACGGCCAGACAAAAGGGCTTGGACAAGTTGCGCAAAGGTCGATTTGGAAAGAATGTTGATGGAGATGAAAAACAGGATGAACAAGGCAATGGCGGAAAGTCCGGCGATGACGACCCGCTCATCGCATATGCTGAGGGTTCTATCGATTGCGTTGGTCTTCTCGATGCGGGCTTGTTCGTTACAGCATCTGACAATGGCGCACTGTCGTTATGGTCTGTCAACCGGAAGAAGCCTCTCTTCACATACCCACTCACTCATGGCCGCGATCCACCGCTCTCGCCCGAGCAAATGTCAGCCAACGATGACGCCGCAACATCAGTAAAGCCTGGTCCCCGGCTACCGCGATACGTGACGGCGCTTGCTACTGTTCCTTTTGCCGATCTCATCCTCACAGCAAGCTGGGATGGCTGGATACGCGCGTGGAAGATTACAGCGGACAAGAAGAGCATTGAGCCAGTGGGTAAAGTAGGGCGCGTACCGATTGTGGAAGACGAGTCTATGGTCAATGGCGATACCAAGGACGAAGCCATCCTCATACGAGGCATTGTCAATGGCCTTGCAGTTCAAGAGAGGGGCGACAGAGGCAAAGATGGGCTGTGCGTTGTGGCTGCCGTAGGCAAGGAGCCCAGATTAGCCAGATGGATGTCTGGAAAGGCCAAGAACGGCATCTACGTCTTCGAAGTACCTAGAAAACACCTAGCAAATGGTACAGCGGACGAAGACAAGGAAGACGAGGAAGCATAGGCGAAAAGCAACTTGCATTGTGAGGCGTTTGTGGATGCATACTAGATACCAATCTGATCACGCATTTGGTGCCGGACCTTGCAGTCGGCTTCTCATCCCTAGTTCGAGATGATTTCCTTTCTCCAATGTCCAGCTCACATGTGGTTTGCATGCTTGTAGTATCATTTAGCAGCGTGTCCATATTTCTTGCTAGGAGTCTTGCGCTCATGATGCCATGGTCGCATGTGAAGAGTGAGTGTCTCCAATATACAAAGTAGATGGCTAAGGTCACGATAGCATAAACACTTATAGCGTGCACCATATGTTCGACAGCAAATGCGAAAATGTATTGTGAATGTCACTGTGCAATATCATGTCTTGGCCAGAGGCCGAGGTGACATACGAACACGTCCAGGATACATTATGATCCTTTGATGTTGAAGTTGGGAGTAGCCTGCAACTGCCTCAAGGGTATAACCTAGCGAATACGATTCAACTGATGGTAACAGTATACGGATAACTCGATGGCGTATTGTTGTGTTAAAGCTGGAGCAGGAGTGAATGTGTTGGAGTCGGCACATGCGTTGTCCTTCAGGTATATGTTGGTGATGTTCCCGTCTCTCGTCATTGTGAGCCTCAGGCTTCGGTGTTCAATGGTCAGTCTCTACGGTTGGCATTACTAACTGTGGGTACTTGATGTGGACGTTGATGCTACCATAGAAATACGACTTTGCTATTTGCGAATTCTTGATATGGATAGCAGTCACCTGTAGCTCTAGATCTAAGCCGGTAGGCTCTTGACAGGAAAAGCAGTTAGTTGGTCTTATTTTTTGTGATGCCATAGGCTCCTGGATTGATAGATGAAGAACTGCTACAAGATGGCGACCAAGCTCCACCAGCAGAGAGCTAAATTGCTCAACTTCAACATTAGTATATTTTTCCTGCAAACCCCTGCAGTCTACACTATTGGAATGGGGAAAGTCTGCTAACTCGATGCCTGGAAATGAAAAGGGAAAAGGGCGAGCCTAAAGCTGCTGCGCGCCACGCTGTCGTCGTTGCGGCTACCACAGCACTTGCTCTTACTAGCAATGCTTCCTTGGACGATGAACGTGAAGCTTCTGGCCATAGGCGGATAAGAGGCAGCTATTTCATGAACTACAATCAGTTTCCGTGATTTGACAGTATACCCCGAAGTATTCGCAGGTAGGGATCATGTGCTTCCATCAGTTCTTCTGACTAGGTATTCCCAACACCATCATCTCCACTCGAGTATGCAGCTAAGATAGGCGAGAACGGCACGCACCGGCCGATATCGAGACCCGCTCTAGACGTTGTCTATTGCCGTTGTTCTGTATCCGGTTGATGGTTGGAGGAATGTTCTGTGACGTGGGTGCTCAACACTTGATGAATGTCATCCAGCGCGTTAGACAGCTTGTTGCACAAGCGCCCTTCCTCGACGGTGACGCTGTTGTCGAATAAGCAAACAGTGATCGCTACTCACGACTACACGTGTCCTGCGGTCCTGGCCCGGATATGCGACCATGCCCTCGTTGGGCTGCATGGTGGCTCCCATGGAGCCGCTTCATTGTGGGTTGTGGCATACGTGCATTTGAGTTGGGCAGCAGCTAGGCGGTCAGTAAGGTTGCTGAGATGAACCACGTAGCCGACTAGACGAGGGTAGGATGACTCCCAGCAATGCCAGTACTACGGCAGGATGATGAGGTCAAGTTAATAGCAATGGCAATGGGCGGTGCAGGTGCAGTAGAACTCCCACATTGCAGCCATACCATCGCTGTCGTCGTTATTGACCTGCGTCGGCCAGTACCAATATTCACCCTCGCTTCAGCCAGACTATGTCCGGGCCAGCACAATCGTTTCCTACGCATTATTATCTAATTCGGAGAGTTGGGCGCAGGCCTTGACACAGATTCCCACTATATCGATTTGGCGTTGGAAAAGACAGGGCCGAAGCACAGCACTGCCGCCTAGTCGCGACCAAACTGTTTTGGCTTCCACAGTAGACGCTTTCTTTGCTCTCTTGCCCTCCCCCAAGACGTCGCCCGACTGTCCCGCCTGACCGCAGTCTGCCGGCCGCACGCAACGTCTGTTGTCGTTGTAGAGGTTGTTTACCAACACGCCACTCCTTGTAGCGTACCGTCTTTCTGCTGAAGGGCAACGCATCATCTATCTGCCCCGCGTTCTCCTGACATCTTCTCGCCCGCACATCCAGCCCCTCCTGTGCTCCACCTTCAACCCTCCCATCGCCGACGCCGCATCGCTCCTTGCTCACGCACTTGGGAACCCTGGACTCGGCCATTCTCTGGTAGAAGGAGGCTCGAGTGCGGTTCCGTCAGCACCACCAGCCTCATGCCGTTAGTCATAGCCCATCTCCCCCATCGTCGCGCCATGCCCCATGCTGCGTCGTCGCGGCGCTCTGTCAAGTCGCGCGCAACACACAGCACTGCGCCGTCGAGCGTCTCCATTTCTCCTCCCCAGCGCCGCTATCATGTCAGGGTGACACTAACGTGGCCATCAGACTCCGGAAGGGAATCACAGTCAATAACCACACGGGCGCCTTCGAAGACGAAGACGACTTTACCGACGAGGATTCGGCCGGCATCCAGGTAGTCTCAGCCAGCGAGGACGAATACAGCACCTCTGAGGTGACAGGCTCAGAAGACGACGAGGAAGACGAAGAAGGCGAAGAAGACGAAGACGACGACGACGACGACGAGAGCGAAGAGGAAGACGAAGGCTCGTGGGACTATATCGACGAAATCAACCCCTCCGACTCGGCTTCCCGTCCACGAGTCGTCAAACATCACTCTGCGCCACAGCACGCTGTCTCACGCCACGCTGTTGCACGCCACGCCATTCTCCCACCTGCAGTAGCTCCTCCACCTTCACGAGGACCACGTACCAAAGCCTCGCACCGAGATCGAGCCTCTTCGCGCCACGCAGCGCCTGTACCAGATCCTCCCTCGCGCCACGAGAGTCACAGCCGTAGCCGTAGCCGCAGCCACAGCAAACTGGATCGCGCACACAGGCCGAGGCGGGCAAGGCCCCAGTCCGTCCATCATCAGGACGCTCTCGATGTCGAGGATGACGACGACTACCCATACCCCCCTCACCCTGGCCACCCTCCCGGCCATCCCAGTGCTGGTTGGGGCCACATACCCCAACATGCTCCGAATGGCTACGCCCCCAGCTTGATGTCGGATCCACGCTTCCCGTACGGCGGCTTCCCAGGCGGCGCACAATCGCCTGCAGGTCAACTGGTGCCTTTCGGCCACGAGGCACACTCCGCCTACGCTCAGAACCCCTTTGCCCCTAATGGGCAGAATCCCTTTACTCAAGGGCCCCCTTCTGCTGGCGATCCACGCGGCGGCTACTTTCCCGATTACCAAGATCCGCGCCATCAAGACCCACGCCATCAAGATCCGCGTCACCAGGATCCACGACAAGCACGCAGAGGTCATCGTAACTCTATGCCGCCGGCACCCCCAGGAGCCCCTGGAGATATAATGCCCTACTCGCAAATGGGCTACTACCCACCGTACGGCGCTTCGCCCTATGGCGTGCCACCGCAGCACATGTATCCACCTTACGGGCATCCACAGCATCCACAGCAGCCCTCCCCACCTCCACAACACCCTCCCTCGAAGCGCCATACCCCGAAGCCAAAACCTCAGCCTGAAGAAGAACATCACCCACCTGCTACACCTGCTCCACCTGCTCCACCCGCACCGCCGCCTCAGCCTCAGCCGGCCCAAACCCCGGCTGACCAGATGCAACTGCAGCTTATGCAACAACAGCAGATACAACAGCAGCTTATGCAACAGCCAATGCAACAGCCAATGCAACAGCAACTGATGCAGCAGCCGATGCAACAGCAACTAATGCAACAAATGCACCCCATGTCTATGATGCCTTCCCCTCCGCCCCCGCCTCCGCAGCCTCCGCAACCCGATCCAAAAGAAGAGGGCATGCTCTCCAAGCTCGAGAAGCTCCTGCTGGGCAAGGAGGAGGAAGAGAGAAAGGCGGCAGAAAAGGCGAGAAGGGACGCCGAATTAGCCAAGTTTGATCGTCTTGAAAGTCTGCTCATTTCTCAACAGGAGGCCAAGATAGAGAAGGAAAAGGCTAAGAAAGAGGCTGCTGAGAAGGCTGCTCAAGAAGCTGCTGAGGCAAAGAAAAGAGGTGATGAGGACAAGCTCGCCAAGCTCGAGAGCCTCATCCTTGCCCAGAAAGATGAACAACTCAAGCGTGAGGCAGCCGCAGACGCAGCTCGTGCAGCCGAGAAGGCAGCTGCAGATGCGGAGGCAACCAAGATTGCAGAAGAAAAGAAGGCCGCAGCAGAAAAGGCCGCATTACTAGTCGAAGCAGCGAAAAAGGCAACTGAAGAGGCTGAGAAGAAAGCGGCCGCAGAAGCTGAAGAGACTAAGAAGGCGCATGAAAAGGCTCTGGCAGAGGCCAAGGCTGCAGCAGATGAGCTGGAGAAGGGAAAGAAGGCCGCTGAAGAAGAGGCGGCGAAGCTGAAACCCTCCGACGCTCCAAAAGCCCCGATCAAGTTCAAGGATGCCGTTGGCCGCAAGTTCAGTTTCCCATGGGATCTGTGCAAAACATGGAAGGTGAGTCCTCTGGACGATAAACTCCACTTCTGCGCTAACATTCAATCAGGGTATGGAAGAACTAATCAAGCAAGCTTTTCTGCATGTTGATGTGATTGGTCCTCACGTGCATGAAGGCCACTACGATCTCGTTGGACCGGATGGCGAGATCATCCTGCCTCAGGTCTGGGAAACCATGATTCAGCCCGATTGGGCCATTACTATGCACATGTGGCCAATGCCCGAACCTCCACCACCCCCACCGGAGCCGCCCAAGGAGGTATTCCCTCCACCACCACCCCCTCCACCAGATGCGCAAATGTTCATGTCAAGCCACCTTCCGCTCAAAGGAAAAGGCAAAAGGGACAAGAGCAGGAAGCGTGAATCCTTCTCCCACGCACATGTTGTGCAAGTGCCTCCTGCCCCTCCGGGTGCTGCAGGAATGGCTCCCCCACCCCCACCACCGCCCCCTGGGCATCCCGCTGGTGGCCCGCTTCCTCCCCCTCCTGCAGTCGTCGTCATGCCCAGCGGTGGTGGCAGCTCGGGAAGTTCTCGCAAGAAGCCCACACCATCACCATTCTTCAGATGGGCTGCCGGTACCACTGCTCGTAAAGAATCCGTCAAGAAGAAGAAATAGGCTTGATAGCCAACGAACCGGAAGAGGTCGACTGGATCTTTCGAGTCTGTTGTTGAGTCAAGTTTCAGTGCTGTTAGTAGACTCCTTCACGTTTTTGTATAGCCGTGCCGCTCCCGATGCAGCGCTCTTCGATTGGTCGCAGGAGCGCTTTCTCTATGCTTCTTTCTTTGCAAGATATGCCTGATGCTGTTGCGGGGTCGCAATGCGCGCCCTGATGCTCTGTCACTTGCCAGTCATCGATTCGGGGCTTTTTGTTTTGGATTGCAAGGAAAAGTTCAGATACCATGGTCGTTTTAGCGTCGTACGTTTCGTATTGCGTGTCGCTTTGGCCTCTGGACTACCCCTTCTGCTTTGGCGTAGGCGTTGCACTTGATTTTGATTGAACTGTATGGCTGGAATGGTCAGTGAACGCACGGGTGACGGACTTATGATACAATCGTGTGTCTAGACCGATGGAAGCTGATGATAATATGAGTAACGATTCTGAAAATTTATAAGAAAATTTGTTGAAATCATGTTCTACGTTGATTGAGAAATAAGCCTCATTTCCAAAAACACCGATCCCTCCTTACCCAGCCACCATATATACTCTATCACCTCATACAAGGAAATAACTAAACAGGTGCGGCACTTCTATTACAGTCGACATTAGCATGTAACCAGCGAATTTATAGAAATCAACAGCATTGTAAACTTCTAGGTTATTTGCTGTAGTAGGCAGATAGAGCCAGCAATAAGAATTTAAACAAGGAGGTTGTCGCTAAGCTCCCCAACACCACCTACGTCATTACCTTTGCGTCCCATCCAAGGAACAACACGATGCCCGTTGTCTTGAGTTCCAGCTCGCGCAATTACACAAAAACCGGTATTTCGGCTTTCGCTTGCCACGGAGTTACTATCGACTCCTCATTGTATATGTATATGTTCTGCTTCTCACCAGGTCAAAAGAGTCATTTGGTAAATCCTACGCTCGAAGTTTGTATCTTCTATCAGGCATTCCACACCTTTCGCTTTCGATTGGCCCATTATGCGGGAATCAAAATCAAACCCTTTACTTTGCATACTCGTCTCCCTCCTCATGACAGTGCTGGCAGTCGCTGACGACGCAACGGCAACATCATACACAAATGACAGCTCTTTTCGTGACGGCTTGTTGAATGTCACGAATGAGTACCGCGTGCATCACAATGCATCAAAGCTTGAGTGGAACACGACGCTGGCCGACTACGCGCAGGATTTGGCCGAGGGCTGCGAATTCGAGCATAGCGTAAGTTTCACCTCGCAGATCTCGAGGTCACTTCTTGCTCCCCATTCAGCCCGCGCTGTTGACAGACAAACTCGATATCTCGCGACTGAAGCGGGTGTATGCATGGATTGCGGGAAGATCCGCGGCTCCTAACCTGCAATGACATATCGACTGCGCTAATACTAGAGACAATGCAGGGTGGTCCGTATGGTGAGAACCTCGGTTCAGGATATAGCAGCGGAGAGGTCACTGTTACGGCGTGGGCAAATGAGAGTACGAAGTATGATTTCAAGGCAGGAGAGTTTAGGTTTGTTCGACTCTTCATTCATCAGATGTACATGTATACTTACCAACACTACTAAGCGAGGAGACTGGCCACTTCACTCAACTCGTATGGAAATCAACTACCTCAATGGGATGCGGCCGCAAAGAATGTAATGGTGGTACGAGCGGCGGTGAGGGCAATGCTCCGGGGTGGTTCGTTGTTTGCGAGTATTGGCCTCGGGGAAATGTGATTGGACAATTTGTGGAGAATGTACAGTCTGCACCTCGCCAGGATACAGAGTCAAGAGCAGCTAGCACGGCGATCGGAGCTTTGATGTTACCGTGGGTCGGGTTCGTCACTGGATGGATGGTCGCCATGTCGTTGTGACGATTGAGCAAGAAGCGATTTGTCGTTACTATTGCAACACCATGCTTGCAACGACGTGAGAACATGACGATTGGTGCCGGTCAAATGAAAATGGCTAGCAGGCAATCATGCCAGTTCACTATCCACGAAATGGCGAGCTATAGCTTCACTGAATTGCTGCAGTCCTGCAGTTTGTCTGTTCGTGAACCCCGTCGTGAAGTTGTTTGTCGTATCGATCTCAGCGGAGCAACCCGACCATCTCAGATGGATCTTGCGGCCGGCTACTCCATGTGGTGACACCAGAGCGATCATTGTCTCGAACCTACCATACGTGATGTCGCAACCCGCACATAGCCTACTCTTATGTATACACGTAGTTTCATCCTTTTCCCGGGGACGACTTCGTCTATGCTTGACAACTTGGTCGACAACCTTTAAGTCGTATATATATTAGTACAACCAGTATACAACACATCTAGTATCCTCTGAGCACTCAAGTCATACTCTCTTACTCTTGGACAACATTCTGCTTCTACAAATGACGGCTCCGAACATCGGCTCTAGACCAAGGCCAAATGCGATAGATCATACCCGGCTTCATGCCGGCTTGAAGCCTCACAATAGAATCAGTTCCGCCCAAGGCCTTCGAAACAGACGCGATGAGCGACAGGCCAAGGAGTCTACCGCGGAAAACGTGTCAATACCCCACAAGTCTCCTACACGCCATGTCCAGCGGACGATCGAAGCTCGTATTCCCCGGAAGGTCATTGCACTCCCTGATCGAAAGTTGGAAGAGCAACTTATGATTCCACCGTCACCCAAGTACCAGCAACTAGTCGATCGTCACAGATATCGGCTAGGTTCAGCAAGATTCCGATTCTCGCGGCAGATCGGAGATGAAGAGTGCTGGCGTGTGCTTCTCCATGACACCGAAGTCGTGGGTCCTCATGGTTGTTGGGTAGGTCTAGGAACAACGAGTTGGAGATATCCATTTGGAAGTGCCTTAAACCCCTACCGGTTGCATTGCATCAATCGGAAGAATCTGAATCAACAGTTAGAAGGGGAAATACTATACACCCACGCTGCCATGAATGTGATGGGCTTTAGATACGCGTTGAAGTTCACTACCATTGTGGGAGATGTGCGTCAGCAATACGAAGTGTCGCATCTTTGCGGACATTCTCACTGTTATCGACCAACCCATCTGGTGCTTGATTCATATCGAGTGAACCTGTTAAGATCGCGGTGTTGCGGTTGTAGTACGGATAAGAGAGGGATTCAACACAACTATTGTCCCCACGCAGACCTACCAGGATCGGGTGGGCAGCACTGCTTCGAACACGAGCAATGCCCTGAGTACTGCCCAGAGCGTTTGAAACGAAAGACTTCCCGGTTGGAAGAATGAGGCATTGGCTGGAGCAGCGTTGGGTGCAGCGGATACACTAAGTGGTCTTGAATATTATGGTGGGCCAGTCTCGTTACAGGATATGTATATCGCTATACAAGCTTTGCTCAAGAGCAAGCACAAACGCCTTGCAACTCCGCAGCGCAGGCTATGAGCCTCGAGCGATTTGTTGTTAGTGAGGCACTGAGAGTGACAAGATCATCCTTGCTTGCTAATCCATCATGTACATTCTGCAGACGAACGAGCAACAATAGTGCTAAAGACGCGCGAGATCTTAGACGCGCTACACTTATGTAAAGTTAAACTTACAGGGTACTTATCTATGCAAAATGACACACTATGAACATATAGGCCCTGTTCATTAGTTAGATATGACCGACCAAGATCACGCTCGTGGGTTACCTGAGTAAACTTATTGAACTACGTTGTTTATTGGGTATGCAAAGATCGTAGGACACAATAGATTTAGAAAACAACACAGCACAAAGCAAAGATATGAATATTGATCAGACACTTGATATAGCATTCATTTAACACGGCAGAGTCTGCTCTATATTAGTAACTATCTAGGGCTTATGGAGTAACGGAGCTGCTCTGACCTACCGTCCCCCCCGTTAAAGTAAGCGCGGTCCTGACAAGGTGACTGTTTGAGAGATGTCTGCTAGTCTTTGTTATTCTGCTTAAAGTTCTTTGAACCACAATTATGTCTACTGTCCTCGTGTGCCTAGAGCTGTGGAAATGTGAGAACTCGGAAGAGTGTTGGTCGGAGGAAGGATCATCTAGTACCAAACGGGATTAGTGTCTCAAAGTGCTACGTCATACTTCGGTGGGCAGTCCGCAATGATGTCCAGGTGGCTGGACGACTGATCGCGGAAGTTCAACACGAACCACGAGGTGTGCCATCTAGTCATAATTATTCGCGTTGCTTCTTTTTTTGCTGGCATTCATATTGCTCACTCGTAAATTACGGCTGCGTCCGCCATGTTGTCAACACGTTCGCACTAACGCGATCAAACTCGAAACGGATATTGATTCAAAAGACCTTCGCGTTATGGAACGCATTAAAGATTCAGTCCTCTTCATCTTCCTTCCTTCGCTGACGGTTCAGCTCGTCGATGACCTTCTTGCCGCACGCCAAAACCTCTAGTGTTCGACTCTTATTATCGTGATCCCTCGTCTCTGGGACCAAGAAATACGTGGTCACGGCTCCTGCTACCATGAAAGCGCTCATGACTTGCAGGATATGCCCGAAATTCTGGCGTTCCCATTCGAAGTCATCCTGGGGCTTGGACTTGTCGGATTGAAATGCATATGCCAGGAAGATCTGCACCACCCAAGAGCCGAGTTTGCCGCTAGCAGCAGCTATCCCATGGCAGGTACACCGGTATCTTGTGGGGAAGATCTCAGCAGGTATTATGAATGTCGTCACATTCGGTCCAAGATTGAACGCGATGTGACTGATCACATACAGTACGATCAGTCCTGATCGACTGCTGTCGAGCAAGTTTGTCCAGGCACTCCCGGTTACGATGAAGAGTACGAATAGAACCAGGAAACCCCAGAATTGGATCACTTTCGGCGACACATACTTGACGATCTTGACCATCAGCAGACCACCGACAACTGTCCCTATGGAGACCATTACTAGGGTATGTTTGCTGTTATCACTCAGTGTCTGGTACACTGATAACTCGCTTTTGACATCACCCTGCCAGATGTGGCTGACGATCTCTGGTGAGGATAGGCCTAGCCCGTAGACTGTTTCAAAGTCAGTAGGTCTGCCGCAACGGCTTAATAGTCTACCTACATGCGAAATCGAGAAACAGCCAGGCCAATGATGTTCCTAGAAGGTACTGCCAATTCTTCTCGACTATGAAGAATTGTTTTGCATCGATCCACGAGGCGAGCGGAGGAGCGAACTCTGGGTCTCCCGGAGGAAGCTGAGCCTGCGGTGCTGCGGTGGGGCGAAGATGCACGTTACTGAGTCGGTGCTCAGATTCACTATCGCTCTCGATCTCCTCGTCGGGCGCAATCACCGAAGAGTTCGTCGAGTGCCTCGAAACAGGCCTTCGAATTTGCGGTGTGGCGGGCACATTCAGCAACTCGACTTCCCCATGTTCGGGATTCGTTTCGGGCGCGCCAAAAAAGTTCGCAGTGTCCTCGAGGGTACCTTTCGTGTTTTGTAAGATGTCCAATGTATATCTTGGGCTCTCTGGGATTGTAAATCGAAAGACGAGAGCAATGAGAGCCGGCACGATGCCGATCCCGACTACAAGCCTCCAGAGTCGATCGATAGCTCGGAAACACTCCAGATCGTCAGGTCGACAAGACTGTGCATTCTTCTCAACCCAGGGCTTGTACGCCTCCACTGCAGCAAGCGACAGAACATTGGCGAGCAGTTGTCCAACAGGTTGAGCGAAGAAAACCCAGCTCAGCATTCGCGCACGATGTTTGCGAGGTGCGAACTCCGCAGTGATGACCTACTCCTACGGTTAGCATGGGTATGATCACGTTCGATATTGACACCTACAGCACTCAAAGGGTAGTCAGCCCCAATACCGATGCCTTTACAATGTCAGTGCTATTACAGTCTCAACATCCGGGTCACACCTCCTTACCCATGATCGCGCGCCAGGTGATTAGCCATCCTCCAATCGCCATACTATTCTTTTCCCCGTTCGAACTCATCAGTAGTAACATCGTACCAACGATAATGATCACCAACTCGAGCCCATACATCTTACGTCGGCCCAGAACATCTGCTGCGAAGCCGAATCCTATCTGGCCGACCATTGTGCCCGCAAGTGTTGAACACATCATGGCCGTCTTGACAGAGGACGGTACCGAGGGTATACCGGCTTCTTCGTGATTAGGCCAGTAGACATATCCCAACATAGGGGTGACGACATTCAAGGCAAAAAGGCCGAATGCATCTGTTAGGAAGCCGATGCCAGCGACTACTACTACCCAGACCTGGAAGGGTGCTGAATCAATTGTTGCGAGCGTCCATCGCCGACGCCTTATCTCCTATCGCTAGGGTTAGCAACACACTCGCAGGCAGTAGGATCATTGCGAATGAAATGGAGTTTACCTACAGGAATGCCGCTCCCGCCTGCTGTCAGATCCTCTACACCGATATGGTGGCCTTTAATTGGCCGCGTAATCCAGTTACGAAGACCCATCGTCGCGTTAATGCTGATAGCACTTTATGAAAGGGTAATCGTACTCAAGCGCGTGTGCTTTGGCAAATCTGTTTGTATCGCGTTGTCTGTCGTGCAGAACCCTCTCGGGACAGCATTGTTCATATTGCGAATGTATGAAGCTTCAGCCTCCACTATCATGCGCATTACCGAAGCCACTCTCAGAGAAATATGCACAGCCCGAGGCAACAAGGCAAACCGGTCAACAAAAAGGTGTGCATTGGTACTGGCGCTACTCATGGGTTCTCCTTCGTCGTATCCAATCTTGTTTTCTTCGCCGAAGTCAGACTCGGTGGCGTTCATTGCTGCAGGAAACACGTGCCACGGCCCTGATCTTTCAATCTTGCTGATTATCTGGGATCACTACAGATAGCTAGATGCTGGATACCATCTTTAGTTGTTCGCGTTTGGGACGGGCGCCAGCGCAGCAAGAAGCACACGACGCAAGCGAAAGGTGTGAGCTCTGGACTTCTCTGAGTGTCTGTAAGATGGGATCATAATATTGTCCAAGAGTTCAATCGAAAGCCACGTGTTGTTGGATCATAATGGCTGGGTAATCTGGGCGTCTGGTAGTCGACGATGGCCGTTCGCTTCCCCACGTGGTGATCTTCGCAACCTCATTGAACGTCAAAAGCCGCCATACTAGATTCGGTGTACCATCCTGATGCCGCCACATGCACGAACACGAAGTTTATGCCTCCTTTGGATAAGCTCACAGCTGTGTATAGTGCTTCCGATGTTAGAAGGCTCGACAGATTTACGTGCCTGGGCCATAGCAGGACGTCAGACAATATGCTAAGCCACCCCAGATGCCGCCGCGGTCTACCTTTAGGTTAGTCCATTCATGCGCGTGTTGAGAAGCTGGGTGTAGGCTCAGACGACCCTTACTACAACTTCTCATGCTTCTCTTAAGAGCTTGGAGCTCGGATGGTTGTTGTCCCTACTGTGTACCAGCAGTTCCACAACGCATGAGCAGTTTTTACACGTCCTGTGTTGCGCTTGAGCGCGGCGCAAGCCTACCAATATGTCTTTTGGATGTAGTCCGTCCGATGTGCTGAAGCTATTGGAGATCTCGACTCGTGTATACCTTGCCTTCAAAGGTGTGTTACCAGCTACTACCCTGCATCAGTATTTGCCAGGGATCGGCTTGCTAATCATTATACTCAGATGCCAATGAGAACTCAGAAGCTCAAGTTAGTGGGCTTGTAAAAGAGTTCACCACTTTTCATGGCTGTCTCGAACAGCTGGGCGAGTTGATGAAACAATATGGCCAACCAATGCCATTTCCCGTCAAAGACTTCGAAAACACGCTGAAGAAGTGTGCAAAGACCCTGGAACCGTACACTGACAATCTCGTTGACAAGAAGATGTCTGTCAAGAAATTCATCTTTACAATTCGATACATCGGGATGGAAAAAGAAATCGATGGACTGAGGAAACAGATCAGCGGCCACTACCAGGCGCTCAACATGTGCACCTCATTTCTCCAATTGTAAGTATTGTTCGTACTCAGAATCCTATCGCTGACCGCTGCTAGACGGCTGAATCTTGAAGCAACCAAACAAACTCAGCGTCTTCTCGACGCTGCGCCCTCTCGCACAGTAAACCTAAGTGGTCGCTCATACTCTACTAACACTCTCGGAGTTTCAAGCAACCGTACGCCATTGGCGCTTGCGCCTCCCGACGAGCATCCGTTATTTAGCGAATGGAGAATCTTTGACCGATGGTTGCAAAGCGAGGACGAACGCATTGCTCAAGAAGCGGGACTGTCACGGCCCCTATCGCTAGGAGATGCGCCCGCTGCTGCACCAAGTGGGGATGTCCAAACAGCGGCCATACTTTATCAACTCAGACGTCAGGTTGATGATGCGATATTTATTGAAGAAAATCGTGCAAAGCGAACCACAGCCGAAAAACGATCACACCTGGTCCCGAGCGACGCGATGAAACAGAAGGTCCGCAATATGCCACCAGCACCGTTGCGAACGTATACTCTCGATACCGAACACTCTGGTAACTTCACGAACTTTAGTCAGGAACCTATGAACGACTCTATAGCCACCATCCGTCCCAGCCTGAGCATACGGCCATCATCACCAGATTATTTTGCCTCGGTTGACTGGACGCAGTCACCAACGTCAAAGTTGCTCGATCCTGGTCGAACCCCCTCTATCTCTACAACCGGAAGTAGCGAATGCTATTCGCCGGCATCACGGTCATCAACAAGTACTACCCCAGATAAAGCTTTATCTCCCAATCTGCGACGCAGCCTTTCACACACATCGCTGGCCACCATAGCATTAGGTGACGCTGCACTTGACTGGAAACGTATCTGTCGCAATGTGCAGGTGGAACGTAAGTCTTTGAAGTACGGACCCGAAAATCACGAATGCGAGGTTAGGTGGCGATATCGAGAAGATACCGGGATCTCACTACGAGCAGTATATCACTCTACCCAAGATGGAAAACTTCGAACTTGGACTGAACAGCATTTCCCTGCCACCGGGCCATCGATACCATTGACTACCACATATATCGACGGTGCAGTATCTATCGACTTTCCACGTAGTTCGTTTGGAAGACTATACAAACAATATATTGACATCAAGTACACATTCGTTGGTCGTGAGTCAGCAGACAAGTTCCAAACCTTGTTGTACACCAACAACGGTGCCGACCCTGCTGAGCTCAAATTCGACCGACCCATCCTGGCAATATCATCAAACAAGAATCCGACTGAATGTCGTAATAAAAATCTGCGGCTATGGCGGCGCGTCGAGACACAGCCGGTAGATGGTGGGCTCGTCACATCCGAGGTCCTGGTGTTGCTATTCTACACAAGCGCATTAGAAGAGAGAGGTCATTGGGTCGAAGAGCCGCACTACGCGTTCGAATGGCTTATGGATTCGGTCTACAAGAAAGATAGCGATAAGCTGACTCTTGTCTTTTCGAAAGACCCGTCTCGTTGGGCGACCGATAAGCTGTTCAAACGCCGCAAGTCATCCATACGGTCCGAGTCCGAGCCAGCGAACCTGTCTCTCCCCCAAAGAAAACGCAATGACTCTATGGAGATACCGGGATTGGCGCGGTCAGAAAGTGGTGCCTCAGCGTCGCCGAACGGCTCACTGAGGTCGTCCAGGAGTATATTTGAGAACGGCAGCGGATCTTCGAGAGCGGCCAATCTGAATCGGTTTGGGTATGCGGAACTAGAGATCAAGTTTCAGAGCAAGAAGGATAGAAGAGCGTTCTTGGACATATGGAAGCAATATGTCAAGCCGTTGAGTGCGGCTTCATGATCGCATACCGTAGAGAGAGAAATTGGCGGAATGTACTGTACTATAGTAGAAAAGTCAATACCTGTTTGACGAGCTTCTTCTAAGGGCAGTTGCTCTAAAACGTAATTCTCGGTAAAAGAATCGTGCGACGAATATGATCTCGAAGCAATCATCCTCGTATCAACACGTGTGGGTGGGTTCTGGTAGGTTTATAAAAACTTGGTATTCATCTTTTGTTCCGTGGAGTTGCTCCGCTACCATCGAAGGGAAAACACCGCACCAAGATGCTGAAAGTGATAGCTACCAAACTTACGAAAAGCTCTCACTAGTTTCCATGGACTTATTTACTCCGATGCATTTTGCGTAGATGAAGGTAGCAGGGCAGCCAACGCCAACGTCCTCGCTAGCACGGTCACGTGCTGCGTCTCTTTAGTTCCAATTGGGGCGACGTCGAGATACTTTCGATGTGGCTGACAGGTGTTCTTCTCTACGGAATCCGTACGAAGTCTGAAAAGTCGGTCTTTGTCTGTTTACTATTTTCTTACATTCTGTCGACGTTGATTCATAGTGGCAGCAAATTATGGCTGTCCTCATCTAAGTGTGCATAATACCTGGGTACAACGTCGGTGTGGAATCTGCCTCGTTCTGGTCCATGCGCTGCATACGTGTTACGTGTCAGTCTTCTTGACAACCAGACGTAGGAAAGCGCATATGAGGTAATATCCGCGGAGCCATAACTATACTCTGGCATGGTAGCACTCAGAAACAAGGTCAGCTCAATGTTGAGGACAAAGGGCTGTAAAAACAAAGGCCTAGACCGTGCGTGATGCGGCACAGTTGCTCTACAGCTTAGTTTACCAACGACAGGGTGTTGCTGCATATACATACACGAGGAGGCGTTCATGTGGAGGATTGTAATCCCTGTTACAAGAAGAAATGCGCACATGATTGGGCCTGAGGAATAAAGGCTAGAAGATCAAACAAGCCCACATTTGGAAACTTTGAAGATTGCTTAGACAACAACAGCATTACTTATGAAGGACCAGAGAGAAAATCTAATAACATTTGAGAAAAAATGATTATTGGCAGTTTACAAAGTAGTGTAAGTCTAATAACACGCAATCATCCACCTAACAGAAAATCAAGCACAAGTTGTATTCGCAAAAATCTTGCCAAACTCATCCACATTCGTAATAGCACCCTCAGCGTCGTATTCGACCCTGACTTGCTGATTGCTGGAAACAGATGGATCGCCCACAAGGTAGTTGAGTGGCTCCAGTCGCATGGCCGAATGGGCAGAGCTGAACATTGTGTTGGGCAAGTCACCAGTGTGCGGGAGGTGGTGCATGCCAAGGTTGAACCAAAGTACTCTGTGACTCGTTAGTAAGACGTGATATTATACCAGGCATGGCATTAACAGGGAGGAGAGGAATGGGGTTACGAACAAATCTTCCTGCTCCAAACTTTCATCGTCGAAGAATGTCGCAAAATCCACCAATGGATCGTCCTTGGAATACTGGTTGTAAGCATCCGCAGCCCTCGGCTCTGTGTCCTTTTGCTGTGTGACGTAAAAATCGTGCGTTACGAAGGCACCCGTCTTGTCCGTGTTCGTCGAGTTAGTTTGCGTAAGGTGTATCGTACCAGCAGATCTCTTGATTCTGTAACCTGGGTACTCGCCGTATGGGTTCGGTGTATCCCTGTTCACAACAGCGTACAATGCGTTGTCGTTCTCCTCCCAGTTGATCATGGAGTCTCTCTCATTGTCTACCCAGGATCGCTCGGCTTTGAAAGTGTTGTATACGCGGCCTTGACTCCAAGGATATGTTGTAGACGTGGGCACAAACTTGAGTTTCTGCACACTGTTCTTTCTTCCGTTGATATCCAAGTCCACCTTGAAAGTGAGAGTATGGTCGTGCGAGCTGCCTGAGAGAAAGTCATGGATATGGAAGCCGTACTCCGGTTGATCTTCCCAATAGGCAGCGGCGATATATCCAGAGAAGCGAGAGGATACTTCGATGCCTCCATCGTAGAAGAAGCTGTAGTCGATCAAGAAGTCGTAGTTGCCTACTGTGGCTACCGTACGCATGGTAAACTGGATGTTCTTTGCTACGCTGGTGTGTGGTGCGGATGGTGAGAAGGAGTGGCGGCGGATTGGGTAGCCCGCATCAAACTCAAATATGCATATAGCGTCCTTTTGGGTCTTGATTGTATCACCCTCTGTCCATGTTGCAGGTAAGTATGTAGCATGGCTGGGGCAGTCGTATCCCTTGACAAGTGGCTGTAGTGTCGAGCCCATACCACTCGTAGTATCGAAAAACGTCGCTTGCGATTGGAAAGGGTCAGTGCCGGAGTAGGATGTCAGAGCTTCCTGCAGGGACAACTCGTAAATGATTCGCCTGCCTTTGAATTTGATATCGAACAGCGAAAGGCCGAGATCCTGGGAGACAGCATGGTAGAAGGTGAAGTCCATCCAAGATATGTATCCCTCTTTAGCATCAATTTTGAATCGCTGGTCTCCCTGGGCGATAGATGCCGGCGGTGGTTGGTCGTCCAGTTCCATTGGCGTTCCCTGCTTGTCCGTAGATGTCCAGTTACCGAGTACATTCGGTGGTGGTTTCTGGTAATCGGGGTGGCTGATTGCGGCACGGAACTCTTCCGTACTGTCGTAGAACTCTCCATACGAGTACCAGCCAACAGCTTTCCATTCGTCCGAATTTTGTCCCGTCAGATCAAATTTTACAGCAAAACCGAGTGGCTCTACTGTAACACTGCTGAGATTGGTGCCCGGATCCGTGAAGGCTCCCGCCCAGGAGATCGTTCGACCTTCTTCATCCCAGAAGGGACTTCCGAATCTGAGACCAATACGACCAGTAAGGAAAGTCTAGATCCATATAAGTTTCTATCTTTACCCGCTGCCTATGTCTTCCCACTTACAGTATTGAACAGTTGCATTGAGATATCCTCAGTCTCTGTGGCGAACCTCGTGAAGAAATTTGTTGCTTCATTAGGTGAGTACATAGGATGCATTGGTGTCCGTCCTGGCTGAGAGTTTTGGAATGGAAAAGTCAATGGCTCGACTGGGGTGGCATTCGTCGCTGGCAGCGGCCCTATCATGTACTCTTGCCAGTGTTTTTCCGTTGAGTTGGTGGTACCACTTTGAACAGTCGCTCGCGCATAACGCTTTGGTGCAGTGGCATTACTGTCGAGGTAGGGTAGAGTATCGGTCTTGTTGGGATGGAGAAGGGCAAGCTGTACTCTGAGATCTTGTTAGTATGCAACGAGTGGTACTTTGAAATGGCAGGCTTACACATAGCTATCATGGCTGGATCCGTTGTTGCCAGTCAAGGCCATTCTCTCTTGCAGAAGCTCATTGACACTAGCAGCTTCTTCCTCGGACAGTGCCTTCCATGGATTCTCATATGGCGCGCTTACAGTGGGTTGACGATCGTTTGTCGGAGCATCTTGCGCGACAGCGCAAGAGGCCAAGACGGCAGCACCAAACGTTAGAGAAGAATTCCACTTCATGTTGGATCGGAACGAAAGTAAACGAGTGTGGAGATTCTGACATGCAGGCCTCTGCAGGTTATATGCCCATCCGTTGGCCTCTGCCTTCACGGTAACACAATACGTCTAGGGGCATTTGTGGTGTCATCATGCATGCGCATTCCCATAGTTGGCTTGCACCCTTAGCGAAGAGGAGCCATGCCTCACATCGGTTTGTTGAGCAGCGTGAAAAAACAATATCACGGTGTTGCTTTGGCGCACACCGTGCGCAGGTAAGGAGATGATCGGCACCACGGTTCTCTTCTGCATGTTGTGCAAGGGGGATTCAGCTCCACATTCAAACGAGACGAATCCAAGCGCCTCCGTTACATAACACGGCCGCTTAACAAGTTTTCGCGGCAAAAAAGTACAAGTAAATGCGCGGCGTCGAGAAAAGAACGCCTTAGTTGAGCGAGAGAGTATGGTTAGACTATGGTTGAAGTGTCTCGCACGGCTGATAACTCAGGGGCGGGGACTGCCTCCCGAAAGCTTGGTACGGCAACGCACCCCGCAAGAAACAATAGCGGGCAAAAGCAGTAAGGCAAATAAGCTTTTTCTGGTAACCTGTCGGTTCCAAAATTTGCTCGCCCATGCTACCAACATGCTTCTGGAATGCTGCAAATAGAACAGCCTGCGTTTCCTCACACCTCCAACAGCTGATCTTCAGGTGTCTGGTCGTTCGCCACACAGCCTAGGTACACCGTTCCAGGTAGCGACATTCCGTCATCATCTTCTTTGATTGTCTACTCTCTAAGTCTCTTTTCCATTTTGCGTCTAGCCATTGTTGTTGACGCTGTCGTTGCATCGTTCTTACGCCCCTTGTCCCATTTACTCATTATCTTTGCGAGTCCTGGCTTGCTGTTCCTGACTCCTTGGATCTGATGCTCTAAGACCTTTCCCATCATCACCGCGATCTGGAGAGCTGGAGCTTCCGACTTCACGGCCATGAACAGCTTTGAATTCCATTTCATTGTCATCGCTATGTATGCCTTCCCATCCTCTGCTACAAACTCTTCCAAGGCCAAAGGGTCAGCATGAGTGGGATCGCGAAGTCCAGCCTTGAAAGCGATATCGCGCACTTTGCGGGCGGCCAAATGCTGTTTCATAATTGACTAGATTTTTTTAAAAGCCTGGATCTCCACAGCGTTGTTAAGTGGGTCTGCGCGCAGGGTGCGAAGGCGATTTTTAATGCCGGTAGCATGCGGGGCGACCTTCTGGTAGGTCCGTTGAATGTCGAGGAGACTATGAATAATAAGTTGCATGACGGGGATGCACTCTGCCTGGTATGCTGCCTCGACCATCGCTAGGATCACCCGGCCGCGCTCTGCATTGGAGGTGACCTCGCCCATTCCTTGAAGGAACTGAGCGCGCTGCCTCGCGAGTGGCGTGGTAAGACGACATTGCTGTGTATCAAGGGGTATTTATGTTGATCTTGGCTTGCGAAGATCGAAATAAACAAATATCGGAGAGAATTGCTCGTGGTGGCAGTTGGTACTGAAGTAGAGTTCATGTCGATCGCGGGATTGCCAAAGGGAAGACGGTATTAGCGAGGGAGCAAACAAACTGTCCGTTCTGGCTGCACGTACCTAGGGACAAAGTCTGGTCCACCTTATGCTGGTGAGTAGAATGATTCTTCTGTTTTCTGTACTCTTCCCTTTTGGGAACTGCAGATGGGAAAGTTGACGTCCTTGCTACCTCTATTCCTCTCCATCTCTCGGAACAATACTTATGTTCCGATCAATCGTCAGCCTGCTAACTCTTTCATTCTGCTTCCATGCACGAGTCCGGTGAAGGCTCATCGCTCACATGTTTGCAAAACCGATCGTTTTGATAATCGACACAACAATATATGATGACAACCAGCATAGCGATAATCCAGATTCGCACGAAAACCCCCCTGGTGGAGCCAGCATACAAACTTTGAGATGACTGTACTTCTGCATGACGTACAGGACCAAGCTGGGTGGAGTGGTGTGATTGGAAAGATCCTTCCAGTCATACTAAAACACGGTCTTCCATCAGGTTGGGACATCGGTATTTGCTGTAGGCCAGGCGCAATTAATTGGGCGCAGATGGATAGGGGACGGAAGAGGCCGATACGAGAATAACTTGTTTAGCTATACTTGTATGGATTGGTAAATGGCGCTGAGCCCAGGCCTTTGTTCAAAAACATCAAGGTCAAAGTAATTCAGGAGTGTATGTAGATAAACAGAAGATCTGGAGATGCCCCGTCAAACTAAGAGTTGTGGACATACTATGGTGAGACGGATGGATAATAGCATCACACTGGACCACACCCAGTGCATAGCCAGGGCACTCCCATTGCACATTTCCATCAGAGTGATTCTCTGAGTACCTCTAAGCCCCCTTACCAGTCCTAGGATCTTGCTCCAAACCGCTTTCAGTAACCGGCACAAATATGTCTTCCACTTCACCGAACCGTGCAGCAGCCCCTTTGTCGCCACCAACCTTACGCTTCTTGAATGCGGCAAAGAGATTCGAGTCGCCTGTCATGCGCTTGGATCCAGCAGCGCTTCGCCTTTTTCATCCTTCACTTCGACATCATGACCGCTACATCGCTTAGACCTTCCGAAGAATGATCATGGACTCGGGAGAAGAAAGCAACGGCGGCAAGTTTTGCGTACATTGAACAGCCGGTTGGAAATGGCTATTGCAGCAAATTCCTACGAAATGATCCAGGCGGTTCAACATGAGCGCAGGTTGAGTCCAACACCAACAGTTTAAGCGCCCGCATCTAGAACATGATCAGCGGTAATACCGATCCACGGTTATACCAGTACTTGGTCATCGTGCTGGATCGAAAACGTCTGGGACTTGTTTGCTTATCCTTCCCCATGTATTTTAGCTGGTCAGACCACGACGCAACCTTTGAGACGATCGCGAATTGGTATAGCGGTGTGCATTTGCGTCTGGAAAGAATTCAAAGCCATTTGACCGCCACGGGTATGTCTGGTATGGCATTTCGTGTTATCTTTGTGAATGATGCCCAGCATACCACGCTGTGGAATAACGAACAAGTAATGTAAAGAAAGTGGTAGAGAGCAAGAATTGACGGTGAAATGCCTGTTGCATGCGAAGGCCCTTATACCGCTGAACTTTGCGCTTGCTTATGTCACACACTTAGTACCAGCCCTGCTTCTTGCACCATCACAAGGACTGGCGGAACGACAAGGGTAACCCAACTGTATCACGCAAACGTAGTGGCGGTGGTGAGATAGTAGTCATTCTCTGCACGTCAGTCCAGAATAAGTAGATGTGCATCAGGTATTAGAGAGGGAGGAGGTCCCGTCGGGGAGTCCTCACGAAGCGCGGGGTCCCGCAGCAAGCAATTCGACAAAAGCGAAAAGTTCGCGTGATATACTCACCGCTGACTGAGTGATGTTGAGTCATGTTCATAGGATACAGTAGTACAGTACGGAAGACTGTCGGTTGCTTGCTTGTTCTAAGTGCTATGTAGAAGGCTATTGGTGAACTGCGGCCCGTCGAAAGAAGATGCTGACATTCCAATGCACATGCATTACGGAGCTGGAGAAAGGTCACCAGGTCACATTTTGTGTTCTGGAAAGGGTTCTAAGGTGTTTGTTCGCCGTAAATGCTCGGCAGCCTCGAGATTCTACCGCGCCGTGTTGGGAAACTTGATTATCGGACGTTGTTGGTCCTGGAAGGACGCGTAAGAAACAGGTTAACCCAACTGATGCCCCATCGGACGTACGTCTTCAGAGAGCGGAGTGTGTGAAGATGGGTTGAGTGCGTGAACGACTTTGTGTGGTTGAACGCGGGCGCGGCTCGGCCAAGCGAGTTTGCGGCCACTTTACGCGTCGCGTGGATCGCGCTTCGGTCTGCCGCCCAGCTCCTTCCCACCATTGTCACTTCACTTTCCACGATTGCACCCCACCCATTGCACCTTCCCACAGCATATCCGCAATGGCCTCTACTGTTCTCGGGAAGAGGACTCGCAGCTCTGCACGTATAGATGCTTCAGGTACGAGCCACCGAGGCCCTGGTCGTGGTTCGTCGGACAACACGTCCCTAACGCGCTCTGCAGAGTCAAAGTCAAATGTCGCAACACGCGCAAAGCGGAGGACCCAGTTTGTCATACACGATGAAGGCGAGATTGAGAATCCATTCGTCACTCCAAAGAAACAAAATGTGCGCGACGAGGATGCAATGGACGTGGACGAGCCCGAGGAGAAGACGTCGGTGAAACGCGGGAGGAAGGCTGGCACAGCTCCTGCAAAGTATGGCGCACCATGCACACGGCTTCCACTTTCAACAGCCAAAGAGAATTCTCCGCAGAAGGCGCTCGTGGACATTCCAGACAAGTTTGCGCCTACTCCTTCAACACCCAGGCATCGCGACGCGCTTGCCGGCAAAGTTGCCGTCACACCCAGGCACCGTCTCATCATCGCCGGACGACCGTTGACGCCTCGCACACCACACACCCCAGGCACTCCACGGAATACGGGGCCAACAATCTACAATGAAGCGCGCCAGGTGTTTGCAAGAGGCTCTGCCCCAACGGCACTGTTTGGTCGGGAGAACGAGAGGAGGGAGCTCGAGACGTTCATCACAACAAGAACAAAGACTAAGAGATCTGGATGTATATACGTCTCCGGTCCGCCAGGCACTGGCAAGAGCGCCTTCGTCGACGATGTCTGCCGTACCGTCTCATCGAATGAATCTGTCAGGACCGGATACATTAATTGTATGAGTGTAAAGAACGCCACAGATCTGTACAGAACGCTTTTGGAGGAGTTTGTCGACATCACCGAGATTGCAGAGGGCGATGAAGTAGATGCGCTTCGGGCAATCTTCATGCAGCGGAAGACGTCTTACGTCGTTACGCTTGATGAAGTGGACCACTTACTGGAGCTGGACATTGAACTCTTTTACAACATCTTCGAGTGGTCCTTACAGGAAGCATCGGGACTTGTGCTAGTCGGTATCGCGAACGCGTTGGATCTCACGGATCGATTCCTCCCACGACTCAAGGCTCGCGGGCTCAAGCCACAACTACTACCCTTCCTCCCATACAACGCCACGCAAATCTCTTCTGTCATCACTTCAAAACTCAAGGCGCTTCTGCCAGTAGGCTCAACCCAACTACCCTTTATCCACCCAACCGCCATCATATTCCTCTCCAAGAAAGTAGCCGCCCAATCCGGCGATCTACGCAAAGCCTTCGACATCTGCCGTCGAGCAATCGACCTCATCGAAGCCGACACACGCGACCAGCACGCAAAGAAAGCCACAGAAATCACCCCATCACCCACCCCCTCACCCTCAAAAACTCCCTTGGTGGAAAAAGTCAACCTCTCCTCCTCAGCCGTGCGCTCTCCCACGAAGCCCAAAGATCTAAACAGTATCATCGCCGCCTCTCTTGCCTCCCTCACCTTCGAAACCGCACCACGGGCCACCATTGCCCACATGGCGAAGATCACAGCAGCAGTATTCAGCAACGGCACAAGCCAACGCCTGCGAAACTTGAACCTCCAACAAAAAGCTGTCCTCTGTTCGCTTTCTGCTATCGAGAAGAAGAAGCGCGCCACCGCTGTCGACAGCATTCTATCCACACCGTCAAGATCCCACACTACATCTCCTACTATCAAAGAACTCTTCGAGGCCTACACCGCGCTGTGTAAACGAGAGAATATTCTACACCCTCTCACGAGCACCGAATTCAGGGATATCGTGGGCAGTCTGGAGACACTGTCGCTTGTTTCGGCAGTCGAGGGTAAAGCTGGATCGCTAGATGTTGGCGCTGGTACGCCGAGTCGGAGGGGAGGGCTAAAGCTTTTCCTGGTGTTGTTGTTGAGGATCGCAGGGTTGCTAGTGTCGTTGGAGAAAAGGAGCTGGCGGACTCACTCGTGGGGCCTGGAGCTGGCATTCTCAAGGGTATTCTTGAGGGGAATTAAAGAGGGAATCGTGTAGATGCGTTATGTTGTGTTTATGGACTCGATTGGATGGGATACGGCTTTGGTACTCGTCGTTTCTTTTTGTATCCTCGATTGAGGCTCTGAGTATGTGCGTTTGTTTTGCATAGCGTGGCATGGAGTTTTTCAACCTGTATCATGTCTTGTATCATGAGCGTAGTAAATTAGCATAGCGTAGGGGTGTTTGTTTTCTCAGCATAGCAGACGCACACCACAAATTCAGTACGTTTTCAACGACTCTTCCATTTCCTACTACGCCTGATTGATGGAGTGAGAGAGTAGCGTCTGACGTGGGATTTTCTGACCACTCAACCTCGTAAGCCTCTTCGTAGGCCTTGGGAGAGGAGACGAAGAAACACCAAGACAAAAACCAGAAAGGCCAATGAGATGTGCTTCCCCATAGCATTGTTTTCCAAATCCATGAGCGAGTTGGAAAGCAATCTATTGTATTTCTTCTATCTTCTCATATCTTAGAGATTATGGTATCATTCATCTTCATCCCATTCATGTAGATCCATGCATTCCAGTCTCCGAGACCCAGATCCTTAAACCTTGACGCCCCCTCCTTCTACAGCATCCTCTTTGCCCACCCGACTCCCTCCTTCTTGTTGTCCATCCTCCTCCTCCTCTTCCTCCTTATCCTGCCTCAGCGTACTTGTCGGCACCTCGCTCTCCATGCCCGCCTTGCGAAACACAGCCTGCATCCAACACCTATACATTTTCAACCTCCTCTGCCTATTAACCAACATGCGTCTATCCACGCCAATATGCGCAATCTCGAATCCCGGTCTGGGGGTCTCGAGATCATTGACATCATCATGGCTCTGCTCTTTCGTCTGCAAGCTCGGATCATGAAGAGACAAACTCTCAATTTGATCTGCGATGACACCTTCAGCCTCCGTCTGGGATATCGTTGTACCCGCTACATTGCCAATCGTCGTATCGCGTTTTCTGGCCGCTCCACCCCAAATGTCCTCGAGTTCAGACTGCTCGAAGAAGTAAACTCGCGTGCCGTCGCCACGGACGTAGAAGTTTTCTTCCATATACCGGCCCTTCTTGAAGCGGACTTGAGCTAGGTCGCCACGGCCGTAGTCGCGGAAGAGGACCTGGCCGCCCGGCTTGAGGACCCGCCAGATGTTGCGGACGGCTTGGTCCCATTGTTTGGGATTCAGGGCGCTGAAGATGAATATCATGAGTACGACGTCTACGCTGCCTTCTGTTAGGCCTGGAGGGAGGCCGCTGTTTTCGGACTCGGGGGATGCGGCTACATCCCATACGTCGGCTTGTATGCGTTCCGGGTCGTAGAGTTCGTGGTTGCGTATAAGTTCGACTGCCTTTTTAGAGAAATCACACGCGTGTATTTTTAACCTCTTGTTCTGACTCCTCTGCAGAATGGGAAACGCACTGTTGCCCGCTCCGGCGCCAACCTCCAACAAGGTGACCTCAGGTCCATTCTCTGCGCCCAACTCCTCTAGTATCGGAAATTCCTGCGCCAGCCATTTGCGGTTCTTGAAGAAGTTTGTCTTGTTGTTCTTGTAAAACTGGTTCCACCACTTCTCGGGCTGGTCGTTGTAACGTTTGCGATCAAAGTCCGAGACGGGTTCTTGCCGTTGTCTGGAATATTGTTCTTCGGAAAAGGCGAGATAGTTGGAGTCGACGGTTACGTGGTCCCAGGCATTGAATTCGAAGATGTTGTCGCCTTCCTCGAGGTAGCGCGAACCGAAAGCGAAGGGATCACTGCGCTTTTGGTTGTTGCCAGGGTCGTGGGAGCGAGAGGGTGGGGCGCGGACGGGCTGTAGAGAAGCAGGCACTCCGTAAGCGTCGTTCTCGGTGCCTTCTTGGGTGGGTGGAGATGCGGGATCGGAGGCATCTGGTGGTGGTGTGGAAGTTGAAGCGTGCGGTATAGGATCGACTGTGACTGCGAAGCGCATGTGTTCCATTGCTTTGGATAGTTGCTGTTTCGGCTGTGGTTTTCTTGACACGGTATTGTCCGTTTGGAATCTGGAGTCGCCGCTATCCTGGGCATTTGCACCATTCATAGTGTCCGCGGTTCCGTGGTCCATGGTATCCATATTCGCAGCCATCATGGAGTTTTGACAGAGTCGCGTATGCGGGGGGATAATTCATGGAGGGGAAATTTCGAGCGCTAGTGTCCAAAGAAGTTTGGTCCAGCCGTGGTCCCTGGCATATGATAGCGTCATGCAGCATTTGAGAGAGCCGCATCTCCTAGCGCGAATTTACGTTCAACTGAAGCTTGATGCGCTCATCGACTCTGGACTTTTGGCAAATCACAGATACCATGTCGAGGTGACACCAATTAACCTCAATCTACACAACTTCAGCATACCACCAGCACCTACTACTTTTGAACCACAATGTCATCCCTGCGATTCACCCGCCCATCGATACACCGCTGCACACGCCTCCTCCAGCGCCCATCCCAGCGACGAACCTTCCTCCCCAACCCCTTCGAAGCCTTAAACTCCGCTCTCCCATCGTCGTCCTCGCCACCACAAGTCCTAACCGCCGTGCGAACTCTCCCCTACCCCTCGGCCCCCGTCTACTCTATAATAGCCGATGTACCCAACTACCAAAACTTCCTGCCGTACTGCCAACGCAGCAACATAACGAAGTGGTCGGCACCGGATAAAGTCTATGGTCGGCAGTGGCCATCGGAAGGCATCTTGACGAGCGGTTTTGGCGGCATAACAGAGAGTTTTGTGAGCAGGGTGTATTGTATACCTGGGCGTTATGTGGAGAGTGTAGGCGGAAACACGGAAACGAGCTTGAAGAATGATGATATTGCGCATCATCTAGACGGGGAGAAACAGGGGACAGAAAGGAAGGAAGGAGAGAATGGCTTGCTTACGCATCTACGGAGCAAGTGGACTGTCGAGGCTATACAGAACGACCAGACACAGGTTAGTTTGGCGGTAGAGTTTGCGTTTGCGAACCCAATGTACGCAGCCTTGAGTGGGGGTGTGGCGCCCAAGGTGGCAGAGTTCATGATCAAGGCTTTTGAAAGGAGGGTGCAAGACCTGCTGAAGAGCAACCCGGACATGGTCAAGGCGAGTTTAGCGGAATTGGATGGTAGTGGATTGAAGAGGTAGCACATGCGTCTTCGCAATAGCAACATAGTTCATGATATACATCGCCGAGCTATTGCGAATGCAAATAAGCAGACAAGTCATGTTTGATCTTGGTGTGTGCCACTAGCAATACCCCCGTTCATCCACTACTTCATGCTCTCAAAATACTTCTTGAACCGCGGCTCACGCTCCAGATCACACCGCAACACCGCATCGTAACAGCTCATAAGCAGCTGCGGAAACTTGACCGTCCAATATCTCAGATAGCCACTCGGCAATGGGCCCACCTTGGCCTTGATTGCATCCTCCATATCCTCGTAGTGGTTCTTCTTGTTCCTGAGCGCCCTCAACAAATCTAACATCTTATCGCCCGTGTACTTGCGTTGTTTGCCGAGCGAGTTGATGAAGCCCTGGTCAAGTTTGGCGAGAAAGTTGCGTCTATGATCCAGTACGTCTTCCGAGTATTCTTCCAGCACTGCAAGGTGATCCGATGGTGGGTCTCTAGGTTCACGTTCCCAATGATCCGAGCAGTCGCACAAGAAATCAAGGCGTTTCTGGTCATCCCAGAAAAAAGGATGGTTCATGACTTGCAAGGCGTTGGGGCGGTCTTCGGGCCTGGGTCGCAGCATCCAATGGATAAGACGATGGGGTTCCACCGAATCAGCACCGAGAAGTAGGCGATCGAGGTTGGACTTCTCCTTCTTGATGTTGTATTCACGAATCTGCATCCAGCCTTCTTCGTCATCAAAGGGATGACAACCGCCGGTGAGGACATAGTAAAAGACGCAGCCGAGAGAGAAGATGTCGACGGCTCGCTTGACGCCTTGCGCGACTGGATCTGTCGAGCTGGATGAATCGCGAGAAAAGCCCTGAGAGCTGCCGTTGGCCAACTCCTTCGGTTGCGAGATAAGCTCAGGCGCTTTCCAACCAACGGTGCCTGCGTTACCAGTCGTTCCGACAAGGGTACTAACGTTATCGGGCAGCGTCTTACAGAGACCGAAATCAGATATCACCAGCCGTACATCATCCTTGGAAGTGATCAAGGGTTGTGCGATCAGTATGTTTTGGGGTTTGATGTCGCGGTGGATGATGCGAAGATGATGAAGATGGTTCAGTCCGGCGGCAAGTTGGTACAAACAAGATGCAGCTTTCCCGCTGATCTTGTTCACCAGCTGCTGGTGGCTTTCGGATAGCTCCTCTCCTGGACGACCGTCTTTGTAGAGGTCAAACAAACTGGCTTGGCAGAGTTCGACGGCGATGTAGAGAAAGTTTTCATCTCTCTCGTCGTCGAAGTATCGGATGACGTTTGGGTGGGGGTCGCTGTTCTGTAGAAGCTTCACCTCTTGCTCCGCGAGTCCGAAGTATTGCGGTAGCATGCGCTTGACAGCCACCTTGACTTCCTGTATGAAGATTAGTATAAGACTCTTATCGAGAATGAGCGAAACATGTCATTCTTGAACGACCGACATGATCGGTCGTACAGGCTGATGTATTCAACGTACCTTCCATTTACCCTCAAAGACAAACGTTCCTCCACTTCCGTTTCCAAGAAGACGATCTTGATCTATCGTCAACTTGCCAATTCGCTTGATCTCGGATATGTTCTGTACGTCGCCACCGCTCACAGTAAGCTCATCGGGTTGCAAGCGAGGCCCAACCTCAAGTTGCTTAGCTGCATCTACAATACGGTTGACCTCGTCTTCCTCTTTTTGCTGGTTCTTGCTGAGTTTGCGCCCGCCACGTCTACCCCGGTGTGCTTTCTTCTTCTTGGGAGTCGAGGGCGCGGCGGATGAATCTTGCGAGACGTCTTCGATACTGCTAGTCATCGGCTGAGCCTCCGTGTTGAGTGTAGAGCCAGGTAGGGCAGTTTCGTCTTCAACAGAAGAGCTACGTTCAACGGTTGTAGTTCTCGAGAGAGGCGCAAGTTCATCGTCATCGTCATCAGGGACGTCGAAAGTCACTTTCTTCTCCTTGACTTCCTCTGCAACAGGTGTGACGATATCAGCCTTTGCTACAGTTTCTGCAACTGTCTTCTGAGAAACAACGTCCTCGTCGGCCGGTAGGGGCAGAGTCTCCTCTTCTACAGGCTTGACCTCCGGCTCGGTAGAGGCTGACACTAGAGTGTGTGGCACCTTAGCCTTGCCTGAACGCAAAAGTCTCTTCAGATAGCTCAAGCAGGATTCGCGTACTGTTGGTTTCATAGTAGCTCCCAAGGCGCCAGCAACGGCAAGAACAAAGACAAAAAGTGTGATGATTGCTTTAACCGTCTGTGTCTGAGGTGGTGCGTCGATGGTTGGCGGTTGGTGTTGCTCATGAGGCGATGTCTCAGGCGGATTAGACACGACCTGGTCGTTCAAGGTTGGATAATACGTCGTGGCGGCGATGCCCGGCAACTGTGCCTGCTGACTAGGGATCCTATAGTCCAGCCTGTGAACACCGATGAGACTGCTCCTATCCGGCAATACGTAGGCCGAGTCCCACTCGTATGATACTTGGTTCTGCTTGTAACAAGTTGCATCTGGTGCACCGTCGGTCACTGCCGGGTAATTGACTTCTGATAGAGCGTACCAAGCCCCGATTCGGTCGTGTTGAGCAGGACGTGGTTGGCTTTGTCTTCCGAGAAGATGGGGCCGGCTGGTTGTGGGAGTAAAACGAGCGGTGGCTCATTTGATTGGTCGTTCAGAGGTCGAGCGACGTCGAAGACACGTGCTACTGGGTAGGGCAGGCGTTGTCTGTAGAGAGGACGCTGGTGCGATCTCGGTCGCTTGTAGTCGAAGGCGATGACTTCGCCGTTGTACATGGTATAGATGTACTGCTTATCAAGAGTCTGGTCATACTGGGACTGCAGATCCTTGTCTCGGCTGTTTGGGTTCCACTCTGCATACTTCAGCGTGCAGATGTGCTCGTTCGTCTTCTTGTTATGGATGGTGATGGTGTACTGGGTCTGTCCGATGTCGATGATACCACGACAATCGCGTTCCCGGGTGCTGAAGAAGTTCTTCGAGTCGGGGGCGCAACTGTCGTCGTAGGGGAAGTTGCCGCCCGGAGTGAAGCTCTGCTTGACAATGCCCGAGGCAGCATCGACGAGAAGCATGAATGTCTTCTTTTCCACATTGTAGACAACCGGGAGTTCCGGGTCGTCGCTGGAGTAGGGGGCACTTTCCGCTAACTGCTTGACCGTGACACCCAGGTGCTGGAGTTGCGGGTGTGGGCCTGGGGTGAGGAGATAGAGAGCTCCGTCCTCCCTAGGCTCGACAATCCATACAAAGGGCTGATGCTGGGGGCCGATCTTGTCCTCGGAGACGTTGTAGATGGTCTCCAACATGGGCCGTCCGCTCAGCTCCCAGATCTCTTCTCCGTTATATCGGTCGCGTGCGTGTATGTGGCCATCGACGGTCGCCAAAAGAACAAAGTCCTCAACTTCCCAATCCTGCAGAGAACGCGCACTGGGGATGAGGCCTCCCGAGGCAGCGTATCTGGCAGGATGGGCTCTGACAGCACTAATGGCTGGAGCAGAAGGAACTTTGGTAGCTACGGCGCGCACATTCTGGTCGTTCAAGGGCGTGTAGAGATGACGTCTGTGGGCGTCCCCTACAGTGTCTTTGAGGCTGGGCTGTCCGTGGTGGGGTGGGATCATGTGTGCAGGCTCCACGTGCACCTCGGCGTGGGGAGACGTGTTGCGGACATGGTGGTCGAGTGGGTGCTGCTGCTGAGCTGCCACAAGGGTAATAATGAGAAAGGCGAGCGTGGTGAGCGTCGAGCCGGCACCGGGCGGCCGACGCGGACGCGGCATGGCGGGTCGTACGTCGATGGAGTGGGAAGCCTAGCGAAGGCGGCGAGGGCGAGGGTGATGGAGCATCAGTGGGAGGTGATGAGGATGGAGCAGGAGAGGAAGAATGCCCGTGGCAGTGATTTTGGCCTCGATATTAACCTGCGGGGGCTGCCGCAGCTGAGCGTGCGCCGTAAACTGGGGGTCTCGCCGGGGCCTCGTCAGCCAGCCCGTCGACTAAACTGCTTCCCGACACGCTCGCCTGTTTCCCTGGTTTTAGCACCAACCTTTGCCCCGTTGTGTCGCTACCCACGCAGGTACCGGCAAGACGGCCAAATGATGGATTTCATGGCTGTGCTTGCCATCGTTGTGGTTGAGCTTGATATCGCCTGTCTCTGACTCTACCCACCACGATACAGTCAGAAAGGGAGCATCCGACACTAGCCACGCCGCCCCAGCAACGCATGGTATCGAAACATGCACCTATCTGGCGTGAGCTATCCTGACGCTGACACGCCATCTCAATGTTACCAAGTCCGACTGCTGTCCTGCAGCAAGTACCACAATCTAGGTGCAAGATTCCTATTCGGGTGCTGAGGCGTTACCTTGGACCTATTCGCTGCGATGGCGAGACACCAACATGAAACAGATGATGTGAGCACTTCAGTAGCGACCTGATCTACTCAGCGGCAGGTTGCTGGCGATGGACAAAATACAACATGGCTTTCCGGACTATGCTTGATCATAGCCTCGAGCCCGTCGTGGCGCACAACTTCACTCGAGTCCGACATTTGCAGGCGTAACATGCGGAACAGGCGAGACCCGTGCACGCGCATCACGTGGTTCGCCCGCGCTCACTGCCAAACATGTGACACGACGAAAAGAGAACGTTAGTCTGCATCGTGCTCGTCTTACTACATTGATGTCTTCCGTAGTATACACTCTATCTAGTGTCGAATCCTTTGCGACATCATGCTTGCTCGCCCCACCCTTACATGCGCTCACGTCTCCGCGGTGCGCTTCGGATGATGTTGTCTACTCGCAACAGCAACTGGGTTATGTTAGTCCGATGCTCGAATCAAGTGAATTGGGTAAACTTACCTCCGCAGCCTCTGACGCTGACGACACCACCGCGCGCTTCAGCTTGTAGCTCTCAATGACGCCTAGCTCCCTCATGTCCGCAATGCCACCTCCAGGGGACAACAGATCCAGGCCTGAGCTGGTCAAGCCCGAGTAGACTGCTTTCCGGAGACGTGTGACCAGGTCGCTTGAGTCGAAACCAGCGTTATCGGCCAGGATGGTGGGTAGTTGTTGGAGCGCCTTGGAGAAGGACTCGACAGCAATGGCCTTCTTGCCAGCCACGTTTTGTGCCGCCTCGGCTACGGCCTTCGCCATGTTCATCTCGGCGCAACCGCCACCTAGCGTTGTCCTTGGCTCCTTGATAGTTTGTGATAGAACGGCAAGTGCGTCGTGTAGCGATCGCTCAGCCTCGTCAAGAAGCTGCTCAGTTGCACCACGGAGGACGATGGTGCATGCCCGTCCAGCATTGATGCCCGAGAATCTGATCAACACATCCTCTCCGATAATGACTTCTTCGACTAGATCGCAGTGGCCGAGCTTGACGTTCTCCGGGTGGTCGAACGTCGATGTGATCTCTCCGCCAGTGACCAAGGCCAGGCGCTCGATGCCGTCAAAGTCGGCGTGCTCGATGGAGCAGATGCCCGCATCCGCGAAGAGTTGCTCTGGCCAGTTATAGATGAGCTGTCGGTTGACGAAACAGTTGATGCCGTGTGCCTTGATGCGCTCGACCTTGGCCTTCATCTTCTCGCGCTCAGCCTTCTCTAGCTCAGCGAGTTTGCCCGTCGAATCAACCTTGACCCGTGCGCCGAAGATCTTGATCTTGTCCGTGTCCATGGCTGTGTTCGCAACGAGAATTTTGGCGTTTTCTATCCGCTTCGGCTGGTTCACACCGAACTTCTTGTCTAGGATGAAGCCCTCGTCCAGGTATGAGTCCTTCAGCTTTCCACCAGCCTTCTTGATGATCTGGATGTGCGTGAGGTCGGTCGATCCACCAAGCTTGAGGACGGCGTCGACGGCGAGTTTGGCAAACTGCTGTCGGTCCTGCGAGAGCACCTTTGAGCTCAGGGTTGTTCGGGCGATGGCCTCGAGATCCTTCCTGAAAGCCTGCTCGTCGCTGCTGTGGTCCACGGCGATCTTCTCCAGCGCCTTGAGAGCCGCAGAACTCGCTATCCTGTAGCCTTCGATGATGGTCTGAGGGTGGATCTTCTGGTCGACCAGCTTCTCGGCCTCTCGCAGCAGTTCGGCGGCAAGGACAGTGACTGATGTGGTTCCGTCGCCGACTTCGTCATCTTGGACTTTTGAGATGTTGACCAGGACCTTGGCAGCGGCGTTGTCGAGGGCAATCGCTTTGAGGATGGTAGCGCCGTCGTTTGTGACCATGATCTCGCCGGTCGAACTTGGGACATGTGAGCTCAAGTATACACGTAGTGGGGCAAAGTGCACCTACGCAGACTGTAATATCTTGTCCATGCCCTTGGGGCCCAGTGTGCTCTTGACCAAATCTCCGACGGCGATGGCTCCTACGAAGGCTGAGAGACGCGCATTCTCGCCCTTCTCCTCTGTGACATCCTCCGCAAAGATCTGGGTGGGGTTTGACTGCGTAGAAGTTAGTACTTTTGCTATTCTCGCAGTGAGGCGTGCGATATACCATCTTGAAATCACTTGTAAACAGGCAAAGAGGGGTATCTCGGAAGGTGTGGGGTTGTTGGCTTGTGGTGCCTGAACGCGACTTTTTTCTCGGCCTGCCCGCGTTGAAGCTGTGTTTGCGGTGTTTGCGCGAAGCTTCCCCGGCCAATGGTTCCACCGGAGCCCGTGACCTTTTGGATGCCTACAACTTTTGTTGCTTCACAACCGCAATTCCCTGGAAATCTGCTATAAACCTGGACACGTAGCTCCTCCCTGCTGCCGCTCAACTCTCGAATCGTCACAACACTTTTCCCCGCGCACAATGTCGAAGCGACCGGCGCTGGAACCGCTCGAGGAAGTCTACGACGCGCCTTCTCCAGCACCAAAGCGCGCCAGGGTCGAAGACGAAGAGATGGAAAGCCCTCAGGCCAATGGCGCGACTAGCAATAGTCATCTCATGTCTCCGCGCGAGCAAGACCGGGACAAAGTAGACATCGCAGGCGCATACGAGGAGGAGCATGCGGAGCTTGTGGAAGCCGGCGCATTAGACGACGACGACGACGACGACGACGACGATGACGAGCCCGCAATCGCTGCGCCGAAACGTCAGACGGCTCCAGAAGCTGGATACACAGACCTATATCTTGACACGATAAATCGCAAAGTCCTCGATTTCGACTTTGAGAAACTATGTTCCGTCACCCTCTCCAACATCAACGTCTACGCCTGTCTCGTATGCGGGAAATGCTACCAAGGTCGCGGTCCAAAATCACAAGCATACTTCCATGCGCTGGAAGAGGGTCACCACGTATACGTCAACATGGAGACAAAGAAGGTCTATGTTCTCCCCGAAGGCTATGAGGTGACGTCCAAGTCGTTGGATGATATCAAGTTCGTTGTGGATCCACGCATGAGCAAAGAGGAGGTCGCAAAGCTGGACAAAGAGCCCAAAGTGTCGTGGGACCTCTCTAACCGAGAGTATATTCCAGGTTTCGTCGGCATGAACAACATCAAAGCGAACGACTACTTCAACGTTGTGATACAAGCCCTCTCTCATGTTGCCCCCTTGCGGAACTATTTCATGCTGGAAGATCTGTCAACTCGACCACAGCTCGCACAGCGCTTTAGCACACTTGTCCGCAAGATTTGGAACCCACGGGCCTTCAAAACTCACGTCTCGCCCCATGAACTCCTCCAAGAGATTGCTCTTCGATCGTCGAAACGTTTTACTCTCTCCGACCAGTCAGATCCCGTCGACTTCCTCTCATGGTTCCTCAACAACCTCCACCTAGCAGTCGGCGGCTCGCGAACAAAACCCAACAGCAGCATAATCCAGAAAGTATTCCAGGGCACACTGAAAATTGAGCAACAAGAAATCACCGCTCGTGCAGATGCAGGCGACCGCCTCCGTTTCGAAGACGCAGCTGTCCAAACCGAGATATCCCGTTTCCTCGTGCTAACCCTTGACCTACCCGCAGCCCCTCTATTTCAAGACGCACTGGAAAAGAACATCATCCCACAAGTCCCTCTCGTCAACATCCTCTCAAAATACAACGGTGTGACTCCACAAGAGAAGTCGAAGAATCGCGTTCGCTACCGCCTCCTACACCCCTTGCCCCCTTACCTCCTCTTCAACATCAAGCGCTTCTCTAAGAACAAATTCGTCTCGGAACGCAACCCGACCATCGTCACCTTCCCTGTTCACTCCCTCGACATGTCACCCTATGTCGAGCCAAACCCGAAAGAATACCCACCTGGCGAGCCTATCTGGTATGATCTCGTGGCCAACATCACCCACGAGGCGGTCAAGAAGAAGGATGATAGTGTCGAGGGTGAACAGGAGAGCAAGGTTTGGAGAGTGCAGGTTAAAGACCGAGCGAGGGAGGAGTGGTATGGTATTCAAGATCTGTACGTCGAGAAGGAGAGAGGCGAGACGCTGTTTACCAAGGAAGCATATCTGATGGTCTGGGAGAGGAGAAGGGGGCAGAAACCAAAGGGGAGGTAGATAGAGGAACAAGGGGGTCTTGTATGAGTAGTTCAAGGAGTATGTTTGGGAAGATACCTTTTCTGGAATCGATTCGATGAGTTTCCTGCACATGTCCAGCATCGTATCGCCTTCTTGATGTTCTCTCTCATACTTTTCCTGCAATGACTAGTGAAGTGCTCTCAATTCCGTTCGGATCTTCTACCCGTGAACCAAGATTGAAGACATGGTATCCATTCTTCGACTTTACGAACTTGATCAACAAGCATCTCCGAATATTCAAGACAGGATTGTACCCCTAACCTTGCAGCATAACAGAAGAAGAAACTTGATATTGTCAAATGTGGTATTTACATCGAGTATACTATAACACAGCTACTCGCCATGGCATCAGTACTACAATCAACCCTTTCAACGCAGCGTCTTTAATCAACCATTACGACATCCCTCTCAAGACCCAACTGCGACGTGCCGTTTGTGATAGCCTTGACCTCACCAGCAACCTCGTCCATTTCCTTGAGAGTAAAGTCTAACAAATAACTCTCATCAACCAACTCCTCTACTCGCTTATAATGCCTCTCAGAGTACACCTTGATAGCATCTAGCACATCCTTCAGACTACCCTTTGCGCCAACCTTTCCTTGCGGCCTCAGACTAGCTAGGCGAGAAGCTGGGTACGACTTGACAATAGTCCATAGAATCTTCTGAGCGATGGGCGCGGTACGGACATTGGTGTTCCAGTCACGGAGGCGGATGAGCAGTTTGTATAGCTGTTCGTCTGCCAGAGAGCCAAGGACTTCGTCTACAGTGATGAGGCCTGAGAGACTGTCTGTATCCGGATTCTCCGTTTCTACTACGGATTTGAAGAGGGAGAAGAGACGGGCCGGTTGGTCCATTTGAAGTGCAAGGACGATAGCCTCGCGGTAGTTGCCAGCGTAGGTGTAGTTTTGTAGCTTTTGATCCAGTTCAACGCGTTCTGTTTCCGCTGTCGTGGCAGCTTCCAGCGTGGTGCTTGTCGTGTCTTCCCAAAATGTGATGACGCTATCTCCACCACCAGACACCAAAGCGCCGGTTGTTGGGTGTGCGACAAGTGCCCATACACGATCAGTGTGGTTGTCAAGTGTAGACATGGCCTCCCCGGACACTGTATCCCAGATCTTGACAAGTCCATCACCAGCTGCAGAAGCTATCTGTGGACCGCGCTTATCCCGTGCGTCGACGGGTCGGTAGGGCAACCACGACAGCTTCAGGACACTGTTCGAGTGGCCTTCTAGCGTGAGCAAACAGCTGTAGTCTGCTAGGCTCCAGATTTTGACCGTCTTATCTCCGCTGCCTGTTGCGATCAAGCCCTTGTTTCCCGAGTTTGGCGCTTGCGAGTCTTTGGGTGCAAATTTGACCGACCATACACCACGTTTGTGACCTCGAAGGACACCGATAGCCTCTCCTTCTGCTGCCGAATAGATCTTGATGGTACGATCCTGCGATGCGGATGCAAAAAGGGTTCCAGAGGGATCGATGTCGATGGCGTTGATGTCTTTGTCGTGTGCTTTGCGGGTGTACTTGGCTCGCAGTTTGCCCTTCATCTCTTTCGTAGTATCCCAACGCTTGACCGTCCGATCTTGAGAGCCGGTCACGATATACGCGGGTGGATGTGACAAGGGGTCGGTAAATGCGGCTGATGATTCTTGGGGTATTGTGTGTGGCAATGCAATCGCTCCGAGCGACTCCGCATGGCCGGTGAGGACTGCAGCACAGGTATACGACTCGTTGGCTGGGTCGAGACGCCATAACCGTGCTGTGTTGTCTTTAGCACCTGTAACAAGCCAGTGACCTGACCAATCTACGTCGAGACAGATGACGATGTCTTCGTGTCCTTTCAGCAACCCCACATCCGCACCAAAGTATCTGCCTTCGGTCGCGTCTTCTGCGTCGGATTCGTTTAGCGTGATTATCCGGATGTCCTCTGAATTGGTGTTAAGTGCTAGTAGAGTCTTGTCTCGGCCGACGTAGGCGATATCGATAACCTCATCGTGTGTTCCGGAAACGCGGCGGAAGATGGGTAGCGGGTCGATGGTCTCTTCGACGACGAGTGACTGGGCTGATTTGAGGGAGTAGAAGTTGAGTACTTGGTCGGCATGCACCGAGATCAAGTAGGGTAACGAAGGATAGTAGAGGATGTTGACAATCTCGTCCGTCTCGATTCCAGGCGCTTGGTCTCGGGTGAGCTCTCTTCCGCTGGACGCTGACCAGAGTCGTAGTCGGCCGTTCTCTCCGCCAGAGTATAAGATCTTCCCGTCTGCGATGAAGCCTGCGCTCTCGATGCCCTCTAGGGCAGCAATAGTGCGTTGCGCCTTCCACTTGTGTGAGTCCCAGACAATCAACGTCTTGTCTCTGCTGCCAGACAGAAGGACCTTCTCTTGCGGCGAGTACTGTAACGAGCGAACGACGGAGACATGCGAGTCGAGGACAGCGGCGCTCTTTCTCTTGTGCAGATCCCATATCCGTATCTTGCCATCTTCGGCACCAGACGCCAGTCGGAACTGTATCTGACTCTCGCCCTGGGCGTGGTCCAACTCAGCGCCTTCTTGCCGTGACTTCCTTTTCCTCTTTTTGTTGTTCTCGGATGCATCGTCGCGCTCAGCTACCTCTACCTCGAAGAAGTGCAGCGCCGAGACAACTCCACCATGGCCGTGGAAAGTATGTGTCGTGTAGCCACCGACAATGTCCCAAATCTTGACCACACCGTCTGCGCCTCCAGTTGCCACCAGTGTTCCCGTACGGTCTGTCGCTAACGTGACTACAGGAGATGTGTGCGGCCGCAATGTCCGAACAAGTTCGAGTTGGAAAGTTTCGTCGTCGGTATCGGAAGGCTTGAGGGCGAAAAAGCGCATGGAAAGCGATCGCGAGCATACTACAAGATGCGATGCGGACGGGGTTAGGGTTAGAGCCGTGATGGCCTCGCCGTCTCCCTCGACCCTCCCTAGCTCTTGCCCATTGGTGAGGTCAGAAAGAAGGACATCTTCACCCAAGCTCGCGGCCAGAATGCGCCCGTCTTCGCTGAGGGCTAAGCTTCCTCCTGAGTAGATTGGCTGCAGGGTACGACCAACCTCGTATGTAGTCTTGACTGCAGCTCTTTGCGCCGACATGTTGGATTGCAGAGTTGGTAGCGTCGGGTCTCTGCCGGGCTGCGAGGGAAGTCGCAAAGTGCTGCAGGAAAAAAGTTTATCGATAAGGCGAGTCGCAACCACGCGCTGGCGCCAAACGTCAGCGCGTCTGTCTCCCTCGGCCGCCAACTCGACTTCTGAAGCATGCATGCGTGCATTCACTGAACCCTCACTTGGATAGCACTATTGCCAAGATGCAATCTCTTTTTACTATTGCCTGTACCTGATGAAAGCCGGACTTTGTCACCACCATCATGGGCCGACAAGCTTATCTGGACAAGATCGCATTCGTATAGACCCCGCCAGTGCAATGCTCCAGTAGATGTCTAACATGCCTGCCAGGGACGGTCGGCCTTTGAGCCCACACAATCCGCCTCGCAGTCGACAGAATACGTTCAACTTGAGTCGTCGCAAGCTGAAATCCCACGGCGTTACCACGAGGCCACGGCCAACAACTACGTGCAGCTCTACGACGAACGCGGCAACCCCATCAACCCCGCTCCCACCAATATGGCAAGAAGCTTAGAGGCGCTCAGAACGATGTGCTGGCATCCGTCGGCGTAGTCGAGAGGAGACACTCTCCTGCTGAGGGGTTTCCGGGACCCAGTGAAGAGCGCCTCGAGCTGCTCGAGGCTGAGGATACAGTTGGAAATGCCATGGCATTGGTTACCACGCTTACGGAGAATCTGTGTACGTGGTGGGTAGGCACCATCAGGGAGAGGATTCTGGTAGCTTCATGCCATTTGTCTTTCATGGGCAACACTAACCTGGGCAGACATTTCGCTATCCCCATGTCCTCACCTTTGGCCAGATCGCGGCTTCCGAGCATGCCTTCTCTGGCGCTTCGATGGTCTATGCTGGCTTCGCCCCCCGCGTGTTTGCGACCATGAACACCCAAGCGATCGTGTATAGCACCTTTGTCTATCAACCCGTGGAGCGTTTGCTGTATGCAACACGTGCAAGCGCAAAGACACGGAACTTGTTCCGACGAGCCAAGACAGTCATCAAATCTAGGTAGGCCGCACATGTACCTTTCTGGTCCTTACTAACCGGCTCAGTTTTCGCTTGGGCCTTGAGGTTCTGTTCTACCCGTTCTTCTACCACGCCGCTTTGCAACGCCTTGGGCTGGTCCCCGCTCGCCCACTGCTGCCAACCTGGACAAGTCTCATTCCCTACTCAAGCTCATCGCCTCTACTGCCATCCTCCTTGCAATACAATGCCTTCAACTCCATCACGGACTGTATTGGAGCAGTACTGGCTTCGCCCGTTATTCTTTTATGTGCTGAACACTCAATCGAACGCTGGATCTACGCTTGTGTCTATGAAGCAGTCGAGACAGCCATCATCCGTCCTGACAAGCCCGACATACCCAGTCGAGACGCCAATGGGAAAGACCGTGCTTTGACCGTTCTTGGGCTGCGACGGGAGTCACCACTTCTGATTCGCAATGCCATTCACAGGCTACTTGCAATGCTCGGCTGGGCGCTACCGAGTTCGCCGCCGAACACGCAACGGAAGCGGACTATCGAGCTTGCAACCACAATTACTCCAAATGACGGCGAGATAATGCAAGTCGGTAGTACTCAGGTTACCAACGCTACCCCACTGAATCTTCCCACCCTCCAGCCCCAAGATCAGCCTGCTACAGAGCCGCTCGATGCAGATGTAATCACAATTCCAATAGATGCGTTCCAGGATTTGATACGATCCACGACTCCACCAGGATCACCAACAGAATCAGAGCAAAACGAGAACGACCCTCGGATACGCATCACTTCAAGGGAAGGTATCGTAGAAATGGAAGTGCGTTTACCGCCTAGAATACTTTCCACTCACACGGACGTCGCAGAAGCCTCGGGTTCCTCGCGAGAGGATGCAGCCGCTGAGTCGCGGAACCGAGCACGCTCAACAGCCGGCCATGTATACCACCGCGTCACTCAACTCTCGTGTGAGCCTGCACAGATGATCAGTGCAATGGTGAGAGCTCAGCTTGTCGGTCTTGCCATGCTTCCGTTTAGGATGGTCACTTTGCGAGCGATTGCTTCACACTATCTGGCCAACCAAGGCGGGTATGCGGGGTCGTATCGCGTTGTAGGTCCACTGGGACTCCACAACGATGTAAGCTGGCAGAACATTGGTAACCAGCTCTCACGCGTAGCGCTCTGTGGTGCATTGGAATTATCTATCGATCTTGGCTTGTGGGGACTGCAATATCTGGCCATCACAAAGTTTGGGCAGAGTGTCTTCGGATGGGGTACACTATAAGCGAACCACTCGCTTCGTAACATGCTCTTGCATTGCACTTACCACCCAGGTGGGACACGTTCGCTCGTCGCTGATGTCTATGTGTTCGGCAACACCCGATGCAGTGGCCTTAGAGTGGCGCCTTTGCACGTTTCACGAGCAACTAGACTCGAGTGCCGGCATGGATAATGCTCCGAAGAAGAAGAAGCAGTGAGCAGTGCACAGCGGCCTCCCCGCGATTCCAGTGGGTTGGCTTTTGGTTGGTCACGGCGATCGGGCATACTTGGTCACGAGCCCACTCGATACAGTAGACGTTGGAGCGGATCGATGATGTGTGTTGTTGGGGCATACGCATAGAGGAAGATTGCCGGCAGACGTTTGCAAGACATAGTGGCTCGGAAGGCAAAGGCGGCAGCACGTGCAATGTGGCGCTCTTCCCGCCAGCGCCAACGCGTTCGTCTCACGAGGCTGGCGCGATGCAATGCAACTACCGAGACTGATTGGGGGAGCGAGATGCGACATCGAGGTTTGGTCAACAAAAGCTTTGTGACACGGAGATTGCGAATAGTTCTGTGGTAGAGCAATGGCATGCCGCAGGGGCAGAGAAGCGAAGGATGGTCGGCATGATTGCCTGTGCAGGGGCGGATCAGCAAGGGATCGTCTCTGGGGCTTTACAAATACCGTCGACGCAAGCCGTCACTACGGAAACGTCGCTACCAGATAAGCCGTGAGATTCAGACAGAGTAGTAGTGTGCGTAATGCCCGCTGGTGCAAAGCCAAATGGCGCGCAAAGGACAAGGCAAAGGTCGTCAAAGGACTTCTGCCATAGGATGATGGCATATAGCCGGAATGCTACGCGAACAGGGCAGGGCAAGGGTCTGCAGATAGCAGCTGTGGGTGCGGATATGTACGCTTGGACTGAGGCTGGCGTGGGGCTAACGTCTTTGGTGCGTAGAGGCAACATGGGGGGAAGAAGGTCAACCCACCACGAGTTGAGTATTGTACCCCTTTTCCATCCTTTCCCAGGGTCGAAAGAGGGTCCTGCCTGTGATTTCTTCGCCGTCTCCACACGGCACGACTGTGAAGTGTAAGAAGACGCCTCCCACCCGTTCTTTGCTTTGCACGGAGTTTTCGTCGGTCGTTCCTTTCTCGGGCCCCTGCGCATGCACCGAGTCCCAGGGGATACCCACGCTTGGGCTTTTCGGCGGCCACCACAACCTACCATCCATCCCATCGCCGCTCCTTTTTCCCCACCACGCCAACACACTGTTTGCCGACTTCACGCTGAGAGATTAGACCCTGAGTGCTCTCGCATCGCATCTTCACTCTCGCTTCCGCCTCCGACCCCCTTCACGCACCCCCGACGATTGCTAGAGTGGCTCCAAGCCCTTACGTCAATCGGCAGTATCCACTGCACCTACCCGTCTCCGCTACATTACATTTCGCGCTTGCTTCCCGCCGCATCCAGGTCCCTGCCTGTCCAAGGCTGACGCATATCCAACAAAGGCTGTATCTCTCCCCCGCATACACAGCCAGCTTTTCCAGCTTCCCCAGCCTGTTCGAGTTCTGGTCACGACTACTGGAAGGCTGCGCCGGACATGTGCACTGTAGCATAGGCCACTTGGAAAAAACAAAGGCAATCGGGCCAAACACTACAGCGCCAGCACCCTTCCAGCCTGCAGTAGCATTCGTACATACGCGCCACCCCCATCACAATGTCGGTCAACTCGCTGCCTCGCCCGTCGCGACCGTCGATTGCTCCTCCAACGGGACCCTTGCCCTCGCTGCCCGTTCCAAAGCACAGAAGCTCCAATGTCGGTCCGACAACACGAAACTCGTTGCTCCCGGGTGCTGCCAATACACGCGCTGTATCTTCGTCTTCGCTGCCCTACAGACCGACTTCCAAGCACCTCACATCGCCGTCGGTGCCGTCGTTCCCACCCGAAGCTGGTTCTGCCGGATCGCTGCCCGTTGGAAAGTCGCTGCGCAAGACAGTCAGCATCGGTTCCTTTCCACAACCACCCAGACATGGGGGGAGGTCAAATCCAACTAGTCCGCTGTCGACGAGTTCGACGCCTGGCGGAGACATGGTCGATCGGAGAGTGTCATCCATATCCAAAGGTCAAACGCCTTCTCGGAATAATAGCCTCAAGAAGCCACGAAGCTCCAACATTGGAGGAGCGCGAGGCTTGCTGCCAAAATCACCTCTGTCGCCTCCAAGTTTACTCAACGGAAGCGCGGATTCTGTCACAGTAGAGACGGCCCATCTCAGTCTCCCTCACCACCGCAGAGTCGCAACTCTTCGCCCCAGGGCTCGTACGCAACCAGCGCAACCACATTCGAGGACGGAGAGGACGGACGCGCAGATGGCAAGGGACACAAGGACGGCAAAGGCAACGTCATTGTGAGCGTCCGAGTAAGGCCTGATGCTGGGGCCAAGGATAATAAACATGACCTGGAGTGGGAAGTCAACAACAAGCGCGCATTGATAGCCTACAAGGGCAAGGAGGGTGGGGACTACATATATGGTATAGTTGCACAACGGGGCGGAGGGTGATTGAGCTGGAGCTAACTTGGTCTGACTTAGACAACGTATTCGACACCCAAGACAACAACGCCCGCGTATACGATGCTGCAGCCAAACGACTTGTCCGGAGGGTCATGGAGGGCTACCACGGCACCGTCTTTGCTTACGGCATGACTGGAACCGGCAAGACGTTTTCTATGCAAGGAACTGCAACGAATCCTGGTGTCATACCACTCGCTATCACTGACATCTTCTCCTACATCCGCGAGACGCCTCAGCGAGAGTTTCTCCTGAGAGTCAGCTACATTGAAATCTACAACGAAAAGATTATCGATCTGCTGGCAGGACCTGTTGTAGGCATGAATGGCCAGACCGGGCCCGTCGAAGAGATCAAGCTGCGCGAGGACAGCAAACGGGGTGTCTATGCGTCGCCACTGAAGGAAGAAATCGTGCAGAGTCCGACGCAACTCTTGAGGGTCATTGCCCGAGGTGACAACTCAAGAAAGGTGGCGGGTACCCAGTTCAATGCGCGCAGTTCCCGCAGTCACGCTGTGGTCCAGATTGTTGTCGAAAGCAGAGAGCGCGCTCCCGGCCCGGCAATGAGCGGTGACAAACGATCAGCCATTGTCCCTGGTGGTGTTCGTGTTTCGACGCTCAGTTTGATCGATTTGGCTGGTTCTGAAAAGGCTGCCGATAACAAAGAAAGACGAACTGAGGGCTCCCACATCAACAAGAGTTTGCTTACTTTGGGTACAGTCATTGGACGGTTAGCTTCCGACAAGGACAAGTCTGAGAAGGACAAGGGCAAGGGCGATAAGCATTTGCCATACCGAGACAGCAAGCTCACCCGACTTCTTCAACCCGCTCTCTCTGGTAACTCACTGGTCAGCATTCTCTGTACAATCCAGATCGGAGCAAGTGGGAGTCCTGCTGCCGTAAACAGTCACACGGGTGAGACACTGAATACGCTCAAGTTCGCCTCCCGAGCCAAGAACAACATTGTCAGCCACGCCAAGAAAGCCGACGAGTCTATGGGTGCTGGTGGAGACGCTGGAAGTCGAGCGCTTCTGGATCGCTACCGCCTAGAGATTGAGGAACTAAAGAAGCAGCTTGCGGAAGGCAAAAATAAGGAGCCCAAGGAAGAAGAAGATGACGAGCTGAAAAGAGACAAGGAGGAAGAGAAAGCGCGCGAACTGGAAGACAGGCAACGGCACGAAGAACAGATGCTTGAGATGCAACTAGCCCGAACCGCCCTGAAGGAGCGTATCGAACATCTCAACAGGCTAATTTTGAGTTCCAAGTCTCTCGGTGTGAACAATGGCCGATCCTTCTCTTCAATGAGCTTCCAGCGCGGCTCCGTCATGAGCAATAACCACCACGACATGCGCCCAAGCTCTATACGCTCCTCCGCAAGCCATGCCACGCTCGAAGTTCCAGGTAAAAGACAAAGCACACCGCACCTTCACATGGACGGCTCCGAGGAAGACGACTCGGTTGGGGAGAATGGCGACGGCATTGCAAGTCAGACAGTGCAGATCCAAGCACTACAAGCTGATCTTGCGGATAAGAACCGTTACATCGCTACCCTTGAGAAGCGCCTGTTGCACGCCCGGCGGTCCAGTCATTCTCGTGTCTCCCTGTCGTTGTCGCACAAGCTCACAAACAGCGAGGAGGGTGGCATGATTGCAGCCCTTGCCGAAAGAGACAACGAGATAGTCAACCTGCGCGCACAACTAGAGGACAAGGAGCGTATGATTGGCGCCCTCACGTCAGCTCGCAAGAAGAATGACAACGCACACGAGATGGGTAGTGAATCACCAGGAAGCCGGCGCACGTCATATTATCAACGCAGCGGCAGTGACGGCAGTGGGATCAGCTTGCCGAAAGGTCCAACATCGCCTGCACTCAGTGTAAAGACTCCCTTTCTACCTCCTCCAGCTACCAATGGCTCAACCAAGAACATCGAAGAGATGACGCGTATGCTCGACGAGATGATCACCGGTCGCGTTGAGAAGACTGCAAGGCGAAGCAGTCTTAGGCCGGTTACCGAAGGACCATGATTTTGCCCAACGCAGAGGGTGGCGAGAGTTAGCTGTGAATCTTGCTTGAGCGAACAAACGAATCAGTTTAATCAGGATGAAACGAAGTACGGTAATGAGGATGAAGCAAGAACGTCAACAACGAGGGGCGCGCGGGGCACAGTACTTCCACTTTCCTTTCTCTCTTTCAGCAAACACATCCTCAATTACGAGGATACACACATTAGCGACAGGCGTTTATATGGAGAAATGGAGTAATGATTGGCCACCAGGAATAGGACTGGATGGAAAATTCGGCAAATAGCGTACAGGATTGTGTTACGCACATGGGTTATTGAAGGGGGCGGCTTTTCTGCTGCTTGTTTAGTCACATTGCGATGCGGCCTGGAAGGATTTTGTAACACTACCACTTTTTTGTTTCTTCACCTTTCCTGTGCCGAGGGACTTTCGATCTGATACCCCCCTTTATATAGCTTTTCTCGAATCTTTTGTTGTTTGCGAATACGATATGGGAGCTATGAAGAATAGCTTCTATACTTGTCTCGATGACATGTGTTCTGCAATCGGGTTCCAACATGCCGTCCTAACATGTGCATCTTCGATCAAAGCAAAACAATTAGCTATCGCCTATGGTTCATGAGACGAACGCGCAATACGATAAGTGCCGTCTCGCTATTCGTGAGCTTGTCTTTGTAAGATTCAAAGCGCTAACACGTTGGCAATTTACAGATATGTACTCCGAGGCTGTATATAGTACGAGCTATACGGCACGGCGGAGCTTACTTGCCGTGCCTCGGGATTTTAATGTCGATCGCCAGGTGCAGTCTTACTGCATGTCCTGCATGACGTTCTAAATAGTAAACTTCCCTTAATATATTTGCCTGTACATCTGACTATGTGCCCTCTAGTCCAAACTGGCAGCAAGCGAATCAGCTTACATTTGCAAAGATCCCAAGCCGCCATTGGTGTAAGCAACTAGTGGTGTCACTGTCATGTGGTTTTGGCTACTCGACTCTAGCATCGACTGCGTTTAGCGCCGGAGCAGTGCGTCAACGTTGCACTAGAAGGCACTTCTGAAACAACGACACCCTGGCCCGTGCACATACGACAAAATGAGGTCCCCTCCTGCGCCTTCCGCATCCTCGTTGCAACCTTCCTGGATCAAGCAAGTGCGATCTCACGCAATCTTACCTTCGATCCTGTCTTGGTCTCTGCAGCGCTTCTTGAATCGTCGCTTACTGGCCTATTCCGTTTTGTAAGGGACTCGGGCGCTCCTTGATGGAGATCATTTCACTGCGGGATCCTGCTCGGACATCGGATTGTTTCTGGTTGTGAAACTCGTCTCGCGCCAGGAGGGGCCCTCTTTCAAGATACACCTAAGGTTTGCCCGCCCTTTTGAATGGCTTCTTGGACGGCTCTCTTCTCCTTCTCCCTTTGATTAGTATCTCGAGGAAACGAGGGGATTGAGTTATACATTCTTGTACTTTTTTTTTTCCAACTTGTCTTGCTTGTTTGATAGGCGGTGCCTACGTCCCCTCCTTTGACTACTATTACATCTTTACTTGCTTGTTGGAGCGTTCTCTGCAGGGTCAGAGGTGACGTTTCCCTACCTGCATATACGGGCGTTACAGCTTCGTCATCACAGTAGTACCGTATACTGCAGAAAGCCGCCCGACTTGGCCGATACCCTACATTGTCCTTCTACACGAACGCTGATAACGAGTACGCCGATCACTTCAGTCCACCAAGTCTTTGACATTCGACATGCTGAACCAGGCTGCGAAGAAGTTCTCCAAGATGCATGTTAGACGGAATCCGAACCTGTCTATACAGGCGACAGCACACTACTCACAACTAAGCCCGCCACCCCAGTCTGCTACCTCGAGTGCTTTCCTCTCTCCTACGGTTCCTTCGAGACGTGGACTGCTTGCGAGATCCCCGCCGCCGAGCCCGAGCCTTCCTAGTCTGCTGCCGAAGCATGGCAAGAAGACTACACAGCCGAGTCATTCGAAGTTGGTGAAGCGGATACTGATAGGGTGCTGTGGAGTAGCGTTCTTACTCTGGATTGTGCTGAGGCAGATTTACGCAAACTCGCAGGGAGCGGCCACTTATGAGGATGGCAGTGATGAAGAATGGGAGATGGTTGGTGGCAGTCAGTTGCCACACGAGCCTGTTGCTCTTGCGCTCCAGGATGCCAAGGGAAAGATGAGGTGGACTGTATCGATACCATCCGACTACGAGTTTCCACTTCGTCCGGCACAGTACCGTGATATATGCCATCAGTCTATGGAAGTGTCCAAGGAGATTAGTCAGGAAGCAAAGGCTTCGGCTGGCTTTGCCAAGAGAATGTTGAACTACTACCAGCAAGATCAGTATTATATTGATGTCCAAGAAGCGGAACAACAAGGTCTGTTGCCATCAACCAAGGCTACAGGAAGACCGAAAGGCTTTGTTGAGGACGAGGCTATCAAGGATGGTATCTCTACGGAAGGACTCAAGGTCTGTGACAGGACCTTGACATATGTTATGGAAACGGAAGATGCAGGCTTTGGCAACACGCTGATGCGTTTGTGGATGTCGTATGGTTTGGCGAAAGCTGAGAAGCGCGCCTTCTTCGTTGACGACACTCGTTGGTATGTCTCCCAATACCCAACTATCTGCTGCTAGATACTGACACCACTATCAGGCCTTATGGCAAGTACTCCTCTTACTTTCAACCTCCACCCTCCGCCAATTGCCTTCCGCCTCCTCCCTCCCACATTGTCCCATGCCCTCACACCGCCCGCCACATCGTCGTCAGCGGAGCGACGCTAAAATCTACCTTCGGTCACTCCTTCACAGACGAGTGGGAAGACCCAACAAAGATGGGCGTTCAACGTCAATCAAAAATCTTCAACCTCGCCCGAACCGGCTACGAAGCCCTCTTCAAACTCCGCTCAGATGATGAAGCCTACGTTCTCCAACGAGCGCTAGACATGTACGGAGAAGTCAAGAGCGAGGGCGGCCTCAGCATCGCCATGCACGTCCGCCACGGCGACAAACACCCCATGGAATACCAATACCAAAAAGACTACATCCCCCTGGCCCGCTACGTTGACACAGCCCGCGACCTCTACATCGACCTCGTCGAAGGTGGGCTTAAGAAGAAAGCCAAGCGGAATCTGCTCTCCTCCCCTTCTCCTCATCAACGGACCCCTTAGTCCCCCGCCACACAACCTCCAAAATGATCCTCGCCTCCGACGACCCCCTCGTCTACGACTCCCCCGAGCTAGGCCCAAACAGCATCCGCGCCCAAGACCGCATCGTCCTCGCCACAAAAGCCGCCCTCGAAGCCGCCCAATCGCAGCCGAAGAAAAACACTTGGATCGATGAGATCACCGGATGGGAAGGCGGATTTTACCGCGACGTCTTCTTTTCCCTGGGGCAACCCGTTGGTAACGCTGAGGACCTGAAGAAGGTTAATGACGATAAGGTTGCTGCTCCTGAGAGCGCGATGAAACTAAGGGAACTTGTTGGGCGCGCGTATTTGCTTGATCTGAGCGTGTTGGGCAAGGCAGATACGGTAGTTTGTACGGTTAGTAGCACCAGTTGTAGATTGTTGGCTGTTATGATGGGGTGGGGAAGTGCGGTGCGGGAGGGTAAGTGGAGGAACATTGATGGGGCGTTTGAGTGGAAGGGGATCATGTGGTAAGGGCTTGTTTCTGTTTCTGCTGGGTGGATTTGGCTATCGTGGAAGGTGTATGTGTGTGTAGAGATGAATATGAACAGCCCAAGGGTAGCTTGTCTTGCATCTCTTTATTTCATCTTTCTGGACTTCAAGTTGTGGCATGGAGGAGGGTTTCACATTGTACGACGCTTGACAACATTCCATGCATGACGCTAACGACGAACACTCGTGATGCAGAGCGTTAACTATGAACATACCATAATGAGATTGTAGAAGAAAAAATCATGTCTCAAAGCTCTCGAACCGGACGCCTGCGTCAAAGACAGGCGCCGACTGTGCCTCGGTTAAGGCAGTCGGCTATGAGATCGCCGCTATCGACTCCTCACGAACAACATACAAAGGCCACCCCGGTCGTATCTCCACTCCAGATCAGTAATCCCTCTGTTCTATTCCCCGATTGGGAGAATAACACGGCCAACCATGTCTCAGCCGAAAATTACCCTTTACGTTGACATTGTCAGCCCGTTTGCTTACATTGCTTTCTACATATTGAAGGTAAGTTTGTGCACATGTCACTTGCTTTGATGGATATTGGAGATGGTATACATATGTATCGCAGTGCTGACAAAAATCTTCTGGATAGAATTCGAAGGTTTTCAAGCAGGTTGAAGTGGACTATGTGCCAATTCTGCTCGGGGGTTGATGAAGGTCTGTGAGAACACACCGCCGTTGAAAATAAAGAGTATGTTCAACTTCCCGTCTCTGCAAAGAATGTATCTGGTATGGTCCGAGTAAAAGAACAACACGAAAGAGAAATACAACTGCCGACCCAGTGGACCATTATCGGAGTCACGGCCGTTTGTCTACACCTCTAACACACACGCTAGACAAGGACAAATGGATCAACACAGAGCGCCAGCGCTTATCGAAACAGTTCAACGTTCCCATATCGCAGGATACTCCACCCGGCTTCCCAATCAACACATTACCCATCCAACGTGCCCTAGCTTCCCTCTCGCTCTCGCACCCCCAAAACCTTGAACGCGCCATTGACCTTTTCTACAAGAACTTCTGGGCAAAATGGAACGACCCGATCAAACTGGAGAACCTGCTTGCTATCCTTACGACCGTTTTAGGCAGTGAGGAAGAGGCAATGAAAGTGGTTGAGAGGACGAAGACGGAGGAGGTGAAGAAGGTACTGGGTGGGAATACCAATAAGGCGTTCGAGGATGGGGCTTTCGGATTGCCTTGGTTTGTTGCTACGAACAAGAAGGGGGAGACTGAGGGGTATTGGGGCGTCGATCATATGGGTCAGCTGTGTGATCATTTGGGTATTGAGAGGCCTGAGAGTAGGGAATGGCGCTCGTTGTTGTGAATAGATGTACTATGGGCGGATACGAAAATGGATACAGTCGCGGACGATGCCTTTCACGAAAACTTCTGACGAACCTCAGCACTGATTTCCAATTATCCTGCCAATAATGAAACGATGCTCTGAACCATGCTGGAAGCTGATCGAGAACTTGGCTAGTGGTTTAGTCGTCTCCAGATCCAACGATGACCTCGATGATCGGCTCGTTATGGCTCGTATCACACTGGTCGCGTGTTTTCCTCTTTTCACTTTGTTTACCTGGACTTTTAGCCTGCGAGAGTGCGAGCACGATAGGATATAGACCACCGAACTCATGATCTCTAGGTCACCACCTGGTTACGTCAGTCATTACATGTCAACAGTATTTTGGCGGGCCGTAACTACGCTATCGCGACTGGCGTTGTCATCTTCCACAGTACTCGATTGTAAGTTGCCTGCCTGGGAGCCCACTGCCCTAGGTGTCTCGTCTTGTATGCTTCATTTATTCCCTTCCACAACAGAAAGCACAGATATCTTACTTAGTGAAAGTTGTTCTGGCGTATTCGCGAGTCTGCCCCACCAACTAGATCTACTGCCACCGCATTCCTCTATATCGTTTCTACTACCCATACTCATTTTCTCAACCGCCTACCCGCTGTTCTTACGGAATGGATTATTATCGACGAAATGAACTTCCCGAGACAGTCAAGCGTTACAAGACGTACATCGACCAATTTCAGGCGTGGCTGATCAAGGCGGCGATTCAGCGTGGTGTAGAAATCGCAAATGTAGCCACAGACCAGGCTAGAAGAAAAAGGGCAAGAAGGGCTACAGGATACCATTACAGAAACAAGAGCAACTCGTCAACGCCATCGCCGCCACGAGCGTTCCACTCGCAGACACCTCAGGAATCAACGACCTTGACGACGCTATCCGCCTGAGGAGGGAGATAACACAATATCACAAACACAACAATACAGCGGATTTGGGTCATGAATACTTCAACGGGAGCCTGGAAGCGCTCATGGCAGCGTTGAAAGGTCTCATCCCCGGAATAAACAAGGTTCAAGATCACAAGAATGACAAGTCTACCTTTGTGTTCATCCAGATTCCCACCAGGCCTAAGACAAGCCAAGACGAACAGGATGTTTTGTTGGAGAAGCTGCGGAAACGGGACAGATCCGACTTGGAGGAAGACGGCCAGCAACATCGAACTTCGACGCCCAAGGCGAAGAAGAAGGTACCGATACCAGAAACGAATCCGTTGACTGCAGAGGAAGAGCAGTTGCGTCGAGAGTTCCTTGTACTCTGCTTCCTATACAACCTCAACCGTATACGGGATGTTGTTTACGAGGTGTGGGTTCTCTACCACGAGGGTCTCGTCAATGCAATTACGGCGGCTTTGGTGTCTGACCTTGCTCAGGACCATGTACACCAAAACGTCGAGGCACTAGTGGAAGAGCTTGATCTGTTACCTAGAGAATTGGCTACAATTATCCGTCAGCTTTTTGATAAGATACAAACTGCTCCTGATACCAGAACGCAAGGCTTAGCGATAATACCTACTGAAAAGGCATTGCGCCACCTGTTTGGTCTGGATGCTGCCGCTTTGGTCAAGATTTACATTACGGAGACACGCTCAACAGAGAACATCGTCAACGACGACATACGAGAGCACCCTCTCATGCTTTTCTTGGGGTTCTTCGACGTCATTCGCAAGGGCAACCTCAAGCTCCCAAAGTGGGACCACTTCACCAGAGAGATGCTGCTGCGTCAGGATACATCACAAGATTACCTACCTTTCGGCTTGAGCATAGTCCTCGATATCCAGAAAGCAGTGAGCGAAGACTATCGCCGAATGATACGCGACCTTACCGAGCATGGTCTAGATATCGCTAGATGCATTCTTTGCCATGTCGATTACGAGGACCGCATGTGGATGAAAGGAACAAAGCCCGACTATATGTGCAAAGAAGAAATCAAGATCAGCACCATACTTCTCAAGCCTCTAGACAGACTGTTGGAATGGCTACAGGATCTTCTGAACTCCCAAGAAAAGCCAATGACCGCTAGTGTCTTCATCACTGTCCATGCGACGCTCGCAGGACTCTCTATGTGGCACTTCAATCAGATCTACCATCACACTGCGATCATCAAGATACAGTGGTTCATCAACGGTTTGGCTCATCTATATAACGCCGCCTGCCAGATTGGAGGTCTGAATATCTGGTGGCCAGACCTCGACTACCTGATCAATATGCATGGGTCCAAGGTTATGTTCCGGGGCGATCCACCCACTCACCCAAACGACTTCCTCAACCGCTATCTTCTCTCGAGCCACACTAGTAGTCGCACTATGGCCTCGGATTTTCGTAGCACGTGCAATTTCCTACCTCGTGTGTCGAAAGAATTCGGTACTAAGCGCGGCTTACAGACTGAGTTGCCGTTGGATGCTAAGATTCGCGAATACTATGGTCCAAATCCGGACAACGATCGTTGGCTGAGGCGCCACGCGGTCTTCAACTACCTCTACCGACAGAAGGAGGCTACTACGGATACGCCAGACGATGACATCGAAGAAGCTGATCAAGATCTGAAAGACCTGCAAGATACTTTTGCAAATCTAGCGACCAAGATCACGCCTCCAAAACCAAGGCGCAAAGGCAAGAACAAGTCCAGGGTACGCAAACCCGATTTCAACAAGCAAGACGAGATACACGCCAATCTCTTTGGTACCATGAAGTCAGAGCTGCAAGACAGCGAAGTACACAGTAACTTTGACTTCCTTTCGTTCTACCGCCGCGCCTACGACCTCGTCCTGCGTATCCGCGAGGAAGTCCTCATGAGCGACGAAGCCCGGCGCTTCCGAGCTGAAGACATGAATGCGAATCCAGATCCTCCAAACTTTCAACTCATAAACGATCTCTTCAGGGCGTTGCAGATCGAGCCCAAGACTAAGAAAGAAAAGGAGGCGGAAGCAGAGGAGGGCGCTGGGCAGCAGCTTTCGACCAAGGTTGTGCCGTTGAAGCAGATTCGACGTGTTGCTGAGATGATGCTGGATTTGACTCGTGGTAAAGGCGATGTGGAGTTGATGCGCGCGAAGCTGCGGGTTAAGGGAGATTGGGAGGGTCTCAAGGCTTCGTATGCTGCCGAAGAGGCGGAGAAGGAAACGCCTGTCGTCGACGACACTATCGTGCAGGTGGAAGAGGAGGCGGTACTTGCGGTTGCCGAAGATAGGGCCGGTGTTGAGGCTCCACTACGCCTCGACGATGGCGATCATCGAGTCAAGCCCAAGTTTGAGGCGGATGGAGACTCAGAGGATAGCCCGATATATACGCCTGGCAGCCAACTCTTGGGACAAGAACATGCAGAGAACGATCTGGAAGACATCCTAAACCAGACTACTATTTTAGAGATTACAGATACCGCCACCGATGTTCAGGATAACGAGGTTCCATCAGGCCAGGAAGACAGAAAGAACGACATCAAGCGTAGGTACGAAGCAGACGAAGACTCTGAGAAGAGCACAGCCTACTTACCTAGCCCCGGCGACCAGATCGACAATTCTGCCGAAGACACTCGCTCTCAACGCATTCTCACTTTCGTCGCTCGAAAAGTAGAGCAGAGCCATTCCTTGGATGGACAAGTCCGACAGATCATCAGCACCGCAAACTCGACTTCCCTCGCAGCACTCATCCATGCTGACGAACTCTATGACGCAGCACCCATGGCTCGCTCACCATCTGGTATCAAGAATGGAACCAGGCCAAAAGAAGTTTACGACCGCATAACCTACTCCAGCACCACGTCCCGGAAACACCACATCATCACCGTTCATCCTTCCCGTACCTCCAAGGAAACTAAGATTCTAGCTCTATCTCAGCCGCGTAGAGGCTTCTTCCGCCGTCTCACAGGCACTGCTAGTAAACACCACGTCGCATTTCGCTGCTACACTCGATGCGGTATGGCGCGCGCGCTGCATGGCCAGCAGACTCGTCTACAGCGACAGATGGCGATTGCTGTTGTGGAGCTGAAGAAGAAGAAGGCAAGACGGGATTCTGCGGAGTTGGAGAAGGTGTGGTTAGGTGCTGGGGATGGGGATGGGTATATGGGAAAGGTTTGGGAGTCGGAGAGTGATGTTAGTTTGGACTGAGGGTGGAGTAGAAGTAGCAAGTAGGAGAAGAAGGGGTGAAGGTCACAGGTTTGGATTAGGGTGAAGTGGCATCGTTGAGCTAGCATGGCAGTGCGATTGGATCGAGCTACGAGGCCCTGGTAATGATACAACATCTCACGATAAACGATCTAAAATACACACCAACGTGCGTCACACTGAACCCCCTCTCCCATGTAACCCCATTATCCCACACTCACCCCTCAAACATCTTCGTAGTACTAACGTTAATCCGACTCCACCCTTTCCCCCTCCTCAACGCTTCCAAAAACTTCGCTGGCCAATATAGGTGATACAAAACAAAAAACGGCACCGGGTCTTCAAACAAGTACGTTCCATCCTTCCAGCCTACAACATGACTCCAAAAGGTCGCTAGATCGTTAAACGCATTCTGTAGCGTCGTGACGCCGAACAACAAATCGAGAAGTGGTAAGATGACGAAAGATACCAGGTCATGTCCGATCCAGTAGTAACTGTACGTCGGGGTGCGAGGGAAAACAGGACCAGACTTGTTTTTGGAGGTCAAGGGGTTAGGGCTGTCGAATATGGAGAGGTATGCTTCTGCCATCTCGGGAGTTTGCTCGAACAGTACGACTGCCGTGTGAGCGCGGGGGTTGGATTCGATAGGGTAGAATTTTGCAGCCGCACCCTTATCATCATTCTCGACTAAGAAGTCGAAACTCAAATGGCCCGTAAAGGTTTCGCCGCCGTCCTTGCACACGCGCTCGGTGAATTCGAGCATCTTCTTACTGAGGGGGGAGGAGGCTGGCAGCGGTTCGTAGTGCATGAGGAGTTCTAAGCTGGGGCAGCTGGTGAAGGCTTTTACTTTGCCGCCGATGACGAGGGCGTGTGTGCAATATTCGTTCCCTTTGATGAATTGCTGGAGCTGGAAGGGGTTTTCTTTGCTGATGTTGAGCGAGTGGATGTATTGGGCTGTTGCATCTGGAGTACTAAAGGGCAGGAGGGTCATCATGTTGTTCCGAGCCTTGTCGTCCACTCCAATGGGTTTCATGATGAATCGTCGCCTGGGTACCGGTCTTCCAGATTTCGTTGGCGTTCTATGAAGCTCTCCCATGAGCACATCGAGGGCTTCGCCTGGATGAGTGCAGCGGTGCGATTCCGGGATCGGCAGACCAAGGGATTCGATGTAATCGATGAATTTGTCCTTCTCGTGGAACTTCTCAACAACATCTTCCCTGAATTGGATGGCTTCGAACTGGCGGCCTTGTTCTTTTGCTTGCTTCTCTGCTAAGCGGACGACTTGACCGTCTTCTACGGCTGCAACGACACTGGAGCAGCTGATCCATAGGTCCACTTTCTCGCGCTGAATGATTGAGAGAATGGAGTCAATATACGGGTCCGCATCGTCGCCACTCGGTGTGTCCAGACGGTAGTACCTCGCAATAGCGCTGGAGAAGCGACCTGGCGATAAAGCAGAGATGTCGGCGCCAATGATGCGGTGCGGTGTATGCTGAGACAAATTGCGCGCAATAGTGAGGCCCTTGGTCATCGACACCCCCGTGACAAGAATAGTTTTCCGTCTTCGTGCAGCAGCAACATGTTGCTTATCCTCCTTGGAAAAGGTCGCGTTGCGCTGCCCATGGACTTTCGACACTGCAAGACCAACCAACACCAGCGCTGCCGAGAGAGGCGCGCAAACAGCGCTCAGAGCCAGTAGAAGCACATTCTTCCACACATGGCTATAGTAAAATGGCAACACCACGGCATCCTTCTTTCCCTCAGCCATGTCTTCGCCTTGTTGCTGTTGATGAGAATGAGCAGCTCGTGACCTCGGCACTTGTTCTCGCACAGTCTTCACCGTTCAGATGCCTCCCAACACACCACCAACGGCGTTATCTTATCAAGAATAGGACCGAGAGACGTCTCAATTGCCCCTGCGAGAAACTGCAAGCTTGCGCTGTAATGCAAACTGCAAGTAAGGAGGATTTTAGCGGCAGTAGACGGACGGCTCGTAGTCACGAAGTCCGTTCTTGCATAGGCGAGGTGATTGATGTACGTGTGGCTGCGTTCGCCTAGACAAAGTTGTTGGCCTTGGAATGCTGGCTTTGCATGACTAGTGTAGACGTCATCGTTACTTCACTCATGTACGACATTGCGGAACACTAGGAATTCCATGACCTATTTGCGATCTGGATTTAGTGGATTCCGATTTTAAGATTGCGATCTGGCCGCGATCGGCGGATGGGTATTGAGGGGTTCGTACGGAGGATGCCGGGTGTGTGGGGTCCATGTTTGTTTCTTCAAGCGCAACGTGTCATGCTATTGTCACAACATTACGCACAATTTGTGAAACACGAATTCGCAAAGACACTCTGTCAAATGCATAGGAATACAGATTCAAATATTTGTTGCATTGACTTGTGTAGCCATTGAGGCAATACCAGTGGTTATCATGCTGGTAGGTAGCCGATTACCATCACCGTGTCTGAGTCGTTCAAGACCCACCACCACCGCTGAAACTCGCGATTCATAGAGACTAGTACGCGTGTTTTACCAACTCATGATGCTTCCTTCTAACCAACGCATCGTGTGATCTCGATACCATCCTGTGCTAGTCAGTGTATGCTCCCGAGACATCGCCAGTGCTCGAACTCACAGGTACCCCAGTTGGCTCGTAGCTGTTTACCAGCTTACTCTCGTACTTGAGATTCGGGTTGCCTTTGCTCTCGCTGAACTTGGCCTTGCCATATCTCTTCTCATACATCTTGACATTTGTCTCAGCGATGCCGCTGAGGTTTGTCTGTCCACCTTCTCCAGCCTCCTTCACCTTCTCCTCGACACTCGATCTGACATACTTCAAGTACGGCGGGTTTCCGGGCTTGATGACATTGTCCGCTGCCAGCACTGAGCCCTTGGTTATCAGACCAAGCTCTTCACATAGTTTTAGATCCGTGGTGTAGGCCGGCTTGTAGTGGTCCAGGAACATGAGGTCGACGTGTTTGAGTTGTCCCGAAGCTGCCAGTCGTGCGATTCCTTCGTCACTTGAGCCTACGATTACCTTGACAAGGTCGGTGAGGCCTGCAAGATCGACCAAAGACATGATGACGGCCGCGAAAGCGGGATCGCGCTCGAAGCTGAAGTATCGCTCACCGCCTGCTTTGCGTACTGCGTCTGCGAAGAGAATGCAGGAGTAGCCTACATAGCCGCCGAGTTCTACCTGCGTGTCGTTAGAAATGTAGAAATGAGTCCAAGGAGTCTCGTACCATAGTTTTTGGCTTTACTTCCGCGATCAAATCTGTTACAATGCGGCCCTTGTCCTCTCCGACGTTCATGAGATACTTCTTCGTGCGGCCATATTCGTCAATGGCTGCCAGGACATTCTCTGGTGATCCTCGTATCTTCTCAATGTTGGGGTGCGAGTAGACAAAGTGCAGGAGCTCGATTTCCCGCCCATCGTCAAAGAAGGCACCCTCTTCCTCTTGCGCTGCGTATGCTTTACTTTGATCGAAGCTACCCATTGCTGTTGTTGTTCAATGGCAGTATGAATTTGTGCGAGCAGCCGTGAGCTTGACGCGTCCAAGGTCCAAGCTACCAGAGGGTGCCCCTCAACGCGTGTGGTCTAGTGCGGGGCTGTGGTTAGTAATGACGAAATGCATGCAGGAACATGTACGATGAGTGGCACTTGGTTCGGTCGACCGTTTTAGCACGGATTCCGCTTCCGTGGAGTCATCTAGATGTCACTCCTTATGTTAGCACATTAGCAATTGACTCTCTCCAAATTGCTTTTTGTGCAAAACCACATTATTGAGGGTGGGATGCCAATGTAGCTCAGACACTATATCCTGCCTTTTCCATGCCACACCCCCGTGTACGCGTCAAGGCGCCCTTGGCACCGGTTGAGGCGAGTTCACACTACACTATGTGGATATGCGACGTTCATGTGGGGCGGATCATTGGTGCATATACGGTTCTGTATAGTGTTGACGTTGAGTTGGCTGTGGCTGTCGTCAACGATCTAGAGCTTGCTGCACCCGCTAGCCGACTATGGAGCCACAAGGACTTGCCATGACAAGGTACGCTTACCTCTACCAGGCAATATACCTCAGCGATCCTGAATCCGCCAAACTCTATCTACCCGAAGCGGGAACTAGGATCGAAAAGATCCCCTCGAACGTCACATTTTTTCCAGCTTGTCCCATGCACTGAGGGGTAAAAAAAAAGTGCCGTTGTATGGCTACCGGTACTGCACTATCAGCCCTGCGCGCACACAGCACATCTTTCGACTAGCTGGCAAATGAAAAGTCTCCCAACATCTGCCACAGAACGTCAGCAATCGAACGATGCGATTCCTGAAGTGGGAATGAGGTGATTTCGATGATTGCCCCGCAGTTTTATGTAGTGTATCTCAGTCTCTCCACAACGGGAGAGACTCCGTTGTTGGCACTAAATGAATTCGTGGCTCGTGCTACGCCGACTTCGTCCCTAGCTGAAGGGGAAATAGGATGATTCTGCTTCGTCCAAGCCCGCAAAAACCCATGTTACATGTGCAATGTGCAAATCCCATGTGCCGGAACCGGGTTTTACCGCTGAGAGGGCGCTGTTGTTGAAGTCATTTCATCATGGCCGGCCAGTAGGAGCCTAGTTTGGCTCGATGTGAAGTGGTACCAAGTCCAAACAACAAGGGATCCACGAGTGGCCGCATCATGAACGAGAATAACACGTATGGTTGACGTTGTCTGGAGCGCTGCTGGCGTGCGAGAGCCAATGGAGGCGGAGCGTGTACCACGAGCTATGTGAGTAGTCCCAAACGACATCGGTCTGGGGCCATTTATATAGGACAGTCGTGCCCGTACTTGACTCCGCAGAACTCAACGTATCTCATATACACTTTTTCAAACTCTTTTCACCATGTCAGACCTCAAAGCTTCCGTTGTAGAGACCAAGAACGGCTTCCACGTCGAGGGATACGAGAAGATCGAATATGACTTCACCTTCCTCGATGGCGTCTTCAACCCTGCCAACAACAATCTGGCCAAGTGCTACGAGCGCTGGGGCCGTTGCCTAGCTGTCATGGACTTGAACATCTACAACGTCTACGGCGATGAGATGCAAAAGTACTTCGACCACTACAACCTGCCCTTGACGATCCACAAGACCATGATTGGCGAGAAGGCCAAGTCTATGGAGACTCTCCTCAGCATTGTTGACTCGATGACCGACTTTGGTATCATCCGAAAGGAGCCAGTACTTGTCGTTGTATGTTATCCAGTCCGCGTTGGGTGTGAAAAGATGCTAATGTGATATAGGGTGGTGGTTTGGTGACTGATGTTGCTGGGTAAAATATAGCTCTAAGGCACTCTGGCCTGACTGCGTTGAAAGAAGGGAGTTAACTCGTGGTCTTAGATTTGCTTGCGCCGCCTACCGAAGGAACACCAACTTCATCCGTATCCCAACTACCGTCATTGGCCTGATCGATGCCAGCGTCAGTATCAAGGTCGCTGTCAACTACGGCAACTACAAGAACCGTCTCGGAGCGTACCACGCTCCGATGCACACATTCCTCGACTTCTCTTTCTTGAAGACCCTACCAGAGGGTCAAGTACGAAACGGCTTCGCAGAGTTGATCAAAATCTCAACCTGTGCCCACAAGCCCACGTTCGACTTGCTGGACAAGTACTGTGAGAAGCTAATCACTTCTCGATTCGGCCGTGAGGGTGATGACAAGGAGGTCCTACAGGCAGCGGATGAGATAAACCGCGCTGGCATTCACGAGATGTTGAAGCTCGAGACGCCTAACCTCCACGAGATCGGTCTTGATCGTGTTATTGCCTACGGTCACACCTGGAGCCCGCTCCACGAGGTAAGGCTGCTGCACCTTATGGACGCTGACTTTGCTGACTCGTTTGTAGCTCTCGCCCAAGGTCCCCCTTCGTCACGGCCATGCCATCTCTATCGACATGGCCTACTCGGCGACATTGGCGAACCAGCGTGGTCTTCTCAGCGATGAGGAGCACAGGAGACTGTTGAACCTGTTCTCCAGGGCCGGTCTATCCATGGACCACGAGCTGTTCGACGAGGACATGCTTGACAAAGCCACAAAGGCTATCCTGAAGACTCGTGACGGTCTGCTCCGTGCTGCCGTGCCCAACCCCATCGGTACCTGCGTGTTCCTGAACGACGTCTCCCTGAGGAGATGAACAAGGCTCTGCGACGACACAAGGAGCTGATGAAGGAGTACCCTCGCGAGGGTGCCGGTCTTGACGCGTTCGTCGATGCATCCGACACCGGATACACCATGAACGACAAGCCCATTGAGGACGCTATGCATGAGTCAAAGAAGACCATGAACGGCTTGACCAACGGCGCCGTCAATGGCACCGCCAAGGGAGAGGCTGCTGGCCCTCCCCAGGGCTTACAGGAAGTCATGGCTAATGGTTATGAGAACGGATACAAGAACTAGGAAGCGACATAGCTGCGAATAAGTCCGACTAGGCAAGCGCATGTCAGATGGGTACCATGGTTTGAACGTAAAAGTTCTTCTTTTAAGCGGCGGTGTTATCCTCATCTTGCAGTGGTAGATCGCGACATGCTTTATGCCCATCAACTTCCCCGAAATGAAAAAAAAAGTATTTACCCAACACATTGTACTCTTTGACTGTTTGTATCGTGAATCGTGAATTGTGAAGCGACGGGTTGTTGGTGTGGAGGCAGTTCAGTTGAACGTGTCTGTGTCTGTCGTTGCATCAAGCAAACATTGAAGATCTGCCACGCGACATGTCTTTACGCCTCCGCTGTCGCGCAATATCGTCGTCTGCAGCATCATGAGAGTGTTGGTGTCGTTCTTTCGCCGCACGCATCGTCGTCCCCAATCCCGCCGCCGCTTGACCGTGCCCGTGCCCGCCGCCGCAAAAAACCCTTCCGCCCGTGCACTGGCTTGGCGGACCCCACATCTCAGTATAAAAACTCTGCGCCCCTCGTCCTCCTTTCTCGCTCTTTGATCAAAAAATACAAACGAACCCAGCCACGACTATCAGAACACCTTTGTCTTTTAGTTGCCAGTCACTACGGTGGCGTGGGGTCGGAGAGCGATACTCCTGTAGGAAGCTGCTTTCTCGTTGGGTCGTCTTCAGTGATGGCGATGAGTCTGCGGTGTCGATTTATTGGGAGGACATACCTTTGTCTTATGCGTGCTTTGATGTGAACCAGATGCGTGCAAGCATGCTACTCGTCCTGTGTTGCTTCGGGTTTGCCTTTGCGCAGAGTAGAGTGTCTTCGAAGCTATCTTAGGACATGGTCACGTTCATTTGCACTCAGGCTCAGCTAAGCCTGGACATTTTTACGGAACCATCAGTCAATCCGTGTGGAGAGTGAGTCGGCGAAGACAACGGGACCATGGTCTAAGCAACAAGCAAGGATATGTATAGCCGCTACTGTAACGCATCAGGAACATGGCGTAGTCATTAATATCATTTGACTATTTGTTCTCGTTACCTGTCATGCTTAAGTGTCATAATCGTAATGGCACCTATCTGTTATGCATAAATCGTTCGACGGAATAATCTAGCTTCCGTAAACCATAGCCCTCTATGGAATCGCAACCTTCACATCGTCCTCATATTCCACATCCTTGATGCCATCCTTCGTTATGACCTTAACCAGTACGCCCTTGAAGTCGATCGGAAGACGTCGCTTGAGCTCCTCGGTGCACATCCGCAAGATCTTCATGCCTTGCTCATAGTCGATGTCGGGATGGTGGTGCTTGTCGAGCAGAGAGAGGCAGTAGTATCTGGAGGTACTGTGTTAGCATGGGATCTTTGCGTGTAGGAACATGCAGAAGCGGAGTTGGGTATGCTGCTGTAAAAACAACAACTGGTAAAACATACTGTGCATATCCATGTGCAGCGTATGGCAGCGGCGCTAGACTCGCCAAGTAGTCGATCCAGTACAGAGTCGGCTTGTCGGCAATCGTGTCATATCCTCCTAGCAGCAAGTTGACCGTGTAGGGTTTTCTTGACCTCAGCGCTGACGCCAGTTCTCCTCGGACAAAGTTGGCTGTCGCGGCGGGGGACAGCTCCATGTTGTTGCGCATGGAGTATAATTGTACGTTTGCCTGAATGTACTCGGCGAATTGAACTGCACCGTTGTTAGCTACCGCTAATCCCTCGTAACCTCTTCTTCTGTCATACCAGTGTCACCAGCCTCTCCAGAGAAAGCCATCAAGGTATGTGTGTTGAGTACTCGGGTCTTGTCGTCGGATGCCTTGAGGATGGTGGCGCCACGCATGGCGGCTTTGGAGGCGGCGATCAGGGTGAAGTCCTTGCCGGTGATTCCTAGTAGAACCTCCCTGTACTGTGGTTAGTATCGGAACAGCGTATCTTCAGTACGACATACATTGTGATGAGCTTGAAGTGGTGACGGTAGGTGTGTTGGAGGGCGACTTTCGTCGGGCTTTTGGATAGTCGGGTGGGAAGGCGTAAGATCAGATAAAAGCCAGAAGCCTTGTCCTACGGGCGAGTTGATATAGCGGGGAGGACGGTATTGGTGTGGTTATACGGTGATGTTGAACCCACACGCGAAGGCAGCTCCCAGCGTCGCGGCTGCCCGTACAGATGAAGCTTGGGCCAGCTTGGGCTTGGCAGAACTGGACTTGGATGTGAACATGCACGTCTTTAGTAGGCAAAGTTGCGTCCATCCAGGCCCGTGGGATATCTCGCAGCTTTGGATCCGTTCAATTCGTAAATCATGTTCAATGAAATATTCGTCACCGAATAATGGCCATACTGGCATAGCCTCAGGTGCGCCTCTTTGTTGACCCGCACCAATACCTACTTCACGACGCTGTGCCCTTGTACCGGCCCGAACAGCTATCTTTGTTGAACCATTCCGACCACCTGTCACGGTTCTCAGAAGTCCAAGACTTATCTGCAGTCTTCACGTAACACAAGAGATGGATAACCAACCGTGATGATACTCGCGGTCCACTCACGAGACACTGACGGTAGTTACAACTACATGCAACAGACTCCGCAGGTCAGTGTTTGTGTTAAAATGAATTGACCTCTGCTCGACTTCTCCACCGGTGCTAGAAGAGCTACTGTTTCGCCTGGCTTGGCTGAGAAGACTTTGTATCGCACTTGTCTGACATCTCTGGGTATTTCCCCAATGAGCAGTCTGAGGTTTTGAATCCCTTGCGAAAGAAGCTACCTTGGACGACGATCTCCCGTGCATAATCGACAGGGCCGAAGAGAGAATGCATCACCGGCGTCTGTCAATCATATCCCACAGGTCCCCCAAATCAGCTTGCGCGTCGTCCCACTCGATGCTTTTGCGATAATGTTAATGCACACTTTTACAAAGAGGCCGTGGGTGGCTACCAATGAGGCGACGGCGTCATAGCGGGGCTGATTTCTGCTGAGCGACCCCTCCAAAACCTTGCTGGACTCTTAAGCTCTGGAACACCCCACCCAAACAAAACAACACCGACACTTGATCTTACACATACAACTAGTAAGTCGAATTTTCTGCTCGGCATCCTATCCGCGGCCGGACTTTGCTGCCCGCGCATCCGATCTGCTTCTATATCTCCTGCCTTGCACTTCGCGGCTCCCCAACTCTCCAATTGACTCTCTCAACAGCAATCCTTCACAATGACCATCACCAAGATCCACGCCCGCTCCGTCTACGACTCTCGGGTACGTATTCAGACATCCATGCTTGTCAAGCTTCACTTCTAACGTCTTCAGGGTAACCCGACTGTCGAGGTTGACATCGTCACCGAGACCGGCCTTCACCGCGCCATCGTCCCCTCTGGTGCCTCCACCGGCTCCCACGAGGCTTGCGAACTCCGTGATGGAGACAAGTCCAAGTGGGGTGGTAAGGGTGTCACCAAGGCTGTCGCCAACGTCAACGACACCATCGCCCCTGCTCTCATCAAGGAGAAGCTCGACGTCAAGGACCAGTCCGCCGTAGACGCTTTCCTCAACAAGCTCGATGGCACAACAAACAAGACTAACCTGGGTGCTAACGCCATCCTCGGTGTCTCAATGGCTATCGCAAAGGCCGCTGCCGCCGAGAAGGGTGTCCCCCTCTACGCACACATCTCCGACTTGGCTGGCACTAAGAAGCCCTACGTTCTCCCCGTACCCTGTGAGTAAACGCTCATCCGGAAAAAAAAACCTTTTTTACTGACTATACAGTCCAAAACGTCCTCAACGGTGGCTCGCACGCTGGTGGCCGCCTTGCTTTCCAGGAGTTCATGATCGTTCCTTGGTAGGTTATCTACATATACGAGTAGCCACCCATACTAATGACCTCCAGTGAGGCCCCTACCTTCTCCGAGGCCATGCGCCAGGGAGCCGAAGTCTACCAGAAGCTCAAGGCCCTCGCCAAGAAGACCTACGGACAGTCTGCCGGAAACGTTGGTGACGAGGGTGGTGTTGCCCCAGACATTCAGACTCCTGAGGAGGCCCTTGACCTCATCACCAAGGCTATTGAGGAGGCTGGCTACACTGGCAAGATCAAGATCGCCATGGATGTCGCATCCAGCGAGTTCTACAAGGCCGACGAGAAGAAGTACGACCTCGACTTCAAGAACCCCGACAGCGACAAGAGCAAGTGGCTCACATACGAACAACTCGCCGAGCTGTACAAGTCGCTGGCCGAGAAGTACCCCATCATCAGCATTGAGGACCCCTTCGCTGAGGACGACTGGGAGGCTTGGTCTTATTTCTTCAAGACCTACGATGGCCAGATTGTCGGTGATGACTTGACCGTCACCAACCCCGAGTTCATCAAGAAGGCTATTGAACTTAAGTCTTGCAATGCCCTTCTCCTCAAGGTCAACCAGATCGGTACCATCACTGAGGCCATCCAGGCTGCCAAGGACGCTTTCGGCGCTGGCTGGGGTGTCATGGTTTCTCACCGCTCCGGTGAGACTGAGGATGTCACCATCGCCGATATCGTTGTCGGTCTGCGATCTGGTCAGATCAAGACTGGTGCGCCAGCCCGATCTGAGCGTCTCGCCAAGCTCAACCAGATCCTCCGTATCGAGGAGGAGCTCGGCGACAACGCCATCTACGCCGGCAACAACTTCAGGACTGCCGTCAACTTGTAAGCAACTTATCTGTAGAGTCCGGCAGTGTTAGCGTTGTGAGGAAATGCGACGAATAATGAATTTGAGAGCGAAGGAAATACGTATACGAAATGTAACGATATGTCCTACACCATGAGCATTCTATCGCCTGTTGAGCACTTGAAGTATGTGTCGATTTGCTTGATGTTGATCTCGACTTGGGCATAAGTATTGAGTTTATATTGCTACGGCAATGGGACGTGGAGCGTTTTCACCCAAGGTAGGCTGTCTTCGGAAGTGAGATTGTCAAGAATCTCGAACAGGGAGATGTTAAGGAGGATACATATTACCGTAGCGATGCTATAACAGCTGCATCTCGAGGTGAGCATGCCAGAGCGCATAGAGACGAAGCGTCACAGGTTTGAACCAACCCAAGCCACCTCCAACAGCCCTACTGGGATACTACCGCCAATTTCTACGCGCTTTGAAAACTGTGAGGCAGCGTTTCTTGTCCGCGCCAGTTCTCAAATTTGTAATCCTAGCTGTAGACCAAGTAGTATACGAGGAGCTCTCGTAGCTTGCAGCCTTGGTGGGGCTTCTCACCTGTATTGCTATATGTCCAGTTGACTACTCCATGATGGATTCGCTCATCTGAACGATTCTCCGCAACAAGCCGCATACTAGACCCTACTTTCGTTGCCTGGATCATCACCATCGTCAATGTCAATACCATCATCAACGTGGTCGCGGCCCTCTCACACCGTGTTCCGCTCTTCTGCGTATCAAGGAGCTCTGCACGACATGCAGCTAGCATACCATTGCTACCCAGATAGAGGTGAAGCTGGAGTAGATATGAATCGAAACGGTAAACAGATACAGCTGAATGTGTTACTGTTACCCGACTCATTCTTTCCTGTCAGCCTAGAGGGAGAAAGAGTTTGTACCCACGCAAATTGTGCTCTAAAAACATTCACTGTATGTTGCAACAACACATGCACAGGTTAACATGTAACGAGTACTGTTAGCACAAGGCTGATGAGGTGTTGTTCCAAACATGGTCTAGAGATTTTGCGCACCGCTCGCGACGCTGTTGCATCAAACTTGCGACAGACCCGAAAGCGCATCCTATCTTCCCATCTCACTCTCACCACTCGCCACTTACCCATGGCCCCTCCCCTGATTTCCAATCCCAAGCCCAATCCAACCCATCCGTCATTCTATCCTCCCCCTCTTACACCCACCCCTCTGCCACCATCCACGGCTGTCCAGTAACCTCACACTTCTCTCTAGCCTCACACATAGGCCCAACCCCATTCCTACTACTATACGCACAGCAAATCCAATCTCCACCACAATAGTTTGGGATCCAAAACCCTGTTGCATTGCAGTACCGGAAGCGGTCGCCGAAGTGGTGGCATTGGGCTACGCCGGGAAGACACTGGGGGTCGATTTGCCAAAGCGGTGTTGTGGAGGCTGGGAGAACGGAAGTCGTGGTCGTTGAGGAAGTGTAGTTTAATAGGGTCCATGATGATGATGATGATTCAATGGTGGTGGCGGTGATTGTTGTTGTGGGGATGACGCAGGCGGATTTTGTGATTGAGACTGCGGAGGCGGTGGCGGAGGGTGGAGTTAGGGAGAGAATGAGAATGATGGGTATAGAGAGTTGTAGAAAAGGGATTGAGAGATGCATGGTGTCGGCTCTTGAGTTTCGAGAGGGCGGAGATGCTGAGTTGATTGTAGTATCAAGTAAACGGATGGAAGCGTTGGATGTGTTCGGGGCAGTACTCTACCTACTCACATATTTGACTCGGTGGTATGTGATTGCTGTTGTGTTCGAGTGGTACGTACTCATGTCAGTGCTCTAGTTGTGATGAAATCGTATCACACTCTTGAGCAAGGTTTTGACGTATATGTACGGTGGAGCCGCATACTTGTAATACCTTGTCCCACGTATCGAAGGAACACAGGCCATTCAAGTACCGTGATGCTCATCTGTTGGTGACTGGAAGCTCTAGTCTGTTGAAAAAGTGGTGAAGTACTTCGGTGTAATCGCAACGGGTCATTTGTGCTCCCTGTGAACGGATGGGATGCGATTAAACGTCATTCTTTGCCTCTTGATCAGCCTATGGTTTACTCGACATCCAACTGTTTTACGCAACATGCCTTGGTGGAACCCTTCATGATTGTAGAGTCGTAGCAGTCAGATGGAAGCTCGTTGAGCCTGTCAGAATTTGGCTTCACAATACGCCGACTTCTCGATGCTCCGCGCACCGTGTAAGCAATACTCCCACGAGTCTGTCGAGCAGGTATTCGGTCAAATCTAGGTGCTTAGAGTAATAGATTGTGCCGCGAACAGACTCGTGCTCCAACTTGAGACGGTCCGGGACTCGGCACGTTGGCGGCCCGAAATGTGCAAGTCATCGATGCGTCGAGTAGAGTCACGATGGCATACTACGGGATAGACATGTTCTGCGCTCTCTCTGGGCTTCACGACTGCCAGGTTCGATGCTCGAGATGTGGTGCCACAGTGAGAACCGCAAGGGGTATGCAAGAGCTGCTAGAGTCTGTTCAAGCCTAGGTGTGTTATCAT